TCTCATCAAATGTAATCCACTAATTAATCCCATGAAATCCTTTCATATATGTGTTCAAAAGTGTTGAGATAAGGAGACTAAAGGCACTCTCATTAAGTTTGTTCTACAAGCTCAATTTCCTGCATATTTCTAACCCATATTGATTTTTCTATCATTTCTCAAACAACCCACCATCTGTCCTTGTAACTTCATTTGAAATGTGTAATACGAAGGAAAGACGATGATTATCACATAAAAGTTCTAGTATGTTCAGACAGACATTTACTCTCTTGATTTGTAAAAACTTAGATGCATCACTATGCAAGGAATTTTTATCACGTCAGCTTAAAATCATGTGATCTGTTTATCTATTTGCACTGGAGAAAAGGGGTTTAACAACAAATTGCTGCAAAAGCTCAAAATTCTGGAAAATAAAACACTGGGGATGAATCAAACATCCGTCATTAACATCGTATCTGGAAATTGTTTCCTTTGAGGCAAATGCATGGAACTCCTTTAAATAATTTGAAAATATTAAAATATGTCATTCTAGATAATTGATTTGGAGGTGCCAACATATAGTTATCAAAATGTCCAAAACTTCTCTCTGCCATGAAATCTACATTAGAAAAACACTTCTAAAATTAATCATAAGTTGAAAATGTATAAAGCACATGTGTTTAAAGCAGAAGTGACAATCATGTATTAATATGGTAATTACTCAATCTTTTCAATGGGGGAAATTGTGAATATTAAAGATTACTGTATTTTTAAGTCATAATTTCTTTAAATCAGAACATTCCTATTGAGTGTTAGTTAGATTAATTCTTTAAGACAAAGATTTTTTTTTAAATTAGCAATTGACTTATGCTAGCCAAAGTGCAAAAATTATACTGCAGTAGTTGCAGTGTACATTCAGTTTTGCTGCCCAACAACAAAACCCATACAATATTAAATTCAATGTTTAAAGATAAAACCTTGATTGGGATAGTATGATAATAAAGAAATGCCCAAGGATAAATGCTCAATTCAAACCTGATCTGTACATGATATATGGGACCCTCTCAAGGCTTCAAAAAGAAATACTTAGAAACCAGAAGCAGGTCTAGCCCATATCAAGCAACAACTAGGTCTCACAATAACTTGGGATAGGTTTTACAAACCCTATCAGCAACTTATTTTATGAGGTTATTTACTAAATCTTAACTTTAAACACAGGCTGGTTTAATATTAATATATAAAAGAATAATGGCTAAATGGTTCTGGCCCTTGGTCTTCTTATAATGACCTAAAATGGGTCAATTTCTACAATTACCCAGTCTAAGCAGGCCTCCAGACAACTCCCTGACAGCGTGGATTAATTGAGCCACGAGTAGTTCAGCCTCAAATATAAGATAACATGCTGTTTCCAATAAGTGCATGAATAGTTCAGTTGCTGGTAACAGCAGCAGGCATTGCATTAATGTTAATAAGAAATACATCCTTGCAGCATGAAATAATGCTTTTCTTTCAAGAGGCAGTAATATCAGAAAATGTTATCTTATCAACAATACATGGACCAGTTACCAACATGTTTATTTCAAGTACTTATCAAACATTTGACCCCTTTTTGTAAAATGACTTCAATAGCTAACAATTTTTATACAACAAACGCTGTCAAATGAAACTGAAAATTCATACCTAAGAAAACTACAAGTCTGTATCAGCTGTACAGTTCACCAATAACTAATAAGTCACACAGGAAGAAATCTCTATCATGTATATTTAAGGTTAAAAAGACTTATGGAAATGACACGGTCATGGAACCAGCTGTTTTTTTCTTCACTAGAATTTAATAAAATTTACTAAAAGTTTATAATCACAACATCCCATATTTGTTATCTTGATTTTGACAGAGTAAATGATCATACAACATGATTGATTGCTTATACATTGAACATAAAAAGAAACTTAGTCTGACCGATACAAATATGTAACATGTTCATACTCACATAAAAGGTGTGTATGTCACTGTATCTCTTCTCTTCTTTTCCTTAAATCAAACCATTTCAACACCTTGGCAAGTTTTTAAGCTGTAAACAGAACAAAGAAACAGTCATTCAACAGTATCACAATCCAACCTGCATTATGATTGTATAACACCAAGAACAAAAGTGCAACTTTCATGAGCTACCAATGTAATTTCAGCTCATTCCACATGCTAATGTTATTCACAAGTACTCCAGGCTCCTATGGTTTTCTTGCCATATGTTTGCCTTCTTTCTCCAGAGTTTACCTGGATAATTCATCAAGATCACACGGAAACAACTGGCTTGGTTGCAGGGAAAAGTATAGTAAAAATGGAGGAGTAATCAATGGGTGAGCTTAATGACAATATTAGTGCTAGTCATAACACAAGGGAATCAATAAATAATGCTTGGGGAGACATCTAGTGGACAGGTCTTTATTTGCTTATGATAATCAATAGCATATGAGCCTTCAAAACAACACATGTTGTATGCCCAGTGGTGGACTTATTTGCAGGATCTTTCGACTTGTACCTACTACTAATCGTTTTAATTTTCTGCTCCATGGTTTTTGAAGGACATATTAATTGCTTTCAGCAACTGATGCCACACACTTTGATATGAATGCTAAATTTTTGTCTGTAACAGCTATTTTTGCACTTATTTTCTAATAACAGATATAAAATTTCAGATTCTTGTCTAAGCCATTTTTATAAGACAATTAAAAATACAAATCCAGCTTATAGGAACATTTAAAAAACAAGTTAAAAGGGTTATTCTTCTCTCACAATTCTCATTGGACTTGGTCAATATGTATCAAAACAAAAGAAGACTTTTCAGTCTACCTAGTTGTCTTAATTGCATTAATTTCCTCTTCTTCTCATGGAATCATACATGTAAGGAAATTAAAATGATATTTCAATTGAAAAAAAAAAGGAATCATTACCTTTTACATTACATTACATACAAACTAGGTAACTGAAATCGTTGATCCAACATATTTCCTTATCGTTGAATTGTCTGCCATGTTGGTGAGTGACTCTTCTTGGAAATACCATGGACGCCTCCTACCAATTTGTTGTTAAGTTGGGTCAATGATATTAATTGCTGGTCTAGTATCACATTACAGTATGTATGCTTTTATATTACCTTCTTTTCTTGCAAATGGCTGTTTCTGGTGTTTACTTGCAACTGGACTGTTTATTTATTTATTTATTTATTTATTTATTTATTTATTTATTTTATTTTATTTTATTTTATTTTATTTTATTTATTTCATTTTTATTTTATTTTATTTTTTTGCATTGTATTGCGCTCTATTGCGCATTTTAGGATGACTGCAACTTGGTATTACAGATAACATTTTTATATAGTTATGGTGCCATTATACATCAAACGTTACCCTTGATTTGGATCCTTAATGGGTCCAAATTAAGGATAAGTTTTAAGGGCATTTTTTGAGAAGCATACCTGCCCTCCCAAACTAAATCTAAATGATAAATCTTATCCTGTACTCTACCATTAGTGACATAACATTATCAACAGCGTTGTCATTGCTTCTGCATCTTTCAAGAAGACTTACCTGAACGCCAAACTTTATGGTCTCTCTCAATCCGAAGCCTGCAGACCACGGCAGAAATACAGACTTGCTCTCTTTACCTAGAACTAAGAATCCAGGTTGGCATTTTTCAAAAAGGAAACAAGTTTCGATAGTCTTGTTCATCTAAACAACCGGACTGCAGCAGAGGCCACAGCGACCGTCAAATGTGGGTCAAACAAGAAAAACAGCATTGCTTTTTTAATCTGTCATTTCAGTAATATACAAAACAAGTGTAGCAACTAACTTGATTTTAGTGAATATCCAGATTCGTCACACAGAACATTTGATATCCGAAACACAGATCTAAGATCTAACGTTATTCCGTCATATAAGATTTTAGCTTGAGATACAGCGCCATCTAACGTTGTAACAGTTAGGCTTGAGGTTTGAGATCGTGAAACGAAGTAAAAGGTACATTCTTGTACTATTTAAGAGAGAATCATCCGTTTAAGCACACATTCATCCAATAAATACAAACAGGTTAGTATAAAAAGGTACTAAAAGACCTGTTGGTGACCGCTTCAATCCTTTCTTCAAAGGGTGTATGATTTCACGGCGGTCTTACTCAGTTACTGGCAGAACGAGCACATGAATCTTGCTAGGGTAAGGTCCGCACATGATTTTTTCTTAGTTAAGCTAGAACCTTGAAATTCAATACAGATAGCTACATATCTAAGTATGAATAAGCCGTTAAAATTTTGAGATATGTCATTTATCTCAAAAGTTATACAAGTTTTAGTGACACTTAATCTGTCAGTGTCATTTTTTCTGACGCCATTTTCAAAAATTAGTCAAAAGTTGTCCCACTTGATTTTCACCCCCTTAAATATGCCATAGGACTTTGAAGTTTGTCTCATAATATACAAAGGAGCTAGGCATGAACATACAGTTTGAATTTTGATTCTGGAATTTTTCCAAGGTGAAATAATGTTCATGATGTGAAGTAAACAGTGGTAGAATTTTTTGCCACTGATAATATGTATCTTCCAAAGCTTATGCAGTAGAAATTGACCTCCTAACATTGACTGGATGGGGAACAAATGGAGGGGGGTAGGTAAAAAAATCAATAAGATATTTCCTCAAAAATCTGACGTAAAATACTTTGGTGACTTAAAAAAAATTCATCTTTCTTGGATTCTCAAACATTGTCTGTGTTAGTACCAGCTGTTTTAGTCATGTTTTAACACAGGTCAGTTCCTGAAGCAGCAGTACATGTATTGAAGTGGCATTCAGCGTAAAATTTGGTAGAAATCTGATACTCTGGGGACAATTTTTACAGCAGTTTGTGTTAACAAACAACAGTTGCCTCCTGTTATTCATGATTGTCTGTGGTATGTACTTCCAGGTGAAATCGTACCAGTATCTAGCTTGAAAATTCTTGCATTTGATATGTGCTTATGCATGAAAGATATTGGTGTCAAAAACTGTAAAATAATGATCAGCTTGTACATCCACCATGATGCAGGGGCTCTCAAATCTTTACCAGCATCTTACCTTTTGTCTCCTCAGCTTGCACTCTATAAAGCCAACAAGTTTTCCCGTAGACAGTCCTTGATGTTAATGAACACATGAATTTTTGTGCAATCCTCTGAATTGACCACTACTTAATGACACTGTATTTATACTGAGGTTAGCATGAAGTTTCATGCATTAGCACTCCTACAAGGTATATTTGTTGTTTTTGATATGAACTGTTTGTGCTAATACATAATAGATAGAGATGCATACCATAACTGCATACCATCTTTTGAAGTTGCACACGGCTGTAAAGCCAACCAGTTTGAATAAAGTAAGATCCATCTAATCATCTATCAGTTATGCAGCCATGAATTAATATATACCCATTGAAGTCCACCAATCATAAAACAGACCTCTGAATGTGAAAAGTACATGAGAGATTTTGTAAGTTTTTCCTTAGAAGCAAAGTCTTGAATGATGACATGGGTAAGCAACTTCCATTGTAAAAAATTCTGTGCAGTAGTTTTTCTTCTTGGTTGATTAAAATGTGCCATTATTTGACCTACTGGTGGTATCGCATTGAGATGTCCCTTTATAGCATTTAGTTAGACATCACATTTACATGTTTATAACATATTATGTTAATTCACATAGCTATTATGTGTTGTCATTATTTGTAGGTATTGCAGCAAAGAAGATGAGTGCAGCTGCACGATATTTCCACTCTAGGGCAGTTACCCTTGGCCTCTGTACCAGAAACAACACAAGGCATTTCAGGTATTATAGATTGAATTGTACTGCAGAATAATTTTTTTTTCTTCTTCTTTAAATTTTAAGTTTCTAAATTTTTCCATTACATTTTTGTTGTTTCAATATTTTATTTTTTTAGATACTTACAATTGTGCATTTTGCAATAAATTGTCCCTGCCACACCTATCACGCTCAGCACAATCTCATGCAACACACTGTAAAGCTGACATGCTTTTTGTTAGTTTTAGGATAGCTTTACAGAGTGAGAAAAGACAAATGTCCAAAGTTTGTGTTTAAAATTGTTGTGCTTCTCTACGTGACATACACATAAAAAAGGTAATTTATATTATACTGACATTATGGTATCTCTTTCAGCACAAGCCTCCCACTGTGTGAACTGAGACATATGTCACGGGTCAATGTAGTGGACAACAGTGACTTAGGCAAAAATGCCAAGACCTCTGGCAAACCAGCTCGTATAGTTCATGTTTATAATAAACAAGGGGTTGCAGGTATTGGAGATAAAGTTTTACTGGCACTTGAAAAGCAGAAGGTTAAAGGAATAATTGTAGGTTGTAAACAGAAGCAGAAGCCAATGGTTCCAAAGTTTGACAGTAACAATGTTGTGTTGATAGATGAAGAGGACACTCCCATGGGCTCAAGGATAAATGTACCTATACCATCAGTGCTACGCAAGAAGGAAGAGCTTGCCAAGATATTAGCTATATCTTCAAGATTTGTATGACACTAGATCTCAAAGAGAAAACCTGTCAATAATTATTTTATAGCACCCAAGTGTGTCGATTGTCATTACTAGTACTAAGAATCAGGAGTCAGAACACTGCTTACACTTTTCTCATTTGGTTTGGTGTAATACAATTATGAATGTCTAACTTGTTTAAAGAATTTGGGAAAAGTGGTTATACATATGACATACTCTTTTTTAGCTACATGTGAAGCAAGCATGGATTCCCTATAACGCATACAAACCGCCTCTACCAGTTTCTTATACCACTGTTATTCAAATAAAGTCAACATAACAAGGGATAAACCAAATTAATCACTTCATAAAGTTCCAGAGCTTTAAAATTGCAACTTTTCCTGGTCGTAAAGACCTTATCCATCATTCCATTTTGTAAAAGTGCGCCAAATGACGTAATAATGCTTGTCGCATTATTGTTGCGAGCGCAATACTATCATTTGTATGACGGGTTGTTGAAAACGACCGAGGGCTATGAATAGCACAGAAAGGAAGCAGAAAGTATCCGTTCAGATGTCATCTTTTGGAAATATGAAACAATGTCCTTTGGTAATTCTTAAAGTTAGGCTATTTGAAACTTTATGATTGCATTTGGTCGACAAAAAGTTTCATTTGAATACATCATTCATGATATGTATTTTGGATAATAATATATTGACTTTTTTGTGTTCTTCAATGCAAAGAAATTAGATCCAAGTACCTGACCCACATCGAACGTTCTCTTGCAACAAGGCTGGATATTTTCTTTTCACCTTTGTATGCTCTCCCCAGATTTACCATTTCAGGTGAACCAAAAGTCGTTCCTTCCATATGTTTCAAGTTCTCTCAATGTGGCTGCATATGAAGAACAAACCCTGTGACATAATATTGAGTTTCTTTTGAATAAGACGAAAATAAGTTCTCTGTATTTTCAGTGCATTTTCTGCTTTCTGTGTGTTGTACGCTTGCAAGTGGTTATCAATCTTCATAAAATTACACCATGTAATTTAATCATTTCATCGATAAACGTAAAAAGAATGCTCAGGAATAATCAAAATGGAGATTGGAATTCTTATTCCGTATGACATCTGAATTTTTTGTCCCCACTGTAATTAATACTTTCAAATGGCATTTAATTGTAAATTTCTTTGGGATATTTTATTCATTTGCCATAGACTACCAAAACTATTTTTAAAATACCTAGATAATTTGCACAACATATACTTGATATATAAAATAATGTTAAAAATAAAAATTCCTATTTAGTCTCTGCATATGGAGCTGGATCACACTTAAAAACGATTGTAAATGTAGTTTATGACTCGACACGCCCCTCTAGCTGTATTTGATAAACAGTTTGTGTTCGTTCGTTTTCAGTCAGTGAAATATCACTAGGATCCATGTTTCAATAAAAGAAAGATTGTTGGAAGATGATGTAAAAAAAGTACCCTCTACCAAGACCACAGATGGGTTTTTTCAATAGATGTTCTCAGACATGTCTCTTGTTAATTCATGGCACTTTTCTCTACTGTACGGATTAGAGGTGATTTACCTATTTACTATCTTTTGAGTAATGCCACTACAGCCAAATATCACTTCCATGATGTTCATGTGAGAAATAGATAATTTTTTAAAATTTCTTATTGAAATGTGAATGCACGTTTTGATGGTCTAAAGTAAATTAGAGTGCAAATACACTGATCTCAGGCAATGTATTTTGAAACAGGTATTTAGCTAGGTAGTTGATGAGAATCATTTATCGGAAGTTATATAATCAATATTCTTTAAATATGTGATTATTTGTCTCTTTTATTACTGCGGACTTTGTTCGCTTTCACGGACAATGTTCCACATCATGGCTCACTACCTATTTCAGTGTCTGTCTTTCGCAAGGAAATGCAGTGCGTGATCTTTTGCAATTTCGGTTTTTATCTTGGAGGTAAAAATAAAATATTTTCAACTTAATTCAATGACTTGAAGGCGGAAGGGCAAAAATCAAGTAACTCTTTTAATGCATTTCGTTCAATGTTCTAAAGAAATATATTTAATTTAAATACGCTTGTTTCAATTATGACTTATTTCATAAACATAGTACGGGCTAAAACAAGATCAAACGACAATGTAAAGAAATCTGAGCTGAAACCTCAAAATGCTGTGTCATATTTTGTTTATTATTGTATCCTGGGCCGGACCAATACCTTATTTTATTTCACCGTGCCAATACAATGCCAGCTTTCGCCCACTTTGATACAGTCAATGTTTCTTTTTTGAGCTGCGGTGCGCTATAATCGGAATTAACTGGTATTGAATTCAATAAAGCGAGGAAAGACGATCCGTGCTGGCAGAATGTGGGGTAGCATAAAAGTGAGACTCGAAGGCTAGTTATGCAGATGTGGTGATAAAACCCAACGCAAGCAGAGAACGAGTACCGTTACCAGTATTTGCTCATTTTCCACTGCTCAAAGGGAAACAGACAGTAGAACACGCTGTAATTTTGATGACAGAAGGACACAGCGACAGCAAGATGGTCGGTGCAAGTTCTGCGTTTGAAGACCATTCCTATCCAGAGGGTAAAACGAGGCGAACGATGATAAAACGGCAACAAATCTTTAATCGTTTTAATGCCGAAGAAAAGCAAGGCCAGTTGCATTTAAAGAGACTGGACAAAATGCGTAAATCGGTAGTTGGGTCTATGGAAAAGGAAGAGGAAGCTTTAAGATCCTCCCTGGAAAGATTAAACGAAAAGAAACGGAATTCTGAAAGACCTAGAATTGAAATAACTTTGGAAAGTGACAGTTCAAGTGGATCAGATGAAAATCTACCTGAAGTCACGTTTGTTACTTCTTTTGTAACGAGAATAGGATCGCCGTCTCCGACACATGCTACGACATTAATGTGTGACACCCGCCGTCTGTCGCGTAGCCAATCCCCTCTACCCAGAGCAGCGTCGCCCGGATACACCTTAGCGTCTTTGCAATGGCCCCAACCTGCGCCTTCGTCACTGCCAAATTCCCCCCAGTTACGCCGTAACAGTAAATTGCTTGATCATCCTGCAACAGAGGTTGCCTTGGCGCCTATTTCCGTACAACGTGCATTAACACCTCGCTCCCCGCGCCCTCCCATGCGGCGCGTGCAGACTATTCCAGATACTCAGTCGCTTCAGGTACCAACAGATCTTCATCTACCACAGATTACACCGGGAATCTCCCCACCCCGTTCCCATAGTACCCCAGATGTAAGTAAACTTATAGAAAACTTCAGCACACCGGACATCCCATCGTCAACGATGCACCTTCGACCACGACGATCTCTTACCCCCAGGATATCAAAGACTAAAAACTTTGATTTGAAGACCTCTAGTCTACCTTCGCCAGTCTTGCAACAAATTCAGAAAGAAAAAGAAAATATGGCGCGAGTGCAACAAAAAATTGCCGAATTTTTCAACGAGTCAGAGGAGAAGGTTCCGTTTCGCGCCAGATCTAATACTATCAGTGGTATTCCTCTTCGACCAAACAAATAATGTCACGGGACATAAATAATATTCCGTATTCTAAAACTAGTTTGTCAGGATGCATTTGTATTCCTTGAATTTATCTACACACGTATAATTTAAGCTGTGATTCATACTGTGGTTGCTGATTGACCAGATACTGCTGTGATAAGGTCGACAGGAAATTGCACTGTATATATCTACATTTTAGTCGTTTTCTAAGAAACCGTATACCATGTGCGATAGATTGCCTTATTCATTTATTCAATTTTGTTGTATTTTTAGCTTTCTGCAAATGGTGCTCTTTTTTAGCCCACACTAGGTGATATTGATTACACAATCAGTACCTCTACTTAACCAAATGATATTTTATAACAATGGTGCAAAAACATGTAAGCTCTTGGGAGAAGTATTGTTTATATTGATGTCGCTCATTAATCCCACGTTAGGTTGGTGTTTACTCAATAAAGTTCATCATAGTGTGTTTTAATAGGCGAATTTGTTGTTTCTGATTTATGTACCCGTGGATTTCCCAATTTTTTTACGTTTGCTGTATCCGTTTAAATAAAAAAGAAACACCCCTGATCTTCATATATGTATAATAAAAACGTTTGTATACATTGTATTTATGGGATGCATGCGATGAAGATAATGTGCTGTCCTCTTTTCAGCACGCACAGAACTTGTTATTGCTTACATTGAGACCTATCCCAAACACTTTACCTCAAAATTTGACCCCGACTGGACTTCTATAAAACGGTTGAAAGTTGCCATTAAAATTATTGTATCTCCACCTGAAAAAAGTTAACTTCCGTTTATATATATTATACAAGTGAAGTTCTGTCAGATTGATGGTGATTGATATCTGCTACAAAGAATAATTCGATATTTTTTGAGTGCAGGGTGGATTAAAGTTTAAATACCCATGAAACACCAGCATTCCATTCTGAACCAAAGTCGTGCTCATTGACCATGGTACAAGGGTACCTAACTTGAATAGAATTTCTAGAAAATAATGCAGCTCGATAAGCCGTACTTGATTGCAACTGACATGATTGTGTAAACTGTATTATATCAAAACACAATCACATTGCAAATACTATTCTGCAAGAAGAAAGTATGTGCTTTTAAGTATTGATAAAACCGTTGTTTGTAGACATTATATTTGTAAGTATACCTTTGTGTGGTATCCTTATAACCTTTAACCCATAAGTCTATCGGAAGGGGAGGTTTATTGTTTGCGGATCCCTCTACCCCTTATTAATATCGCCAGATTTTATCGTTATAGCTATCCGGATAGATGCACTGTGTAGATGAATTTGCGGGGTTATGTAATGGGAATTTTAAGTAAATAACTGACTGTTAGTGACACAATCGCATGAATACAAATAAGAAGTCAACCAATGGCAGTCTGCCAAGATCTAACTTATTGTTTATTACTGCAGGATAAGAACTTTGTTCAATCGTCTGTAAATATGTTAACTCGGTAACAGCCACTAACATTGATCTAACTTTTGACCGTTTGTTTGTTGTAAACAATCTGTCTGGATGTATGGTACATACATACTTCAATCTTGCCCAAATAATAGCTGCTTTAAGTCATGCGTCATCAATACTATATGGCCTTGCTGGACCGTGAATCATCAGATTTTGCATTTCACAAGGTTTCTAGGACTGATACACATGTGGACTAAAGGCCAAACTTTCATACATTGTTAACTGTTTGTGTCCACCCAAGGCCAAGGCTGACCGTCTGTCAAGGAACATGTTTACACAAAAGTGAACAGCGATTGCCTCTTGTAATACAAGCAATTACTTTGTGGTTGGTCTTATTTTAATTTAAAAATATAATACAAAACTGTGAGATCGATATATGTGTATTCTAATCTTTTTTGGCCTTGATTTCGATATATTTTGATATTACATTTAGTGTTGCAATTTTGTGTCGATTTCTTTAAATGCGACATTCCAGTAACATGGGACTAGGAACAAAATGTTGAGGTAGAATACGAAACATTCTTTACGACTAAGATTTTACATAATTTTGATTTTTTTATTTATAGTGTATTTTACGTAGAAACACCAAGGGCCTTCATGGTGTATACATAATTCGTTAAAGTAACGTGGCAAAATATTCACCCGAAAAGAACGGTTATTTCAGAGAGTAAACATGAATTTACTGCAACCCATAAAACAGCGATAAAACGATCGCACTGCAAGTGCATGCGCACCCATGTTTACATCAGAGACGAGGGTGCATGTCACGACCTCTTACCAAATATTGGAGCTTCCTCACACAATGAATTACCCACCCAAACGTTTAAACAAATCCATTGTTCTCCTATACAAATATTGAATTACCTTTTCCTCAAACGCAATTATTCCGAGAGGACATTTTAGAAGTATCCTAAACAACACCCGCGAGGACACAGAATATTTTGCTGTAAAGAATTTAAAAATATGTTACCAAGGATTTGTATTCAAATTTCTTTTTAATTTCCCAAGAAATGTATTCGCCGATGATAAGTAAATCCTGTAGAGCAGTGAACATTTCACCAAATTTGAACTTTTTTATTTCAAAAAAGAAGAAACAGCAAATAGACGCGCAAGTGAAGGCGGGAGAACGTCTGTTAAAAAAACACACTGCTGCTCTGGATGGAATCTGGAAAGACTCGACTGTCACATTTAAAAATCAAAAAGACAGCGTCAGACTCAGGTATGAAAAACTGGAGAAAAGAAAGCGAGTCATTGAATCACAGCGCCAAAACGAACTTGCAGCACAGTGCACAGGTGCAGAGATTGCAAAACAAGTGGTTCATTTGCCTGCTATTCACAACGAACCATTTCCAAAGAAAAATGGAAGGAGTGGGCCTACAACGGATATCTTTGCTTCAGATACAAATCTTCCGAAAATAACTTACAGACGTTTAGATCAGCGTAGACGATCTAGAAGTCACCCAGGATCTGCTAGTTCAGCAGATCTGCACAATCTAGAGAAAAGGCGGTCAATCTCTGAGTCCGGGACTTTTGTTGGACTACTTGCCAAAAGGGGACAAAATGACATGGGATGTTCATATACATCTGCGTCAGATATGTCATTCCGCGACCATAGGTTCCTGGATGAAAATCATAAAATGAAAGATACTGAAAATTGTATCCGTTTACGTATTGTCCAAGACGTAAAAGCGGCACCTGATGAAACATGCACCCCCTCAATTTTGGAACCGACAGATACGTATGTTATGACGAAAGGCAACGAAACGCTACAAATAAAACCGAATAAAAGCAAAAGAGACACTGATAGAACTGAGGCAGCTGAAATCGCAGAACGGTTTCCAGCGCTGTCTTGGGCATCTCTCAAGCCAACAATAAGCGCAGCTAAGAAGTGGAAATCAAAAACTCGCAACCAAAAACACAATCCAGGAATGCGCAACAACCACAATCAGTCGCCCCTGCACGCCTGGGTAGGCACAAGTTCTGAAAACGAGCTTCGTAAACTAAAAGGAGACAGAAGAGACAGTTTGGAGATATATTTGGAAGCACTTAAAATGAAGCAAAAAACGGGATTGTAAGACCAAAGCCTCTCAAATCCAAAGCATTTCTTAATTCACCATTATCGTTACTCTATTGTTATTTACGTTAGTGTTGAAGGGCACTCAAATAGGACCAAAGAGCTTTAAATTTTGCAGCCTTAAAATTTTCATCCCTCAAAGCAATGTTTATTTCAAAAGCATCAGACGACAATCTAAATACGAGGATGTAATCACTGAACGTTCTATTCACGCCAAACTGACCTCAAATCAAGAGCTTCGCTTGCATGTACAGCCAGAAATAAAATGTAATACGTAACGCCGTCAGAAAGTAGATGGAAGTCAGAAACCGTAGCGTGAAGGTATGCTTATTCAATTTGCTGTCGCTTGATCGGGTTAAATAGATTTTTTTCAATAAATGAATAACAAATACGGGACAACGGGTTGTCTAGGTAAAAGATTTTAATACTTAAAAGTACCTAACTTTTACTGGATGTTCGGATAAAAATTCTAAGTTGAGAAGAATGGCGTGATGACCCCAAATAAATGTACCTTTATGAATAAGGATGCCAAACGGGTGTGAATGTAAGTTGATATAACAAAATTAAAAGATGTAATATACATGTATATATATATGACAAGTTACTTTATTATGCAAATAATGCAAGAAGCATTATCTTCAAGTTCAATGCATGTAATGAACACATCACAGAAAAAATGTCAAACAGATATTTTGCCACTTATAATTGACTTTCTTTCTTGATATATAGAGCAAAGAAGTAAAATGATTGTTTACATACACTGCCTCAAATATTATACTTAATTTAAATTTCCCAGTGTATGGAAACTTATTTTAAAATCAAGATGAATATAAAATCAAGATGAAATTTCAAAACTTTACAATATAATCAATTCAAAATATAAAACATCTTATACTGCTTTATAATTTCATAAATACATAATTCTGATTTGAGCAATTGAGCAATAATCAGCAACACAGACAGTAAGTGGAAGCCACAATATTGTCTAAATATGCACTAAACACAGGGAGTGCCATGGTATCAAAGAATAAATAAGACAAGTTAAGATTTTTAATCAAATAACATAAGATGCTTCCACATAATATGATAGGTACAGTAATTGGTACATGTAACTAGTTTATGGATTAGATGTTATTTTAAGCTTCTCGTTTTGTATGAAAGTTTTTGAATGAAAATCTAACATCCTGTTTGGGCTGCTTGATTGTCTAGGTGCCACCTAAGTGATGTTCTTTTAGTAAAGCCTGAAGAGTTTGTGAGTTGTATGCATGTCATCCACATACCTGATAGAAGAGAAAAAGGTTCATAACTGAGTAGTCAAAAGAAAGTTCTAAATTGCAATGTGTATCTAAATTGCAATGTAAAATCAAGTTTTCACAGGTTCACTCAGTATACAATCTTAAGATGTTGATTACTTAAATAATATCATGGATATATTTTTTTTTCGGAGACTGGACTTTTTAGGTACCTTCAAAACAATATGCTTACTGAAAGAGCTCTTACAATTGCATAAACTTCGTCATCTAAATGTAGAATAACATTTCATAACATTACCATTGCTCAAATTCTTTCTTTAGTACGACATAGAAGAAAGGCATTAGTCAATAACTTACCTCGTCTGTGGACTATTGACAATAGGAAATCTTCGCTGCTTTCTCTGTGACATAGATGGAGGAGGTGCTAAACCAGTCCCCCAATTAGGAGGTGTTATTCGCATGGCACTCCCGGATGACGGTATCATTTGTCTTAATGTGGACCACTGTTCACATCTGGTACTTGGCTGGGATACAAATACTCTGCCATCGTCCCTTGAGAAAGACGTAAGAGGTGCCTCCCCGATAGGTACCCAGTGTGAAGGTGGATGTGGAAGGGGGCCAACCATGTGTTTGTAACGTGGCACGGGGGCAGTGCTGCGTTCATCTCTTGGTGTATATCTCTGGTTAATCCAAACAACCTCTTCTTGCTTTGCTGCTTCCTCTAGTTCCAACTGGCGTTGCATATGACGGCTAAACGCCAGTTTATAGGTGCCGAAGTCACCCATGCTCAGTGCCGCCATTTTGAAGCTTTCCTTGTTGCTAAGCGAGTCGCGAAGGAAGTGATGTCACAAAGTACCTTCAACCGATAGTCGTATTCGACCTTGACACGAAAGAGAAGGAAGCACAGCTGAAATGTTACGGAAAATTTACATTACTTAGGAGGGCTTTCTTTTTATTTTCAGATACGCACAGGAGACCAAAATGGCTGATTCAAATAGTGAACCACCAAGGTGTCCGTGTGGGTTCTGGGGGTAAGTTCCCACGACGTAATATTGTTAATTCTCGGCCAATGAACAAGATGTAATCTACTCTTTTCTTTAAAAAATGGGTGATATCACGTTTCGTATCCCACGAGTAGTTAACGACTTTCTTCTTCTTTTGTTTATGTTAATAATTACTTAACTACAGTTATTTATCTGTCATCAATGTTTTTGTGGTAATGCAAATAACGTTTGTATTTTACAGCCAATAATTGGTAATGAAATTAGGTGTTATCAATACCATTGACATTGTGCTGCTACTTTTGAGACAATCTGCATTGTACTTTACGGAAAGTATAATATTTATTTGAAGTTTTGCTTGGTAGATTAATGGATACCCATCGTTATCATCATTTTTCTGAATAATGATGTAACTTTGTGAATGGTTTGAGTAGTCAAGCTCGCTAGGCATTCCCTTGCCATATCCTGTTGTCTTTGGCATGAAGATATGGTGAGAGAAAAAGAACAGGGGCCTCTCAGACACCAATTACCTGTGCAAATATGCAGCAGCAGCAGCACTTTGATTAAATTAAAGTGAACAAAATTGACAAACCGCACAAATTGTGACAAAATAGAAGCATGTGTATAATTATTTTCACAGCAGGGAAGTCTAGAAGTGACATGAAATCAATACACCTGCTAAAAGTTGCATCATTCATGCATTTTTCAAAGAAATTCCCAGTCAACAAAGTGGTGGTCAACTTTGGTGTGTTTAAAAAACGTGAATAGATCTGAAACGGGGATTTCCATGTGGAAATGTGGCACAAATTTCCAAATAAATAATAGGACAATATAGCTTGGGCTATAGAAAGTAGGTGCACTTGGTTTGAGGGGGGTCTGATGTCTGTTTCTGTATTTCCTGAATTCTAAAAGCTTTTGTTTCAGAGTTTTTTTTCTATGGCATATGTTTGTATATGTATATGTGTGTTTGTGAGTGTGTTAGATTTTATAAAAATCGTTAAAATCGTTAACTAATTTTTTTTCATTATGGTAGATTAATATGGTATCCTAAGATGTTTCCTACAGTTTTTAGGTTCATTTAAATTATTTATTTGACATTTTTTCACAGTTTAATATAGTTTTGGGGAAAATGTAGGTGTGCAAGACATAAATTTATCAGAAAAAAAAGATGATTTAGGCGACAAGGGACTAGTTCAAAGACCTATTAAACAAGAAGCTATGTGCTTATTATCAATAAGTAAATGCCATATTTATCACTACATCACTACTGAGATTAAAAGAGTATTGATAATGAGCCATAAAGACACACTAAACTGAAATTCAATTTTCTTATGATAGTCTGATACTAAGTAATTACATCCTGAGCATTTGGTTGCATGATTTCCTGAGCTAGCTTGTACCTTTTTATGTGGAGGATGGGGAGGGGGCAAAGTAATGACTAATATGTGGTTTGTTACTGTACCTTATAGAAACACTTTTTGATAAGGAAGATGGAATGTCCCTGGCCTGGGACCATTTGTCATTTCAAACAGTGCAATTGTGTCCATATGTTCAGGAAAACAAATCCACAACTACTCTGAGACTTATCTTTTCCCCAAACAAGCAACTGTTTGGAGATTTGGTCATATTAAAAAAGTATATTTGAAAATTTGTTTTAGAGGATGCTGGTAAATCCTCAGTTTCTCTTCATTGTATGAATCATTAAGATTTTGTAAAAAAAAAAATATTGAACCGATTACTTTTGGAGTCTGAGGTTCATTTCTAATGTCTGTCTACAGTCCATTATTGAGGTCATATGGAAGAATGACCTGAATTTATGAAAAACAGAATTGGAAAATTGGCTGCTTATGATAAAGGAGCCATAGTCCTGATAATAATGATAATTTGTGAACTTTTGTTAGAGACATACAGAGCTAGGCTATCATAATCTGATATATTGCCATATGGATAACTGAGCTGACCTCACTGATTTGTGCTGTCATGGTTATGGTTTGTCTTTAGATCACTGAACAGGTCTCATTACTAGTATATGCTCTGGAAGTCTTGCTGTGCTTGAACTACCCATTTGTCATCTTGCTTATTGTTTAGAATAACTACATTATTGAAATGCGTGATATTTTGTTTTCTTTAGATCAGTCCAAAATCAAGGCCTGTGTTCCAAGTGTTACAAAGGTTAGTATGAAAGAGTGAAAGCGTTTTGGAGGTGAAGCGTTTTGGAGGTTAATATTAAATAGTGAGAGGATTTTGAGAAGCTAGATGATTAAGGGAAAAAGAATGAGTTTCTTTTGAATATTTTTAAAGAATGCAAAACCTTAAAAATCAATAGAAATATATTTTGTGACTTGATAAAATTTGTAGACAATGTGTACTGTATGCAGTTTGAAATAATGACTGAGCTACTGTAATGCAGAATAAGAGAAAAAGAAACAGTTAAACAATGCTAATTAACCAAACCATAACAGTTGATGCTAAAAGATTTATTTTCATCTTAATAGAAAAGAATGCAGCAGATCATGTGTCTAAGACTTTACCTCAGGCATCAAAACCAACTGCAACTACGAGTGGGCAACCTTCTACTAGCCAAGGTGATAATCATGATAGATAGTGATACAAAGTCGAGGCTCTGTTAACTCCATGAAAATAATGTAAAGATAGTGTGACAGTGTAGTTGTTACTTCCACTTTCTTCAATTTTTATTGGTAACAGCATAACAGTACACATGCAGCACAAGTTTTATATGGTTTATATTAAATCCATATTCACAGACAAATCTCTGAAACATATCTTGAATTTTCAAGTTTATGAATGTTATTTTTTGCACCAAAATGAAAACTAAGGTTTCTATCTCATTCTTTCAGAAACTAGTCTGCTAAGCAGCAGCAATGTGCCAGAGGAAGATACAAAAAAAGATGTGTTTAAAACTACAGATTCTGAAACAGCAGAAGCAAAAGACACACAAAAAGTTACCTGTGAAGAGGCCTCAAGTACTTCCTCTAATACTGAAGAAGGTGCTTCACCTTCCACTGGAACAAAAAGGTAGACTTGAATGACAACTTAGCACATAGAGATTTGGATTCAGCTAAAAGTGTACTTTAACTGTTGTTGACTCATTTTACCTACTTTTAGAAACTTGCTTATCAGAGATTTAAAAGATTCAGATCCTGCTGTTAATACACAGATTGATTATAAAAGAAAGGCACTGTGAGAAGAAAAGAAGGAATTTTGTATCATGTAGTTTGTCTGACATCATTATAAAAGGGTTAATTGAAGATTCATGTCAAATCACTGTATAGATCTTAAAGGAATAAATAAGTTACATTACTAATGCATCTCTGAAGATCTACCTAACAGATGTAATATGTAATCCAAGCTTTCAGCCCCTAGGCCTTCTTCAGGGATTATGAAAAAAAAAGTGAAAAAAAAAAAATCCTAGGATACGTGATGTCGGTGATGTGTGAAAGACACATGATGTCACAAAAGCGTGCTTAACGTAAACAACGCCAAGATTACGTAACAAAGAAAAAATTAATACTCATTTAGGAAACTATTTTCCCTATTTAGTCTGTTTTTCAAGGTGTCTAGTGTTCTTAAAAATTTCTGTTCGGTGATGATTGCCTAGTGTCGTTTAAGTTTCCTTTTTGTCGCCATCACACGTAACTTTTTGCTTAGTATCGTTTAAGTTTCCTTTTTGTCACCGTCTTAAAAAGCTTGGATTACATATTACATCTGTTAGGTAGATCTTCAGAGATGCATCAGTAATATAACTTATTTATTATAATAAAGGTTTAATGAAATCATATTACAAAGTTCATCCCTCTAATTTCTCAAACTTAGAGCTGTGATACATTGAATTTCATCTGTATATGTTTTTAATAGCAGGGTTTAAAAATCCTATGGAAAGTTGTATCACAAAGATGATTTGGTCCAAGTTCATGTAAAAAGAAATTTCATGACAGGAAATAAGGACTTATGGAGCACTTGCCTTAAATATTTAAAATTAAGTTACCCTAGCAGTTTCAGTTTGCCTTTCAACTTTCTATCATTTTAGTGACAACTTTCAAACGACTTTTCCCAGGGACAGTAGTGCCATTGAAGACCCGGACAAGCCGGTCCAGAAAAATAAGAAAAGATGTTACAAGTGCAATGCAAAATTAGACATGGCCCAGAGGGAAATTGGGAGGTGCAAGTGTGGTAGGTGTACTTTCTTCTGTATTGCAAATTTTTATGTAATATTTGAGAGTTGCAACAAAATAGCCAATATTGCTTGTTGACACACAATCTCATTTGGTATAACACATAAAAACCATCACACAGCAGGTGACAAGTCTAAAAATGTTTTACCTCTCTGTTAGTAAATGAGATTGGAACTGTAAATAATTGACAGTTGGTTTTCAGTGTTCTTCTTCTTATTATTATTATTACCTTAACTATGTAAATATTATTTCCAGACTATGTGTTTTGCAATTTGCATAGACTTCCTGAACAGCATGATTGTATTTTTGATCACAAGGAGAGTGGGCGCCAGCAGGCTAGAGACAAAATAGTCAAGCCCACAAGGCATATGGGAACTTCTTTGAAGAGGCTGGATTCAAATTGAGTGTAACTGGTTGCTGAAATAGTATGTTATTTTCAGGAGAAACCTTTCTGTGTGTAACCACGCATTTCTTCAATGGGATTATTGGCAGAAAGGAAACAGTTTATTACATATATAAAGATACTTTGAAAATGGCATTAATCCATTGCTTTCAAATGCCCACACAACACACCCAGCTTTTATAATGTGCTGAAATTTGAAGATGTGTTTTCATTGGCAGGGCAATTTTTTTCACCATTGAGATGTGGATTCACTTAAGCATCTAAAACACTTTATGGTAAAATGGACAGTGACCTTAAAAATGCGAAGGACTTACAAGAGCTTGTTTTGTGAGTGGAAACTGTTAATTTGCTGCCACATATCTAAGATACTATTTTAAGCAATGCAATAAACACTGTAAAGGCAGCTCTTTATTCATAAGTTGCCACTTGCTAAATTGCTGTGAACATATGTGGTAGTTAATACCTTTATATTGCCACTGGAGGCAAGTTCTACAGTTTGTTACAATATGGTGGGAAATGAAGCCATTTTCATCAAAGTATGAATCACAAGTAGATGTGGATTGTAACACTAACACCACTTGCAGATTTTAAGTGTAAGTTAATAGCATGTTCATCTTTGCATGTGGCCTTGGTGTTTGGTGGTATATATATGTTCAGCTGAGACTTTCTGTAAAACACTTAACTTAAAGATGATAAAAGAAAGTTAAACTTGGCAATTGAATTCTTTAAAAGTTAATTTTAGTCATTTTAGTAACAAAAAGTATGACATATCATCTGGGAGTTTGACAAAAGGGGGATAGTACGCATTACTTTTGAGTCCATCAGCCATGATCTGAGGTAGTGTTGAACAGTACTTGGTGATGAACCATTTAGACCACATTTTTATTCACACATCATACCAGCTGGGTAGGTCCAACTCTGCGGGGGAGTCTCACTAAAGTGCAATCAGTGGAATCGGCTTAATTGTCTGACACGCCTGCTTGGGCAGCTAGGGGGGTAACTTACTTTTGTGTGCGCTCAGCTTGGTTACCCCTTAGCTGCTCATGGAGGCATGGCAGACAGTTAAGCTGATTGCACTCAGTGAGAATCCTCAGCAGAGATGAACTGGCCCAGCTACTAGTAAGATGTGTGAATCTGGAAGGGCCCTTACTCAGCATTTTGACTAGTTGCAGTCCTGTGGCTTTAAAAACATTTAATGTGGCATACATGGGGGATATTGCAAAATCAGCATAGAGATATATATTTTAAGAACAATATTCTTGGTACAGAAGGCAGGTTAATGTTAGTAGCCTGACACAGTTAGAATACACCTTTTTGTAAGAATCCATGGGATCTTTGTTCTTAACAGAATTTAGCTTTGAAAAGTGGATAAAATACAACCTTTCATACTTCAAGTGAAATGTTTTGCTATGCAGTGTTTCATGGTGCAACACATACATATCACATATGTTGTTGGTATGCATTGGATGATATTGATATCCTGGAAAGTGTTTAGTAAGATAGTTACCCTGAAGAAAATGACTGGAAAAAATTTAATAGTCCATCAGATGAGACTTGTATAACTAAAGTTTACACTGTACATGCGATTGTGTTGCATGATGGGAGTTCTATTGCTAGTAGAATTTTTAAAACTTTCCCTAGCTTTATAAGAGCAAATGTTTTACCTTACCTGATAACTGTAACCTGATTTTTATCCAAGGCATTCAAGTCAATCTGGTTTCATTTGTAAGGTGTTGTCATACGGGCACCCAAAGTGTATCATACATGGTAACTTCAATGAAATCTTGTAAATGTAATGCTCAACTACATTTCATTTTGAAAGTGCTTGTATGGCCACCAAAAAGATCTATAATTTGCAGTACCATTCATTTTAGCTAGTTGTAAATGTACAAGTTGGAAAGTTATAAACAATAGTAAATGTTTTGTCATTTCAAATAAATGGACAAACAGTAGTTATTAAGTTTGTCTTGTATTTCTATGAATGCAACAGAAACTGTTTTAAACACAGCTTAAATCTGATCATGTCCTGTACAGAGCATAGTGCAGCAAAGATAAACTGGCAGGTCACAAGCAAATGGCTTTGAATACAACTGTATTACATACGTTTGTCTTTTGTGATGATGACATTTTTACAGAAAACAAACTTTTGCATGCATATTTTGGACAGAAAATCCCCTTACCTCTTTATTTATTGCTTGTGTTTTTTTTCAACAAAACAAAATTCACACATTCTGTGGGGCCATCCAGAATGAAAGATCCAAGAATCAACTGGTCCAAGGCTCAAATATTGCGGACCCTACATGAAAGGAAGACCACTTAATCCTGTAATGGTCTCTCCACCTTTCACAGGCCTCCCCACGACATATTTGAGCCTTGGACCAGTTGATACTTGGATCTTCTATTCTGGATGGCCTTTATCTCACATGATAACTTTTCTTTTCAAAAAACTACTTCTGACATGTACTTAAGCAGTGATTTATTATCTACACAGTGAAGTTATGAGGAAATGACTGGACAGAAACTTAACATTTAACAAAACCAAACAGAACAATTTGCATGAAAGGAATGTTATTTGTGGTGAAAGACACAAATTATTTAATATCTACTTCTTTACTGATATACATAGTTATGTATGCCTTTTGGCCGCATATTCTGTGTATTAAAGTTCTTCCTTCCTCTCAACTTTCAGGAGTTCCACTTCAAATACCAGTGTAGCATCAGCTAGAAATTAAAAGATAAAAACTTGAGTCTTACTACAATAAACAAAATATATAACACAAACTAAAAACTGCATCATATTCTATGAATAAGCCAAACAAATTCTTTTTGCACTAGATCTCATCGTGATAACAAAGAATGGAAATGCAAGGAATGTTGTTTTTTCACATTTGTCATGCTTTATTTATAAAAGCACACGAATCACACTGTAATTACAGCATGTCTTTTGTTTTATTTATTGTCAATGACTGATTTCTGCAAGGCTAGTGATCTGACTACTGCATTAATAGTGCAATGTAGAGATGTGACACTGAGGTACAGTGTGATAAAACTTGAGATGCTGCATTGTGTTAGATGTGCCAAACAGAATGTTACCTGGGATCTTTGGTGGTGCTCCCCTGGCTCCATATCCAAGGTCTGATGGTATAACTAGCTTCCTTTTCTCTCCTTCACACATTCTATATAATTACAAAAAATTATGTAATATACATGACAAATAACTTAAACTGAATACTTCATTATTTTTAAAATAATTTGTCACAGGTCACAAAAAAATGTGTCAGCTTACCCAAGAAGACCTTGATCCCATCCTTTTATCACTTGCCCTGAGCCAAGCGTGAAAACAAATGGCTGCCCCCTTGGAATACTACTGTCAAACTCTGTTCCGTCTTCCAGTTTACCCTTATAAGACAGACGGGGAAATTACATACAAAAAAGACCCTGAGACAAATAGGCTTTAAATATCACAATATTTTCAGTTTTTCACATTTCTCTTATTTCAAATAACATCAGAAAATCAATATGAAACAAACAAGCATCTTACTGTATAGTGCATGTGAAGAGTATCTCCCTTCTTGGATTTTATTTTGCACTGGTCTGGTTCAACTCTCTTCTTTACACCAATCTGTAACTTTTTTACTTTTTTATCAGACTCTGCCCCAAGACTAGCCGTTGCCAGCAAGCACAGGCAAGCTGCAACCATCTGAATATAGCTACAATTCATACTGCCACTGAAATACAACAAGTGCAGCTTTAAAAAAACGTCCTGATGCTGTAAATTAAGGCAAGGATCCAAAAGTCACCCTGAGCTTCAGAGCTAACTTGACACTAACCTTTTCACTGTAGCCTATTCTCCATCGTGTCAAGTAACTTGACACGATGAAGATAGGCTACAGTGAAGAGGTTAGTGTCAAGTTAGCTCTGAAGCTCAGGGTGCCAAAAGTTGAATCCTAGTTTAACCTGGAAATTATTGTGAATTTTACATTGTTTACTAAGTCCTAAAACTGAAATTGAAGCTGGGTAGAGCAATGACTCAAAAACCCTGATGGAACACATTTTAAAATTTAACTGGATGGATCATTCCAGAACTTAGAAAATACCTAAAGTGAAAGCTTCACATAGAAGGTTATAACGATCTAGGCCTGACACTGCATAGGTTAGCTAGAGCAGTGAACCACGGCACTGAGGTCTGACTAACATGGGACTTTATTCATTCTTACCAGTGCCATTGGTAACCACTGACAGGAATTCGTATGCTTGCATTATATTTTATCTATGTTATTTTTAGTATTTGTAGTTAATAACTGTTTTACACTCCTTTTTATAACTGTTTTTACACTACTTTTTAGAGAGCAGTGCCTGTTAAAGTTAAACTCAAGTTTTAAAATACACATACATGTACTCAAGTTCACGACTTCCAAGTAAAACACGTGTACTCTTTATCAAAATTTGAATTTTTTTTTCAATATTCAGACGGTCATTATAGCATAGCGTATATACTATTTTCTGGCCAGTTCTAGAAAGTTGCATTCCAATGGCACATCAAAATAAACCCTTCCATTAATTACCCAAATCTGATTAGTGAATTTACCTGTCCGGTGTTGTGCCAAAATAGGTACGCTGCCAAAATAGGTACGCGCCGCACTATTTGGCACTATAGCTGCCAAAATAGGTACGCTGCGAAAATTAGTACGTCGTTGACAGCTCCGCACTGACGATCTTTGGGCATGTTTTCTTTTTAGTGAAACTGTATGTTTATCGATATGACACTTTACTAAATCAATCACAACGAAGGAAAANACAGTTTTCATCTGGAAAACACACAAAAAAAAAATTAATTATTTTTGCATGTGTATGTGTTTGTGCTTGAGTGTGTTTGTATAGTATGTAATTTTTGTGTGCCCATAACTTTATTACTTAACATGTATTGACACAGTCTTCGAGTGAAAATATGAATGCTATTGTCTATATTAACAATGAGATGCACTAATATCGATCTTTAAACCATTAACTTTTGAGAAATCATTGAAACACAGGATTTTTAGAAAGTTTTTTCAAGTATGATGCTTTATTAAGACTTGAAATCTTGCCCCAGACAAACATAGCATTGTATCTAATTCGGGGGACTGCTTCCTATGGATATATTAATTTTGTATTATAATATTCAAAGATGCTCTATATAGGACAGGAGGGCGTCTCGATAGTCCGAAGGTTCATTGGTCCGAAAAGTGGTAACATTTTCATCGATTTTTTGTTCAAGGGTTCATTGGTCAGAAGGTTCTATAGTGAATTTCTATATAAAATATAGTTCTATATCCTTCGGACTATTGAACCTTCAGACCATTGAACCTTCGGACTATTGCTACGGCCCCTAGGACAGATCAAGTGTTATTTTAGCTAATGAATTTTTATTGTTATGTATAGGCATAATCAGAATGCAGTTAGTTCACAGATCAAATATGGCAATACTTGAAAGTATGCTGCACAATATCCTGACAATAGTACTATAGTAAAAGATTCCCAGCCTCACACGTGCATTGTCCTAGCTAGCAGAGGCAGAGTAATAAAATCTGGGCATGGGAAATGCTATATGTGCCTTATGTGATAGCTTACATTTAAAACTAAATGGAGTATTCAGTATCTCCTTCTCAAATTTTACAGATTACATTTAACATTGGATTTTGTGAAGTTTATAGAGTGCCTAACAACACTGTTGATATTAGATGAGTCATAGAGCACCTTAGGAAATGCTTACCAATTTACACAAGCCTGTTTCACAAAACTTAGTGGTGTGCCTTCAGTATGTATATCTTCTCAAGAAACTTCTTCACTGTTAGTTGCTCTCCACACATGCTGCCTTTTCACTGTTGGTCTCCTAAAACATTCTTCATTTGGAAAATTGTTAGCTGTGTCACTAATGAAAAAAACTTTGAAACAGAAAAAAGAAGGTTAGTAATCAAACAGCTACTGGTATATTATTACGGACACCAGCCTACACAGCAATGTAACCTAAATAAAGTACCTAAAACATTATTTGGATCACTTGTTTTTATCTGAAACTCAAACTGCAATAAGAAGGTATAAATCAGTACCTATTATGGTCTGTCACTTTATCATAAACTTACAATGAAAAGCTTTTTGAATCTTTCTTACTACGTGGGTCGTACAAAACAGGCGTCGACACTATCAATACACAAAAGCCCTAAAATATCACTTTTGCATATATCCATTTCACTTGCTATGCACACCAAGTCAAGAAAGTGATCTTTCATCACCTATAAGATACTTTTAATTGGTCAATACACCCTAAAAAATATCAAATTTAGAGTTTGGAAAAATAATTCATCAAATCAAAGGCGACCAGACTGAAACAATTTAAAAAGTCGCTGAATTATCAAATATAAATAAACGTTTCAACAAATACATATATTATAAAAATCAGAAAGTGATCTGTACTCACCAATGGGTTACATTTCGTTGGTCATTGTACCCCCAAATATCTTAAATTCGGAGTTTGAAAAAAATGTTTTACAAATCGGACGTATTTTCGCAGCCGGAAGTTTCGGTAGCCATTTTGTGCGCAAAAGCCCAACGCGCATCCAAAACGTACATATTTTGGCAAGGACTTGTTTTTGCAAAACACCGGCGACTCAACTTACCGGAAACCGGATACTTAATTCTAATGCGCATGCGGAGCTAACAGGAAGCCGCATTGTTGTCGTTGTAGCGCCATTGCCGGTTTGAGGGTTATATAGATATAAATCTTAGCCATCAACAGTTTCAGACATGACGTACGTATTTTTTAAATCATATATGCTATTTTATGGTTATATAGCTTGTCGCTCACCTTGGTAGTTCTGCATTGCTGGTAGTACTTTCATAGACATATAGATTCTACAACTGATGCATGTTTGGTTTATTCACTCCAGCAAACGGTGTAGGCTCAAGCATCATTGCCGTATACTACATGTACTATACAACCGTCTTTACAGATGGAGCTGCCCACTTTTGATGCATTAGGTCGAGGCAGGCCCAGCCCTATGTCACGGATACCACTTCATTTCGCACTTAATAAGTGCAGCATCCCGTTTGCTTGACTGAATTTGAAACGAAGGGGTTCTGTAATTTGTTAATATTGTTAAGATTTTAACAGTATTTTTATTTCATACATCCTTTATGTATTATTTTCAGCACTCCAATGCAGAAACCCCGGGGAGAGATGACCCCAGAAGAGCTCGCACAGAGAGAGCAGGAGGAATTTAACACAGGCCCGCTGTCTGTTCTGACTCAGTCAGTGAAAAATAACACACAGGTCTTGATCAACTGCAGGAATAACAAAAAACTTTTGGGCAGAGTCAAGGCATTTGATAGGTAGTGTATGTTAATTGTCTTCTGGAAATTGAGTATAAAATCATAGGGAAATATTCAGATGATCTTATAACCCCTCTAGACATTGCTGATGGCACTTTTAAATTTATAATAATATTATTTGATAGGAGGTACTACATTGTCTTGTTACTCTAAGCGAGCCTTCTAGTGCACACTAAAACCAGGCATTGAATAACTCAAAACCTGTGCCTTGTTTTATGGGAACATTATTGATGAAGAAATCCATTTCTGTGCCATTGCATAATGTGTCAAGGCATCATTAATTATGAGTGAAATTTTGCAGCCCAATCCTCAATTTGCTTGCCAAAGATAGTGGCTTCAATAGGTCTATATTGTGTGAAAAATTAAGTGTGCATTTGTTGACTCCTGGCATTTTACTTTCAGACATTGCAATATGGTTTTGGAAAATGTAAAAGAAATGTGGACAGAGGTTCCAAAAACTGGAAAGGGGAAAAAGAAGTCTAAACCTGTGAATAAAGACAGATACATTTCCAAGATGTTCCTGCGGGGAGATTCAGTTATCCTAGTGCTGAGGAATCCACTAGCAGGAGCAAAGTGATAGTTACTGGTACATTATTGATACTGTGGATTTGATTCCAGGGCTAGAGATTGGCCAAAAATGTAGAGCTATGCACTAGCCAAAGTGGATAAAAAAGGATTGCAGAAATTAGTTTTTCATGAGACTAAGAATTCCTCCAAAATAAAAATTGAGCCACTGGATAGGTATGGTCTGGCATAAGACACCCTTAAGGAGGCCTGTTGTTTAGGTAGCAACCTTAAAAGGAGACAAAAACCTTCATTTCTGCAGTGGCAGGTATCTGACATAAGAGTGTATGGGAGGTACAGACAATGCACTCGATTTTCACCAAGTCTTTAAAAAAGTGTCAAGAACATATGTCATTGTCTCTTGTCAGTCATTATTAAAGTATTAACCTTTCAGGTTTTCATAAGGTTGTTTATTCTGCTTCAACATTGATCAAATGGCAATGTGAACCGTAAGCTGTCAGAGAGCTTTAAGCTTTGATTATTTGTTGTTAAACAATCCACGTATGTTTCTTTACATTTTAATGGATATGTTCTATATGAGGTTCATCAGAAATGTTTCCATTTTGTAGCCGATTCTATTATTAAACTTAAACAATGTAGGTACATTATAGCTTGATGACTTTGAATGTGTAAAGAAGTAGTTAAGATGCAGAATTATTTTGTACATTTTTTATGTAAATTTGATAGTAAAAATACCAAATTAATATTCTGAGATATTTTGAATGAGTGGTGTGGAAATTGCCATTTTGAAATGAGTGATTTTGTCATGGTGTACGTTTATCCAGCCGTCCCCACACTATAATTGTGGGTGGTAGATATTTTATAAAACATAATAACTTTTGAGAACTTCAAGACGTGCTGCAATTTGAATTTATTGTTAAATTTATGTGAATGACACAGTCCAAAATAATTTGAAGAAAAGTTTGATTTCAAATGCAATCACTGACATTAAAAAAGTTTTTATTAGAAATATGAAGCCAGTCAATTAATAGACAAGAACAAAATAGTGAATCGAGAACATTTCCTGTAATTCGCTGCCAGTCTTCTTTCTAAAAGCCCGTCTCGCAGATAAAGTTGAGTTGCAGCTCACAACTGACAGCATTCATATCGCGCTGCTGTGGGCGTAACTGAACGCAACGCCCGTTGCCGTCAGCGCCAGTAAGTAGTATTCCACTTGCAGTGGAGTTCACTGCTCGCCCAGTGCCGGCCCAGATAAGGTCATTGCGCCTGAACAAGTCGTTACCACCGCTCCACCATTCCTGCCCTTGTTGGTCTGAAAAAAAAAGATTGTTTCAATGGCGAGTTCTGTTTAAATTTAATGGTATTGTATTGCCAAAAGTGAGTAAAAGGCCGAGACTGTTATTTTCATTCTTCGCCTCAATTTTGATATAATTCCCTTTTATTTATTTATTTATTTATATTTTTGATGACATCCTGTAATTTCAGGACAAACAGTTATGACATTTAGATCTGAATATTTTATGTTTATGGTTGTAGTAAATAAGACATGAAAAAGCACAGACTCTTACCTGCGTTCATTTGAGCTCGAATAACTTCATATTCTGCGGCAGTCTCGACGGACACCAGTCTGGCCTGGTAATTCTCTGCACAATACCTCTCTGCGTCCACCCACGACATTTTTTTTGTGACCAATCTGTGACAGGTTCGAAGAGTAGGATCTTTTCTAAAACACTTGGGGCACTTTTCTGTTAAAAATAAAGTCGATAATTAAAACAATGAGACCAAAAATGGTACATTTAAAATTAAAAGGTGGTTAACCTAGAAAAGCACTCAGAGAGCACAAACCTCCGCCAAGGCAGCAAAGTCTCTATCCAATGCCTTTTAACCCTTAAATTTTCGATATTTTTTATTATTGATTGATTATTGATCCGGATCACCACCAAAAACTAATCATCTGTTCCTTGGCCCAGTTCTGAAAATTTCATTAAAATCGGTACATAACATTGTTTTTTATTATTGATTGATTATTGATCCGGATCACCACCAAAAACTAATCATCTGTTCCTTGGCCCACTTCTGACAGTTTCTGAAAATTTCATCAAAATCGGTCCATAAATTTTTGAGTTATGTTGATGATAGACAGACAAACAAACAGACAGACAAACAGGGGTGAAAACATAACCTCCTTGGCGGAAAGGGCTAAGGTGTATCCATACATGTATAACCAACACATGTTTGTCAGGGAACTGACTTATTTTTGTGTGTGTGTGTGTGTGTGTGTGTGTGTGTGTGAAACTGGGGCTGGTGCAATTTCCATATCCTGGTGAAGTTGGTGACTGATGACGAATGTTAGTATTGCTGCCACTGATACATTTGTCTTTTCAAAGCCACTATGACACAAAGTGTTTTACAGTGAACTTTTACCTGTGCACTGTTCGTCGAGGGTGTGTAGAAGGGTAATCAGTTTGTTCAAGCGGGTCTTCACTTCGGCCAGTGGTTTATCACCTTCTCCGTTATCTACACCCGGGCAATTATTAACAGCTAAAAGAACAATTATCATGCAACGATTTGTCTTTTTTATCCAAATTCATAATTAATAACACAAGACTCTAAATTATAATTTGAATAAAAGAACGAGAATTGGAATTAAGTCGAAGCACTAAAAGAATTTTGTATACAAGAAAAATTAGTATTTAAAGCATTTTTTATGTAAAAATAAATCGTTGTAAATTAACAGATAAAAACCGAAAAATCTACCTGTTTCGCAAACTTTTTCAAATAATTTGAACGTATTTTGCAACAAGGCATCGGTATCTTCAACCTCGAACACGTGGGCATCTACGGGCGTGGACGCTATGGATTCCAAAGTAGGCCTAAATAAATGATGCCTTGAGTTATTAGTAAAGTTCAAAATGAATGTGCAACCGCAAATATGCCCAATTCATCTCTTTTGATACATTTAAGACAACAAAAGGCTGTAAAAACTAAGATAGGCAATGAACTATGTTACAGAAGATCTTCATCAGAATAGGAATAACGACTCGAGCGGGTTTTTTGGTGATAAAATGATTTTTAAAGCTAAAACATCCAGATTTACTCCCCTGATGTTTTGCACATATTTGTTGATATGTAAAAGAATTTTCGCCATATATAAATAAGTAATTGCATAATTCATCCAAACCTTTTCACTGCTTGACCAACTCCGACTGCATAAATGGTAATATTAGCTTTCTTAGCTGCATCAGCGTTGGGAACAGTGAGAGCCTCGTCTTCATTCGGTTTCCCGTCCGTGATGACGATCGCTATTCTTGGCACGCCTTGGCGAGCGCCGTTGGCCGCATTGAAGATCTTATTTCTCATCACGAGCAGACCTCCAGACGTGTTAGTACGTTTGCCAAGGGAGATGCCGTTCACTCCAGAGAGGTTTTGGTGGATGTATGCTTTCATGGCAGTTTTATCTATGTGAATGATAAATGATAAATGGGGATGTTACAAACAAACAGAATGTATTTCAACATTTCTCTACTATACAATACTAATGTTTATTAGTAGCTGTATTTGTTCGATTTTTCTTGATGCTACATCCCAATGCTGAATTGACCTGTACATTTACACCATCTCAGTCTGATGTAAAATGTGAATAAGGAATATATGCCATATTGAAAGAATTAGCAGAACAGCAGCATAATTTCCGAAAATACGACTTACCTTTAAACGCGTTTAATTTCATGTCGACCTCTGCCTTCTGACTGAAATGAACGATTCCAACCTGAACCTTGTCTGGCCCAATCTCTACGCTGTCAACAAAGTTCTTCACGTAGTCCAACACTTTAGCAAAATTTTGTCGTTGGATGCTGTTAGACGCATCCAAGACAAAGGCTACATCGGCCTTAGTTTTAGCCGTGCATGCTGGAAAGGTACATAGTTTGTGAGTGTAATTTAAGTACCGTTTCATTGAAAAAAATACCGGTAGTTACCCATTTAACGGGGGTACATGATGTAATATGTCTGCATATGTATACCGTCTAACAATTCAAACTGTTTAATTTCCTAAAACTATTTCTCAGTAACCAGGGGCGGATTTAGGGCGTCTTCTGGGTCTTCCGGAAGACGGTCAGATTTTCAAGTTTACATTGACGGGTATCTAATTTTATCTGTCGGAAGACGGTCAAAAATTGAGGATAGATCAACAAAGATAATTTGGAAGACTGTCGGAAAATAACTCTGGATCCGCTCCTGGTAACCGTCGCGAAATTGCCTTTAATCCATGTAATCTAATCTGCAAAACTCTCCCTGCCGTCATTACGTAATTATTTTCGAAATAAAACGTAATTAAACTGAAGGTAAAACGCATCTACATACATTAAATTAGTATTCTACGCTAAGTTACCCACCCTTATTGTCGGAAAATGTGCCTTGAATCAGAACGGCTATGACAGCCGCCAAACGAAGGAGCAATGGAGACATTGTGCTACCGAACGCTTCTCTGGAAATGCAGTTTCGCTACCCTTTTATAAGCCCGTAACCTCGTGTTTCGCTACCCTTTTATAAGCCCGTAACCAAGTTTTTTGTTTTCGTTTTGTTTACTTATGTCTCCATCTTCTTAAACTTCATCTTTGTAAATTTGATGGCTTGAGAGCTATTAATCACTCACTTATTAGTATGCCTTTAGTGTGCGTTCTCGTAAGGACCGCGTTGAATTCTTTGAGTTACGGATCCGACATCGATAAAATTACAAATGACATTATTATTCATTTGAAACTCATTAATTGGATTACCGCAATTAAAGACCTTGTTAATTTCTATGAATATTTAGTTAGAAATGTTATTCAAAATGAAATCGGAGAAAGAATAATTTAAGCACATAAAGGATAGCTACTGAAGAAATTTGAGGAATTCATATTAAAATGCCGAAAAAAGATTATCTCTTCATTTCCTAAAGCTATTTTGTTCCTAAAAATTTGGGATAAAAGGTTTTTTCGCCATGGAAGTTATTTAATAATCATATCCAACATAAATTTCACATCGAATTTTTAAATTTTAAATTTGCTAATTTCTTTAATATCCGCTGTTTTGTTTGTTTGTTTTTTTAAATTTTTTTATATCAGAACTTGAAAATAAGTGCTTCTTCGCACTGTATCGTTTATATCGATTTTAAGCTAAAGTGATAAGTAAACTACATAAAATAACATAATCATAACCCTATTAAATTGTCCTTTCATTTGTGTATGTTAAAAGTGAATTTTGTAAAACAAATCATTAAATTTAGTAGCCTTTACTTGCTGATCGTGTTTGTGATTTTTATATCGGGACACAAGCAGAGAAAATTAACACTAACGTCGAGGGTCAGATAAGAAGTTAATGTCCATTTTGTCAACCTGTTCTCACGAACGGTCAAATGATTCGCTGTGATTAAATACGACAAAGAGCAGTGTCAATATGATGTCCCCGCACGTTGTCAAGGATGATCCTTAACTTAAAAACTATTTTGCCCCTCTTGAGAAGTAGATATAATACTAATAAACCTAGCCATTAAAACTGTCCTTGAGAGTGTGGCAAACTAAAGCTTGGTTTTACAAACTTCTACGGTCAGCTCTTTTTTTTCTCCTATTAAATTCTGTCATGGTTAAGGGAATAAATGTAATTATAAATATTAAATATCGTATTATAATATGCAATCGCTGTTATTAATTTAGGAAAACAAAATATGTCTTTTTTTAATATAAAAAAAATTCTAATGCTTATAAATTGTCTTTTAAGTGGGTTTCTCATTGCTTGACTCCTCGTATTGAGATCAATCTAATCGATAACTTTAATCCTACGTATCTAATCATGTTTGAATTAGCAGTAATAACATTGCTATTCAGTTTTTTTGTAAGAGTTAAATATATTCAATTGGCATTAAAACGCTCTATTGGCGTCATTTGTGTCTTATGAATATTATGGCATGGCACTTCTTAATGTCGACAATAACAATACGCAATGCTTTGTTTTAAGATAATCTTTTATTTAATGTTGACTTATCCATTACACTCCTTAATTCCCTTCACATGCTCCTTAAGAAGATCGAACTCACAGATATGACACGATTAAACCCTCCAAAACTTAGACATTCCGAAACACATCCATATCAATTTGAGTGAAAACTCCCATCCCCCTTGTCCATGTTAAAAACAAGATACACATGAGGTGTGACACTTAGTAAACGTGATAGGGTCTTAATAGATTTCAAAGATAATACCAAAAACAAATACGGACTGCTTTAAGGTAAAACTGGTCAGGTTACCATAGGTCATGCCTCTCACTTACGTTTGCCACACATCTTTACCTTATTAGTCGATAGAAAAAAAAACTTCCACGAATCTTTTTAAATATCGCGTTCACTTGGGTTTTATAGACCATTTTATTTTTAATTTCCAACTGTTTAGGCCCCTACATGAAATAAGAGCTCAGTAATATGTGTGACGAAGAAGTTGTCTTTATATTTTGTTGTAGGTAGTAAATAGGAGATAGGCCTACAACGCCGTTATATTTTTTCATTTTATTTATTAGGGCCTAAATAATTTCCAGCTGGTTCCCGCGCCGCCTTTTTTTCCATTTCTATCTCTACCTCATCTCCAACGGCCTTCTTTCTGTTAACATTACGCATTGTATAAATATCATAAGAGCAGTTCCTCTACAAAACACTCCCCGTTCCTTATGCAGTCGTGGCTGTCAGTTACTAACATTACACTTACAATCATCCTTCATGGCATTGCCAAACAGAAGTTTCCTTCTCAGATTTTAAACAAGCTTACTTCATTCAAAGATCTTCAAAGTAAGTTCCCTTGTAAGAAAAGTGCCTGGTTTTTCTGTTTGTTATTAGTGATTTTCTTAATTTGATGAGGTTAAAACTAGTCTGGAATGAGCTGATACACATACAGCGGGGCCGTAGGTCCGAAGGTCCGTCGGTCCAAACGTTCGATAGTCCGAATTAATGCATGAATATTTAGTGCATAAGGTAATGGCAATAAATAAAGTTCATCGGGGCAAGTGCGTACGACTTTTTGGACCAAGGAATCTGCGGACCAATGAACCTTCGGATTATCGAGATCCCCCCCCCCCCCCCCCCCCCCAGGCTCATACAGCTAATGGTAGGACCCTACACAACAACAGGAACAAAAAGAATAAAGAGTTCTCCCACAGTTCTGAACATTCCACGTATACATATGAAACATAATGGTTGCTTTTAGGCTACTACTTCGGGCAGGATTTTAACTGGGGCACACTCATTGGAGGTTTAAACCTTATTTTGCTTTGTTCGGAATGTACTGCATAAAAATAGGGATTTAGAATATTACAATCATTTTAGTGGGGGGAGGTGGGGCGGGGGGGGGGGGGGGCAATCCTTGTTACCTCCACCAAAGATGTTATGTTTTCACCCCTGTCTGTCTGTTTGTTTGTCATCAACATAACTCAAAAAGTTATGGACCGATTGTGATGAAATTTTCAGGAACTGTCAGAAGTGGGCCAAGAAAGAGATGATTAGTTTTTGGTGGTGATCCGGATCAATAATCAATCAATAATCAATAATAATAATAAAATCGCTGCCTTGGCGGAGGTCTGCGCTCTCGGAGTGCTTGTCTAGTTGATAATAAATATATCCTCATTTAATATTAAATAACTGTATTGTACAAACTTAATTGTGTATCAAGCATATAACAGCTATAAATAAATAGAGTTATCAAAAATATAGCGAAAGTATACGAATGGGACAAGATCGAGAGGCACGGTAGGACATATGGTGATCCATACCAATGACAGATGATAACCGCGCAAAGGAAAGGCGAAGTAAGGTGTTCGTGCTTTTCCGGAAAAGTCCGTCAAAGAAATATGACACTAGGGTCAATGTCAAGGACGTCATACAAACGCTGGATCATTATTTGTGGGGGAAATAAGCAATAATAAAGTGTCTGTACCAAGATTATAATGGCAGTAGTAAATTGGTCAGGTACAAAAATTAGTCTTGGAATAAGTGCATTGGTTGGATTAGTTGGGATCGGATATATTCTAGTGAAGCACAGGAAACGAAAGCGCCAGAGGATTGTTGATACGGTACGTCACACTCTCTCAGCCCGATTTACTATAACTAAAGTTAATCGTAATAATACTACTACCGAGTGAATTCTTAGTAATTCACTCATCCATCGTTATCATATTTTTTAACAGACAACAGCTAATTGAATTAAAAAAGAAGAGCTGAAGTTAGATCATATGAGGTCACAATAGATCTTTTCTTGCTTTATAATTAATATAACACATCTGCACCCAGTGATGTATAGCACCTGTCAGTGCCACATACTGGCCACAGTGCTAGTGCTACATGAAAACCTAAGCATTATATTAGTTAAAAATAAGGTGAAAGCCTTATGCGTGATTGTTTAATGGAAGGAATTTGATGCAAAATTGGCTGCATCCCTCAATTATAAACCCAACCCAGTGGGAGTGGTGTTTTAGTTGACTAGTCAATGAATACATTAATTTCCTTACAGATTGATGAACTGCAAAAGGTGCATGTGCACATAAAGGATCGTGACAGAGTAGAACAAATTCTATTGAAACTTGTTGAAGGTGGAAAAGAAAAATTACAAGTAAGTGTTGTATAATTCAGCTGACCTCTCTCTCTCTCTCTCTCTCTCTCTCTCTCTCTGTCGCTGTCTTTGTGTTCATCTTGTTAAATTTCAGGCATAGCTAAAAAATTAACTTTTTTCTTTTTTCAGATTGTAGCAGACTTTGACTTTACTCTGTCTAAGTTTACAGAAAAGGGCAATAGATGTTCATCCACACATAGTAAGTTTTGATACAAAATATTTATTTATACAAAATTGTATTGAACTAGTTTATTCCAAGAGTATGTTAATCAAATTAATCATTACTATTTATCATAACTTACAATGTTACAGAATTAAAATGTATAGACAAAAAGTGATAAATGCTGATTGTTTTGAACAATGCTGAATGAAAATGATAATTGAGGATTAGCTTGCTCTATGTATTTTAGATATTTATGTCAAATAGAAAATATAAATAATGTTATTATATATAATTTTTTCCTCTAGATATCCTAGATTCAAGCCCAGTGCTGCCAGTGCAATATAGAGAACAGGTAAGAATAACAGTATGACTGCCCCAACCATACTAATTTTTAAAAATCTGTAAGTGAATACAAAACAGTAAGACACACACTTATCATCTATGTATATTATAATTAAAATTTTATTTATTTATTTATTTATGAAATTATTTATTTATGAAATTATTTATTTATTTTATTTATATTTGCAATACATTACGCTTGGTACAATTCTGTAGCCAGTCCAAGACACTTTATTATGTGAAGTTTTTAGTCTTTAAGCCAACAAAAATATGATGTCATACATGGGGTTAAGTCAAGTCAGTGTTCTTGTGCTGGCATTAACAAAAAAAAAAAACTTTGATTTTGCCAGGCTGTTGCTCTGAGGGATTTTTACTTTGCAATAGAAATAAACCATGAGATGACATTAGCACAAAAAGTCCCATACATGGTAGAATGGTGAGTTCTTTCCCAAGTAACTAGTTATTTAACTTAATACTTTTGTACAAAACTTAAATGTGAAAACAGGCAATTTCACATGAACAGCAGCTTTAATATTTTTTTCATGGTATTAAATGTGTATAAATTAGATCTTATATTTCTTGTGAATTAAGATTCAACCTCTAATTCTGGATAATGGACTTTTTAAATTTTCATGCATTTTGTTATATTTTGTAATAGTTTGTAGTAATTTGAAATTTTAGTAAATTCATTTTATTCTTTCATTTTGTCAAAGGTGGACAAAGGCACACAACCTTCTAGTTCAGTGTAATCTAAGAAAGGGAATGATTCCAGAAATGATCCAAGCAAGCAATGCAAAACTCAGGTATGTGGTGGTTTTGTTTTAGATATGACCAACAACATAACTTAATAGTGCTGATTTTCACATCTGACAAGGAGATTATGTTTAGCTTGCTGTTAGTGGGTTTGTTTGTGCACATTATTTCACAAAAAATTAAGGAATGGGTTTTGATGCAAGTTTCAGGATAGGTCACAAAAGGGCCAAGGAAGAAATGATTAGATTTTGGTGATGATTGATTAATTAATTAATGGTAATTTATTACTTATTTGTTTGTCTGGGCAGGATTGCACTCTCTGAGTACTTTTCAAGGTAAAAATGATATTGACTTTATTTTGATAATGTTAATTTGATAATGCTTTTATTTGTTATGTTTATATCCAGGATTTAGATGCAGGCTATTTGTTCAAGTTGATAGAATTGTTGAGAATTTATGAGAACTAATTAAAAATTTACCCAGTTAAATTTGTATGATACTGCTCTTGCAGGTGACAAATGGTTATGGAATAGCTTTTAGTAAGTATGATGTATTATTTCTTTAGGGATGGATGTACATGGATGTTTAATCAGCTGCACAAGCACCAGGTTCCACTACTAATATTCTCTGCAGGTCTAGGGGACATCATAGAGGAGATTGTACAGCAGCAGTCTACTCTACATGAAAACATAAAAATTGTCTCTAATTATATGGACTTTAATCACCAGGTAGGGCAAAATTAGTCGTACAAGATCCTTTTATTTTGAACATTGTAAACATGTTGAAAAGGTATTTTAACTTGAACTTTTTAAATGAGCCTGAACATTTCTACAACTGGAAGAATTTAAAAAAAAAAGCTTGCAACATACATATATAAGTGTTTGCGTTTTAAATTGACAATGTATTGAAAGAAAAGGGAAATACTAGTAGTCCCACATTAGGCAAGATGTTAATGGTTATGAACCATTTTCTTGACCACTTAGGGTGTTTGTGTTGGTTTCAAAGGAGAAATGATCCACGTTTTCAATAAGAATGAAAATGCCATCCACAATTCTGACTACTTTGAGAATCTAAGCCATAGACCTAATGTTATTCTAATGGGCGACTCTATTGGTGACCTACACATGGCAGATGGTGCCACTACAGATGACGTGGAACCATGCAAGTTGAATATTGGCTTCCTCAATACTAATGTGAGTAATCTGCTATGGTTTTGTTACTATCTATAGTGTTGTAAAGAGTGTAAGCCAACCCCCCCCCCCCCCCCCNCAGGGCCTCTCATAGAGCTCTTGGATGACTTGGTACATTGTTTACCATGAACTGCACTTAAATGTCACTGGGGTCATCTAAATAAAATTTGCATTTGGTATCAAGAAGTTAGTTTGTGCCTGATATATCTTTTGACTATATGATGTTGTTACTCTGTTCACCTTCAACAAAACATACTTACGTATGTTCAGGTATAGTTCCAGTAATTTTGACTGTGATTCTGATTAGTAAAATATTATGTTGTGTGATTTTTTTTTTCATAATATATCACATTTTTCATAATTTTTGCAGATCTAGTGTAATTTTATTTTTTTTCTGTATTCCAGATTGAAGAAAGACTTGAAACCTACAAAGGATTGTTTGACATTGTCCTGGTTAATGATGAGACAGTTGATATTTGTAATTCAATTCTCAAAAGAATCCTGTGATCTGGTGCACCTACAAGACAGATAATCAGTATTTTAGAGGTGCTCAAGCACCTCTCCTGTCGAGTTGAATTTTAACCCAATGTCCCAAATCTGTGAACTATTTAACCAGCTGCCCAGGACATTAATTATAGATGGATTATTATAATGGAAATAGGTGGCGGGAGCCTGGTGATGCTGGTTAGTAAATAATGCAACGGATATAGAATATTGGATTACTTCCACTGTTCACTTATATATTGCATGTGAGTGTTTTTAATTTCTATTTATTAACCAATATGAAATGTCTTTAATCAGAAGGGTTCTAGCAAATATACCACTAAGTGTTATAAATGTTGCTGCCATCTTCTTTAAAAACTATTACATGGGGTTTATACAGAATGAAATGGTAGCTTAGGTGACCCACTACTACACTGCCCCAGTGCTGGCTGCCATTGGCTTGGCAAGCAACATGGGCCGCTGTTAGCCCACGTGTTCTCATTGGAGGACTAAATTAAATATGACACTAATTAGGAGGAATATTTTAATATAAAAGTTAAACTAGGGTGTTACATAGAAACGGGTTCCATTTACTGATAAGAATGTGATATTTAGTGGGTTTTACTGTAGCAGTTCTGAAAGTAGAAACTGAATCCCAAGGAAGTTTGAAGATAAGAGCTATTGACTGTATCTCTTGCAGTTTCATTTTGAGGTGTATGTGATATGGCATCTTTTCTAATGTTGTTTGTGTCATATATATATAGGACTGGAGAGATGATCCTAACCAGCATTCAGCCCTTGCTGGAAGATTGCAACTTTGCTTTAAAAATACCATTATTTTGTGAAGACATTTGTGACTGGACTGGACGTTTGAGTTTGGAAAATGTAGGCAACTTCTTTTCTGTAATCTCATGTGAAATATTGTAGATGTTAGGCATTCACAAATCAAACCTAGAAGCTCACTGGTCAAAGCATTTACATTAGCAAGTGGCAATATGATATATTTACATTTTCTATGCATGTTTCTTCCATGAGCAGTTTTGTCAATCATATCAACTTTTTTTTTTTGGAAAACTGATGCACACATTTACATTTAAGACAACCAAGATTTTAGCTGGTAATCATTTGTTATAAAAAGAACTGTTCTATTTTCAGTGTATTAATGGTTTGTTTTATTTTGTTCTTGTTGGATTTTTTTTCTTTTCTGTGGAAAATAAATTTTGTTGTACTACCAACTTGATTATTTCACATCGTCAGTCATTTCTATTGTCAGATGAGAAATATAGCTTATATTAAGTTCTTTCTTTCTTAGCATTAAATTTACATATCAACTTACATCTAGATTATATATTAAAAAAAAAAAACAGTAGAATTTTCAAGTTTTATTCTCCATTCAAGCCTACATTTCCCAAGCATACTTGCCAACTTCCACTCCATGCAATGTTAATGTTTTTGTACGATTATGTACAAGAGAAAATGAGAAATCATACAAGCTATCACACAAACCTTCACCAACTTCATTTCCTCCAATAAATTTCACAACTTGTTCTACATAAACAAAATGATTAATTGTACTGCATAAGTTAAAATGCACAAACTTACTCTGTTGTCCTTTCCCCAATTAACCTTAAGTTTTATTTTGATAAATTATCAAGTACATATAATTATTTTAACTTGTTTCTCTGCTGGAAAACTGTTATTAGTTCCACCTTAGATATACAACAAAGAAAATTTACAAATCAATATAAACATTACTTTCTAGCAAAAGGGTTGTTGAAAGTATAAATTAAAAATCTCAAAACTGTCAAAGTTCAGTCAACTTGCCATTGTGAAAAATGTGTAACAACTCCTATATGATAGGTGTTTTCAACAAACCAACTTTTTTATCCAAGTGTGAGATGCACATTATTGCTTATTAACTTAGAAACACATCATTGGAATTATTTGGAACTCCTCAAAGAGAAACATTACCAAACTTGAAACAACTTAATATTGTATAATGCTCTGTTTCAATTTAGGCAATAATAACAACATACACATGATCTAAAAAGAAATCTACTAAAAGAATTCTACTTAACAACCATTATCATATAGTATACATTTCACCGCTGCTTGGAATAGCAACCACCCACTATTCACACAGACTTAAGGCCATCTTATAAAATGACCTGTGGTTATAAGCAACACTGATTACCTGGATAAGCGACTAACATAAGTGTTCAGTTGTTTACTTCTTGTCAGCTTTGGAATAAGTGTTTAATAGTAAATCTAGAATAATAAGGGTTTTGTTTTAGATAAATCTCATATCCAATACAGGGGATAAACACTCAAGTTCCATGCCAAGGGCACATTGCACATCCAATTTATCTATTACCAGGCATTGGCATCATTCACCAATTCCTCTACCACTTTTTGCACGTCATAACTGTGTTTCTCTAACAAGTATTGATTCTGTGCCCTATTCCCAAAACCCATGTTAATCAACTGATCCATGGGTGTGCTGGGTTTAGGGGGAGTCCATTCTGGTGGGGGTGTCCAAGTTGATGCTGGGGGAGTGTAATCACTTTCAGGTGGACTGTAGTCATTCTGTGGAGGAGTGTAGTCATCCTGCGGGGGAGTGTAGTCATTCTGTGGGGGAGTGTAGTCACTCTTTGGGAGAGTGTAGTCATTCTGTGGGGGAGTGTAGTCATTCTTTGGAGGAGTGAAGTGATTTTCTTGTGGCGTCCACTCAGCAGCAAAAGACTGGCCAGTTCCCTAAATAGAAAATCATTTTCTAAATTACACAAGATAATCACACAGAAACAAAATTAAATAGATTTGAAAACTTTAAAACTGATAAAAAATGAGACCAAAATCTATATTGATCCTGATTTTCTTTCCTTACATGAGAAGAAACAAAAGAAGTCCCACTCACTGGCTTAGCACTCTTTCCTTGCCATGTAAAAAATACGTCTCTAGCTGTGGTATATGCCTGGGTTGCAGTCTTGGCTGCCAACTCTATGGCTGCTTCACTAAGATTGCTGGCTATTTCAGTAAGGCTGAAAAATTCACCAGCAACAAACATATTGTTACAAATGCATTCTACTCACGTTTTCCTCCAATTTTACTGAAAATTAAAAGTACATTCTACATACGTTCTCTGTCTTCAATATTATTTCATTTAATTTGATTTTCTTTTTGAAAAACCGTTATTTTCACTTTTTCTCCAAAAATACAAATTTAAATTTTCCTCTGTTGTTAAGGAGCACAAACCAAATATATATGTGACAGACTATGACCCCATTCCCAGAGATTAGATCGATCCAAACTAGATTGACCTAACTCCCTGGGGGTTCATGCTAAATAGCTGTCATCCGAGCGGGCACGAAAGTTAATTACCCCTTACAGATTGTAGTAGGCAGGATGGACATTTAAGCCGGATTATCTGACAGTAGTCTAGTGAAACTCCTCACGGGGATAGATCGATCTAAAACTATGGGAATACGCCCTATACTGTGCATATGCCATACCTTGCCTGTCTCTGTCTTCTGCTCATTCTTCTGGGGGCACCCCCTGCTGCAGCAGCGCCCTCACTTGACAATTCCTCTTTCCTCTGAGTGGCATCTTCACCATGCTGAGAAGAATCATCATCATCTTGTGGTGGTGGTACTTCAACTTTTTCAGTTGCTTCTGCACTAGGTGGAACATCAGTGTCCTGGCGGCATGCATACCCAGGGACATCAACACCAAGTTTAAAAGGGTTGGAATCTTTACGGGTAATCCCAGACCTGGTGTCTTTTACACTGGGACTGTCACCACCCTGGGAAGAAGACTCTTCACTGACAGCAGGCTGCAGGTCACTGGCACCCTGACCAGTTGTATCATCTGTGCTTTCTTCACTGGAATCTCTGCTGCTCAGGGCTGCCATCCCCTGGGTGCAGCTTATCACCTGGACATCTAGCTCAGAGCTAGGCAGGGCTGCTGCACCTTCTTCCTCCTCTTCTTCTTCTTCTGAACTCAGACAAATAAGACGAGCACTGGGGCTGGTGATTTCACCTAGGAATAGGAAGATGATGCACCGTAATAACAAATAGTTCTCACTAATCTTGATCACTCTCATTTCTGTATTCTTTAGCAATAATGTAAGTAAGTAACTGACCACCCCTTAAAAATCATATTCTCATTTACCTGCCAAACTTGCCCCAGAGATAGATTTGTCCAGTGGAACCGAGGTGTCAAAGCAGGCAGGGAGTGGAACCATGTAGAAATCATCCAGAGAGCTAGAACCATCAGAACACTCACTAAAGCTGTCCAAGGCAATCACATCAACCACATCTGAAATGATGCAAAGGCCACATGGTGAAAACAATGTTTTAATCCAAGAAAAGGACTTGTTTTGATTACTTCTTATCCCTTATATTTGACATTTTACTAAATAACCATATCTCTTTCTTTCACTCTTTTCATTTGATTAAATGTAGACACTTATGTATCAATTTACAGGTTACATTAATAGTTCGCATTCACCACAAGTCTAAGACCAAAAATGGCTCTATACATCTTGGACATAAAACCCTCTCAGTTAGAAATCTGTCTCCTTGCCAAAACGCATATCAGATTACAATTCTCCTCATAAATCTTGCTGGCTATTTTGCTCAGGGATCAAAGAGAGGCTATAACAGGGGTCGGGAATGGTGGGTGACAATGTAGCAATTATCCTCTGAAGTTATAAGTAAAGCATATTCTCTTCAAACTGCTCTGAACATGGTTTCAGAGGTACAATAACTACCTGGTGCCTCATTGTTATTCTGGTCTTGTTCCTGCACATCATCCTGGATGTTAAGGGTCTCGATACAAGGCAACTGGATGGGTGCCAGGGTCACGGGGATGTGGGCAGGGCTTGGTTCAGGGGTCACATTCTCTGTGCCTGCCCCCTGGTCTGGTCCACACACAGAGGTGCAAGCCTTCACCAAGGACTGAAAAGAAGACATCAGTGTTAATTGGTGCTGCATATGGAGCTAGTCTTGTCACAATGAATGCAAACAGGCTGACGGGTAACGAGAGTGAAACGTAGCTGTTTCACTAATACTTTTGTTCCCAAGTTAGTGTCACTTATTACTGTCACAAAAACATTAGAAAATTGATCTGTATTGTATTCTAATCTGGATGTCTTATGCTGCCCTGAAAGTGTATTATTCTACTTACTGGTATTCTCACACCATTGTGTGTACACTGGGTGTTGGTCTCTAGGATCTCTCTCTCCTTTACCATAATACTACACCAGACTCGGTGCCCAAACCTCACACCATCATGCTGGAGGCGCCAGTGAGACTGGTAATTGCCTGGAATGATTATCAAGGAAATCATAAAACAGGTTATTTCAACAACCATCTAGTTTTCTTTGCATATGCATAACAAGTTTTCATAAAAGGCAAAGTACTGGATGCCACTGTCCATTTTAAAATTGGCTGACAGTAAGGAATAAGTGTCAAGACATCCAAGGCCTTCAACAGTTCTACTAACCTGGGGTTTCAGGTGCAACAAGTTCCACTGTGAGCAGCCCTTCTTCCCCAGGCTGTACTGGAGGCACTGCCACTTCAGAGCTTACAGCTGGGATGCTGCCCCAAATTAAAAACAGCTGAAACGAAGATACAAAATATTTTTATTGTTGATATTATCAAAAGACACATAATATGATGTAACCTACAATGGCCTATTCCAATCTATATAATATTATACTCATTACACTAACACAAAAGATCCACTCTAAGTGTCTCAGAAAACTCACATGCCCTGCAAAAATCTTGGTTAAAGGTCTTTTAAAAAGCTGCAGATTCTCCATATTATTACCTTGGTGTTGCGAGTCCAGCTCCCATTCCCTGTGTTCTTGACTTTCCACTTCTTCACAAACTTGGTCCCTGGAGACAGAATGGTGTCATCAGGGATGGTCTCATCACTCACAAACTGGCAGTCCATTTTGCTGAAATCAGAAACATAAAGAAACATAGATAATGCTCATCATATTGCTCCTGTTTGGAGTAAAAAAGGCAAATGATACATTAGTATCAAGTGCGTTTTTACAAACACCAAATAAAACATGTATAAAATGATGTGCACCTTTTTTTTTATGATATCATCATCCAATCAGAAACTAACCTTCCAATGGCAGACTGTTATAAAAAATATATGAAAATTCAAAACTACTGAGATGTCTGACACATTGTGGTATCATAAGGTCAAATGCTTTCACAGTTTATAACAGAAGTTAGCAATTAATGAAAATGTTAAAATTATGGACTTACAACTGTCTTCTGAACTGAGGTAAATCCAGGCGTTCGCGTTTACAAGCAGACTCTCTTTCCTCTGGCACGTCACTTCCACGATGCATGCGTTCAACACGNGGGAATGGTGGGTGACAATGTAGCAATTATCCTCTGAAGTTATAAGTAAAGCATATTCTCTTCAAACTGCTCTGAACATGGTTTCAGAGGTACAATAACTACCTGGTGCCTCATTGTTATTCTGGTCTTGTTCCTGCACATCATCCTGGATGTTAAGGGTCTCGATACAAGGCAACTGGATGGGTGCCAGGGTCACGGGGATGTGGGCAGGGCTTGGTTCAGGGGTCACATTCTCTGTGCCTGCCCCCTGGTCTGGTCCACACACAGAGGTGCAAGCCTTCACCAAGGACTGAAAAGAAGACATCAGTGTTAATTGGTGCTGCATATGGAGCTAGTCTTGTCACAATGAATGCAAACAGGCTGACGGGTAACGAGAGTGAAACGTAGCTGTTTCACTAATACTTTTGTTCCCAAGTTAGTGTCACTTATTACTGTCACAAAAACATTAGAAAATTGATCTGTATTGTATTCTAATCTGGATGTCTTATGCTGCCCTGAAAGTGTATTATTCTACTTACTGGTATTCTCACACCATTGTGTGTACACTGGGTGTTGGTCTCTAGGATCTCTCTCTCCTTTACCATAATACTACACCAGACTCGGTGCCCAAACCTCACACCATCATGCTGGAGGCGCCAGTGAGACTGGTAATTGCCTGGAATGATCATCATTCCCATTTCAATAACATTTCAATAACTCATAAAACAGGTTATTTCAACAACCATCTAGTTTTCTTTGCATATGCATAACAAGTTTTCATAAAAGGCCACTGTCAATATTAAAATTGGCTGACAGTAAGGAATAAGTGTCAAGACATCCAAGGCCTTCAACAGTTCTACTAACCTGGGATTTCAGGTGCAACAAGTTCCACTGTGAGCAGCCCTTCTTCCCCAGGCTGTACTGGAGGCACTGCCACTTCAGAGCTTACAGCTGGGATGCTGCCCCAAATTAAAAACAGCTGAAACGAAGATACAAAATATTTTTATTGTTGATATTATCAAAAGACACATAATATGATGTAACCTACAATGGCCTATTCCAATCTATATAATATTATACTCATTACACTAACATAAAAGATCCACTCCAAGTGTCTCAGAAAACTCACATGTCCTGCAAAAATCTTGGTTAAAGGTCTTTTAAAAAGCTGCAGATTCTCCATATTATTACCTTGGTGTTGCGAGTCCAGCTCCCATTCCCTGTGTTCTTGACTTTCCACTTCTTCACAAACTTGGTCCCTGGAGACAGAATGGTGTCATCAGGGATGGTCTCATCACTCACAAACTGGCAGTCCATTTTGCTGAAATCAGAAACATAAAGAAACATAGATGATGCTCATCATATTGCTCCTGTTTGGAGTAAAAAAGGCAAATGATACATTAGTATCGAGTGCGTTTTTACAAACACCAAATAAAACATGTATAAAATGATGTGCACCTTTTTTCTTTATGATATCATCATCCAATCAGAAACTAACCTTCCAATGGCAGGCTGTTATAAAAAATATATGAAAATTCAAAACTACTGAGATGTCTGACACATTGTGGTATCATAAGGTCAAATGCTTTCACAGTTTATAACAGAAGTTAACAGTTAATGAAAATGTTAAAATTATGGACTTACAACTGTCTTCTGAACTGCGGTAAATCCAGGCGTTCGCGTTTACAAGCAGACTCTCTTTCCTCTGGCACGTCACTTCCACGATGCATGCGTTCAACACGCCTCTTGCGTTTCTGCAGACGTCGAAGCTCCTTTTGTTTGAATTTTTCCAATCTTTTGGCAAGTCTTGAACTTCTCAACCTGAATGAAGAAAACATATTTGTCCTGACTAACTTAACTTTATGTAACTTATTATATTAAGCTTATAAGAATGACTATCTAATGAATATTTGGAATGATGACATACCCTAATCTAAGTCGTATTTAATAGTCCTCATCTCATTTCATCTTAAAATACTGTCAAGTCAATATGCAACTAATCAGAAATGTTTACAAACTGTTCACTTTCATCTGATAGTGATGAGTCAACATCCCATGCTACACAAAGTTAAATATAGTAATGCAATCTAAGGACAGCAATAAATCATTAAAATAGCATGCCACACTGCTACTGATATAAGAGAATTACTATTTATCTGTTTAATTATTAACAAGATGCTGTCATTTCATTCTCCTAATGACTCGCATGTGGGTAAACAAACGTTCTATTTTTGTTTACTACCTTAACTTTGAGAATTACCCCCCCAAAAATTAATTAGAAAAAATGTGCTCAGTATTTACATCAGTTGCCCTATTTCACTTATTTTTTGCAGTGTCCTTTAAGGAACTAAGAGAAAGACCATCACCATGTTAGATTTTGCTGTCCCTTTATGCAGCAAGTAAGCAACATAGACTTTTCACCATTAATCACTTTTAGTCATGTATGTATTATGACCATAAATATCTCACATCTGGTCAAAAGGAACCAGTGCCAGTACACACTACCAGAACAATAATAGACCAGAAACTTATGTTTCATAGGCAGGTTTGGTCTCATATCCTATCACATCCACTAAAGTTGGGCACAAGAAAGGTTGGTCTTACACAGATGTCTATTTTACGTTGGCCACCATTAATGTACCACCAGAATACAAACTACAAGTATATTGTCCCCACAACCACTTCCTCTCCCAGCCTCTGCCACATACATATGTTAATTACTACTAATTCTCATAAACTAAAAGACAAACATGAGCCTGGATTTTTGCGGAAAAAAATATTTATCATGGCAGTTATGCTTATCGACCTCGAATCCGGGACTACATGAAGAACTGAATTAAAAATCACAGAACTCCACAATTTCTCAGTAAAAAGGTCTTGGCTGAAAAGACCTTTGTGTTACGTCATGTAGTCTCCACTGGAATGGGTCTGATTTTTATGGTCACTTTGTGCACTTATGCTTACCTGGGCCTGATGCTCTCAAAAGCACTCAGCACTGTGGTGAGGTCTTCTTCTCCTTCTCCTTCATCTCCTCCCATGGGAAAGTGGCTCACTCCTGTAAGTATGTACACACAGTGTGCAGTAATAGCTACAACATAAGCAACTAATCTGAATATTAAATGAAACTTTCAAATTTGCATAAGATAATTTTACAGAGCTGTTAAAGTGACCATTTTTCAATTTTGATGGCAAAAAAATTAATATATCACTTAATATTTTTGTAATAACTGGCTTCAGTAACACATGCACGTACAAATGCATGCAGGCACACACAAGGATCAAGACAGTACTAAGTCTTTCAAATAACTCGGCTTTTGTGTCATGGTAAACGTTCACAATTCCTGAGGTGGACAATCGGTGCAAGAAGTTGGATATAAACACTTAGTGCTATATGTATGCTTTTTAAAGTGAACACCTGGTATACCTGACTGGGTGTCCTGCTGTTCAGAATCTGTAGTGTTCTGGTCTCCCTGCTTCAAGGTACGCTTTACCTGGTTCATTACTCTACGAGTTACTTTACGGGTCACTTCTGTAACCACTGCATTCTTGAACTAAATCAAAAGAAGTAACACATTAACTCACTTTACCAACTTTTAATTTACAAATTGTGCTTTCTCATCGTTTTTTCACTCAAAATGAAACAGAGGAAAGCATCAAGGACTTTCATTTTCAATTTATCCAATATGACAAATTAACATATAGCAAGAAAAATTCACAACAACCCTCTTTCAACTTCATTTCAAAGCAGCACAGCAATTGAATCACGAGGTTTTCTTACCATTTTCATGTATCCATGGAACCAGGCTGGGGGTTGTTGGTCTCCTGGCTCCCCAGGGAAGAACCTAGGAGACCCAGGGGCCTGCAATAGCACTGAGCAAGTGGCATCTTCAGAGTCTGACTCAGAGGCTGTCATTGGTTTCTTGGCAGCTTTGGCAATCACACTGTCATCACAAATTTTTCCAACTTCTGCGGCTAAGCCATCATAGTGGTCCCGAAATTTGCGCTTTTTCTTACGAATCTGGAATTCAACAAAATAAATAAACTGCATTATGGGTCTTGAATTTGTTTTTGATTGATTTTGGAATCGCAAAATAAAACTGAGTAATTTTTTATGCTAATATTTCAAAACCTTTATTTTTCTGATCAATTATAACCTACCCTGTCATGATTTAGGTCCATCTCCGTCTGAGTGCTGGATTCTTCCATCACTACGCTCTTTGCAGAACTAGCATAGAAAAAGGAACACAACATTAAAACACCTGGCTCTCATTGCACATATTATGAAACAATCCATGTTCTCTAACAATACTAAAAGTGATAAAAAAATTATCAAGTCTTAAAAAGAAGTCTTAAAGATATCTTTTTGTAAATAAAATAAACCAAAAATGAAAACACAAAGTTTCCCTTTGTGAGCTTCTAGGTTTGGGCAAGTTTGAATTTTTCTTTTTTGTGTGCGTTTTCACATTTTAAAAATTTTTTGTATAAGTACTTATTCACAAATCTAATAAACTTTTTTGAAAAAAAAAAAGACGCGATTGAAAATATGTTTACTGATTTCAGTTTGGTAATTGAAAACAAGTTTTTATTTTCTATCGAACTATGGTTTTGGCTAAAAATGGTGTGCAAGAAAATAGCCCTTTTCTGAAAACTGGCCTCTAGCCCATCTGTTCTTATTTTACACAAAGAAAACCAGATACAAAAATATGCACACCTACATGATTTGTTGTTCCTAAATACTATAATTACCTGCTGGCTTCTAAAGGTTCTTGGTCAGGTTGGATGGTCTGTTGAGAAGCTTTCTTTCCATCTTTAATAATTTCCATTTTCATCTGCAAGATGTCCTCTTCTTTCTGTGCCACCTTAATAAAACAAACACCAACTCTGTTATTGCTTCACTTTTTAAGAACTGAACAACAACTCTGATTTTCTTCATCCTTCATTTTTAAGCAAATAAATTTTCTTTGGTAACACTGCAGAATTCATCCTAGGAATTCATAACATAAATATTACAACTTTTTACAAGCGCTTAACCATATTGTTGTTACTTTAGTTTACAAAAGATCTGCTAATGATAGATACCTTCAAGGCTTCGTGCAATTCCTCTTGACTGTCAATATGAACCTGAAATAATCAAATTTCTCCAAGTGATAATAACTTTCTTTGTGATGACACATGAGACAACAACTCCTCATCTTTGAAAATATATCAATCAATAAAATATGTCAATTTTTCAAAGATAAACTATTCTGATACCATACTTTATCAGTTATCCAATGACAGAAGCACTATAGTTTTTAAACTGTTTTTATGTGTGACTAGAATATTTCACCTCTTCTTTCTCCTCATCCAAGTAGGTTAACTTAATGGCATCATCTCCTGCTACATCATAATACTTTCTCAGCTAAAATGAAATAAAAAAGAGCAGTAAAATGTTAATTCTTATTTCAATTTTTTGGGTAAATAAACTATTCACATAGCTTGAATAACTGTATGCATACTACTTATTTCAGTGAAGCTGAATGTAAACATAAAAGCAATGTCTGTTGCTGGGCTTATAAGAAATCATCCCTTAAAAAATATATATAAACAGATTAGGCTTTTACAAACACTACCCCCAGATTTTTTTAGCACTAATACCCAGCACTACCAGAGTGGATGAATGTTAGTGCTACGTATCACTTAGTTGGTGCTAAATAATTGTACGGTGTGTTGGTTAATTTGTGGATTTTGTGGTTAATATGGGCATTAGTGCTAAAAGACATGTAGTGTTAGTAAACGACTTATCCGTTTATAAGGCTTGGAATTTCAATCAAATAGTTCCCTTGTTCAATCTTATTTACTGTATGTTGAAACTTTAAGAATATTCCAATATCATGACATATATGAAGAACGAAAACCTGTGAGTGTTATTTTTTCGAAAGCTATCGAGGTCCTCTTTTCCAAGATCATTGCCCGAGCCCAAGTTTGATTCTAGAGCCTTTGCTCTTAAGCTTCACTCTACAACGTTCTTTTAAATAATAATAATTAATATTATTATGACACAAAACTTCATGACAAAAGTAAAATCTATACTGGCCAATTTACAACTACGTTGAAAGAAAACTGAAACGATCGGTCCCTTTAACTAACCGAGACATTGTTGACGCCATCATGACATGACCTTTTTTCGACATTGCAGATCTAACGATTGTAACAGCCAGCCATCAGATCAAGTTAAGACAAAACGGAGTGAAATATGCAAACCTCGTCCCGAATTTCGTCCAATTTAACACTATATCGATGAGGAAATATCTTCGGAAATTCGCAAAATTGAGCCTCAGGTGGAAGCCCTACTCTTGTTACGTTTACTACGAAACCTCCAAACTCTTCCATGTTTTCACTCAGTATCACTTGAACTGCGTCAGAATGTCATCATACATAGCATGCGATGACTACGAAGCAGCAAGATGTACAGTCAGCAAAACTGCGAAAATTGTTTGCAAACAAAGATGGCGATGGACAATGACGTCAAAGTTATTGACAAATCTATTTATAGGTTATGATGGCTCCAAGACAAGCTAGTATTGCATAAGATATCATTTCTCTGACATTGATACTGCGATATTCTACGTATTTTTACACTAATTTTTTTAATGTAGATATTCTGCTGCATGCAAGTGTTTGAAAACTTTAACGTTTAAACGGCAACATGCATCTTGCTGAGTAACTTTGCGTGCCGTGAAGTGCTGCGATCTATTGGCAGGAAAAAAGACTAAAGCTAGAATTACCGAATTACTGTTACAAACTACTATGGTTGCTTTGTTTGAAAACTACATTATTTCCGTACTTTTCATTTAAATAAGGCGTCTTTCATCAAGTTTTGGACGATGGTAGGGCAAATCAATAAATAAAACGCGAAACAAAATTCTATAGACTTTGCTAATCTTGTAGTGGACGAAGCATTAAAATTTCATTCATAAAAATACAACTTCAAAAACACTTCGTTTTAACTTACGTGTACTGTCCCTTTTTACCTTTTCTTCGTTTTGTTATCGGTCACTTTAGGCGTCATATGACATCACTTTTATCACCGTAAAAAAACATGCAGGTGCAAAATATCAAAAGAATAAACATCTTTTTTAGTGAGATCATTTATTACAGATATGTCCTGATCACTTTTGCTCACAACAAAGCATCTCCTGCTGCCTCTGGCAACACAACAGCAAGAGAGCAAAACATCAAGACACTGAAAACATTCCCATCATCATCATTCCTACCACCTTTGTAAAAAGTCTTGGGGAAAATCATGAATTTAATTCGTTCAGTGAAACATGCCATGCTGATCATGTAAAATACAAATCGTCAATTGATATAAAAAACAAATTGTGATGTATTATACCACCACCATTGCTCCAATATATATCAATAATTACTTAAATTTTAACAATAATCTTTTTTTAACAAACTGGAGATGTGACTTAAGGATTTTCCTTCACTCTCAAAAAGCACCCAATCAAAAAATCAAAACTCATCACACTAATCACAGAAGCTACAAGATATCTACTGCTATCAAAAACAACTTGCACTCCCTAAATTATCTAACCTCTATCAAAAATTTGTATAAACAACTGTCATGTTCAAATTATCAAAACAATCAGATCTAAAACATGAAACTGAATTGGAAATAACAACAAGGCAGCAAAGCNAAATGGTTTGAATGTGGCTTAACCAACTTTCAGATATTTTAAAATTCAAAGTGTCAGTTACATCAAGGTTGAGAGATTTATTGAAATTGTTGTACGGTCTCAATGTAAAACATTCTTACATGGGTGCTGCTGTACAATTGCAACATGTTTGTGTGTGACATTTATAGCCAAAAGATATCAACAGAAATATGTACAAAATATATCTATATACTATAACAAAATGATAACCATGGTTATAGGAAAGCTTCGTGCCTTCTTCTCAACTAGGAACCCAACTACAGATATAAACGTAGGTTTAAGTTTCCTGCTAGAAATGATAACACCGCCCCATTTTCTGGACAGCAAAAAAATAACATCAGTCCAATACTCTTTATTATATTGCACACTTCATTCATCTCACTTCAGGTGAAACGACATCCCTCATGAGAAGCAAACATTACTGAATCAAAGTCCAATTCTTAATACTCTCATAAATTACCCAAAAAGAAAAGAATATATCTCCTTTATTATGCTTAGCACAACTAAAGGGTCTATTCAGCTTTAAGCAATTATCACACGTGCTAAAATATTACATATTTGTTAACCAAGCATCTAGCTTTGTCAGGCCCATTAATAGTCATTTAGCACCAGCTACAGTAAATCTAAGTTGTGTCACATACTTTAAACTGTAAAGAAGGCCATGGCTTTCTGGTCTTTCCTTGTAATAGAACCAGCTATATCATGGGGAAAGAGGTTTTGTCAGTGCCCAACAGTGCAGTAGCTGCATTAGAGCTCGATTTATATCAATTCACAACCATTCAACTTGATATTAGTAGAAAAAGAAAAATAAGCACTCTGGTTATCTCTGTGACATTCATTTAGCATAAATAAGCAGTGTTTGGCTAAAAACTGTATCTACATCTACTGGCTAAAGCAATGAAGCTTAGCATGGAGTAGACTTTAAATTTTGGGTAACTTTGGAGCACTAACAACTGGGTTGCTTTGCTCCAGCAACTTTCGCCCCTCTGTCTTGTAGTCAAAGGTGCAGTCATGGGCCTCCGCATAGCGATGAATAGAACAAAAGTTGTTGCCACACCTGGAAGAGAAACAAATGTCATTAAATAACAGGCATATTACTTTCTCATCATCAGAACCAAAACTAGTTTCTACACAAAGAATACGAAAATAAAGAAATTAACACATCAGGGTGAACAACCAGACACCTACACATGGTCCATTTCACCTTCAATATTACATAAAATTGTGCACTGTTGCTTTGGAGTGAAGAAAATATCTCTAGTCAAAATTCTTTAAAGTATCACATCATACTAGAAATATGCTGACATTAGAAGAAAGTTGCTCTGATGCAGTTTTATTGTTTCAAATATTACTTTACAACTTTCTAAAGCTATCCAAACTCTCCCTCTGTTTTCACTTGCCAGGTGCAGGCTTAAGCCCACCTGTCACACCTTACCTGCATGGATAGCTGGTTGCTAGGCCAGTTTTCTTGGCACACATGAAGCATCTTTTGCTGACTTTTTTCTTGGACTTCACTGGAGGGAGCCTGGTGGTGGGGGACAGACGCTCTCCGTTGGCAGAGTACTTTTGCTGAAGGCGAGCAGACTGGAATGATAACATTTGTTGTTGAAATAAAGCCGATTTGTTAAAATCTGGGTAAGTCAGCAGAGTTTAGAAATATTCCTCAATAAGTGATATGTACTCTTGCACTGACAGTATTTATTTTCTCAGAGAGTTAAGAAGTCAAAGACCTCTGCAGTAATAGAAATTATCTCTGCCAATTTTAGTGCGTATTTTTAAGGATTAAAAAAACTACAGATTTGTTCAGTTAAGGGGAAATATGTACATTGCCTTACCACTAATCTTCCCCCTTCTGGAGTGAGAACTCTGCCCTCTTTGCCATAGGCTGATGTGCGAGGTTTGGTGGGGCTGTGGACAAAGTTACTGATCCGTGAGGAGCCCAGCCTTTCAAGTGAAGCCTGGCGCAGTAACCCTGACATTGCTCTTGCCTCAGAGCTGCTTAAGCTCTCTAAAGTAAACTCCTTTTTCCTCTCATGGCTAGGGTGCCTGGAGGTAGTGGTAGGGCGGCCTAAGCTTTCCTTAAAATTGTCCAGAGTAAATTTCTCCTTACTGCGAGAAGATGTGGTAGGTCGTCCCAAGCTATCAAAAAGGTCATGACTTGAAAAGTCTTTGCTCCAAGTCCTCTCCCTGTGTTTGGCAGGACCAGGAGTTCGTAAGATTCCTTCAGGCTGTCCAGCGTGATTTCTTTCTTCCTGGAAGAAGTAATAGGTCTGGCAGCACCACTATCCTTTAGAGCAGCATCAAAACTGGTGTAATCCTGCACATGCGTTGATGTTGAAGCCACAGAGGACACAGCTGCTGACCCAGCAGCAGCAGCGCTCCCTGCCTGTTCACTATCCAAAGTGTCTATGGCGTAATGTGGCTTCCGTTGCACCACTTTCTGGTGCCTCCCGTTCCCAGATCCTGGGCGCGATATGCTCAGGTCCTCCTTTACACTGGACAAGGAGCGCTTTAATTTGGCACTACTTTCTACACTGTCTAACCTATGGAGCCTGTTGGCTGACATAGGTTCACTACCACTCAAGGAGGAGGTGCTTGCCTCTCTCATTGTCATGCTTAACTCCGGCCCCAGGGTGGCAGGTAAAAAACCTAAGTCTTCCCCTGGGACAGAGTACCCAACAGGAGGGAGGCACATATTTTTATTAAGAGAAGAGTTCAAGTTGAAGGAGTTGTTGATGATCTGTCCCTTGCTGCTGCTTCTCCCAGCACTTGTCAGGCGGCGTACCTTGCTGCGACTTCCTGGGCGCCCAGAAGAAGGAGGCCTCGGAACCAGTTTTTTCTTAGGCTGTTATCAGAAAGAAAAAACAACATTATCTATAAACTGACTAAATATATAGGAATTATTTTCTATAAATCATGCGTTCAACAAGACTATAAGGTTCAATAGACATTTTTATTTAACTTTTGAAAATGCTGCTTATTAACAGTGGTACAAGAACCGAAATGTACTTATTTATCAGATGAATTATGCACAAAAATATACATCATATGGTATTTTGTAGAACACTTTAATATTGTTCTTGCTACATAAAAACAGGCTCGGCCATTTTTGTATTAATTTGTATTTAAGGTTTTGTAGAAAAACATATTTTGCTTTTGAATGTAAATAGTCAATGTCCATTTTTGCTAGTCATGTAACTCTTTGACCGTATCCTACACAAAACCTGCTTTATTATTATTTTTCCTCATTGTCATTACTGTTTCCACAACCACACATGCCCTAATCAATAGCACAGATCAATACAGGGATAAACCAGACTTCTTTGTTCCTCCAGACCACAGTCAATAAACAGCTGGGAGCACCCACGCCTCAACACATGGTGAAAGTCAATCTCATTGGGAACAAGAATCAGGTTAGGGATCAATTAATGGATTAATTATCTCTATTAATCTAAGGACATGATATCAAGGGAGCAGCTGGCATCAGGGGGGTCTCTCTCAGTGTCAAAATAGCCCGTAATGGCCAATATGCTGCAGCCTTCTGCCAACACAATAGATTTCTATATGCATGATTAGCTTCCCCCATTGCAGAAGGTTATGAAAATAAACAGCCTGTAAGTGGGGTGTCAGCTTGTCATCACCTTGGTTACGAACAAAATAAAGGGGATTATGTAATAATAGAGAGGGTTGTGAACTGCAATCCTGGTGTAGTTAACTGTTCACATTCACGCTCACAGTGCCACGGTCTACAACAGATGAGACCACGAGGTTGACAAAAGGTCTGTTACTACCAGCATTGAATGTAATCTGAGTGCCTGGGAAATAACAGGCACTTGGTTACAGCATGAGTTAGTTATTTCCCCATTATCCTATTACTTGTAACAGTGATATATCATGAAAGTCTTTCTACATTTGCTTGTATTTACCAGCTTGATCCGTGGTTGCCAGGCAGCGGATTAAGTCAGTAACTTAGCAACTTCGTTATTATGTCAATTTCCAAATACAAAATATTGCATTTACATTAATCATTAGGTTTGTTGTAATAAATGTTATGAACATTATCTTCAAAGTTAGTGATAAATTTCTTCCTGCATCTATTCTACATGATTATATAATCAATAAAATTATATTTGTACATAACATTTGTGATGCCTTTACTGCTAGAGTAGAAAGTTCTATAGAATAGCCTGCTTTTCAATTTTGTTGCTACCACTCAATAGGAATTTTTTTATTTTGAGGAAATCATTTATGGCTTAAAAATGCAGGTTCTTTAAAATTCACATTTTACCCCCATTGAAAAGATCCGAGCCATTACTGTAAATAACTTTTAAAAATTGCCATTCCACTTAAAATGCCATTCTCATGCTTTTTTTAAGAAAAAATAACTCTACTAACGCACCTTTTTTGTAAGGCTCATGTTCTCCATCTTAGATCTGAGCACCTGCATCTTCTCCTTGGTGGCTTCATTTTCCTCCAGTTTCTCCTGTGAGGGCGCCTCTTCCACCTCCTCCTCCTCCTCATAGACATTACACACAGACCCACCACTGGAATCACATTAAAAGTGTTATTATTATACAACACTCACAACAGAAAAAATTGACAAAGAAAAATCATTATATGGGGTTAATAAAATAATTAAACCTAAATCTACAAAAGATTTGCAGATTTTTTATCCTTCAAAAATCCTGTCTACATTTGGAGGCAATCACATCAAGTTTTAGGCATAAGATACTTTCAGCTCCTCACGTCACCAAACTTGTCATGGTTTCTTAGAAATGCATGAAGAACATAACCTTATCTAATATTTTCAATCAAACCTTTTGATAAATGGTATGCCCCCAGTAGGGAGGAAATCTTTAAAGAAAAGTATGATTTCAGACTTTTGCTGATACAATAATGAATTTAAATCACACCTTCTCAAGAGAAATTTGAGATGCCATTTTGTTCTTCGCCTCCTAAACAAGACTGTTATGCGCACTACAGCTACTCCAGTGACTGGGACAACATTTAACCCAAATTTTGCTTATAACAGTGCACAGGGATAATATAACCTTAGCTTATTTTAAATCCATATTTCACAAGCATTTACATAAACTAAACTTATTTTGAGTCCAGTGCTACACCTTAACTCTAACATATAAAATAGTTGTCTTAAGTAATTACCCTACAAGAGACTTTTTATTCATATTGTCCAGGACTCAGTGATAGAGGCCACTAAATCTCACCTCAATGATTCTGACAGAGGAGTCAGGGTCCCGTCCCCTCTGTCCACCACCCTGAAGAAATTGAGTTGGTCACCTTCGCGGAAGACTAGCAAGGTCACTTGTTTGTTGCCAGGGAGCTTCTCCCAGATCTCTTCACGATTTGCCTCCATGTATTCTGCCATTTCCCTGAGAGCAGGATCCTCCATTGGAACTGAACAAAAGAGGGCAGCACCATGTTAGAGAGATAAGCATTCTTAAGATTAAAGAAACATTTGTTCTATCTTATATGTTTTACATGGACAATTATGCTAAGAATGATATATTGCTGTATTTTTATTTTAATTGAAAAGAATCTGATGTTATTTTGTCAAGGTCATTTTATTTCTAACATTTTTTTATTGTAAGAGAATGATTGAAAGATTCTTCCAAGTATATTTCTTCCACCAAAAGTTCGTCTTATATCATGTTGTCTCATGGCTAAAGAGTTGCACCGATTAAAAACATACAGCACACCAATCATATCATACTTTCCCATGTCACCAAGCTTCATTTTATGTTATTGTTGCAAACAATCATATTTTCTTTTCCCCCCTCACACTCAATATCCTTTTGTGTGTTTCACATAAGGCGAAAGTCACTTTAAAAGGACATTAGTTAACAATGCAGAAAGACATAGAATATTCTCCCAATGTAAACCTAAGCCTGTTTTTATACTATTGTAGTACCCATAATACTGAGGTCAACTAAACACAGTAACAATTTCTATAAAAGTGGGTTAGTTTTCTGTAAGGGCCAACACCAGGACAATGTAATGTTTGATGTTATGAACATAAAGATATATGGTATAATGTCCCTTTCATACAATGTAACAAAGCCCTAGCTACAGTTTCTAGGCCCAAAGCCAGAAGGTACACATGTACAGCCAAGGTGTTTCCTTTATTAACACTTGCATCTTTTTAGACTTAATTTTAGGGTAAAAAATCCAACAATTGCTGGAAGTTGCCCCTTCATTAACAAGGCACACCAAGGTGTTATGTGCATTGTATTCCTCTGAAGTACACAGTAAACTGCTAAAAAAAATCATTTCTGCAATTTTGCATGCCAGAGTGTGACAATGTATATGTAGTTAAGTGCATGTCATCTGTTAGTGACACAATGTTATGTGATGGCATACAACTTCAATGACTATGCAATAACATATATATAAAAAATATGGCGTTGAAATGTGTCAGTGCTTTGGGACAGACTGGTGCTGGTTTTTGTGAAGTTCAAACCATCGCAACGGATAATCCCATGTTTACTGTTTCATAAGACAGAGAAAGTATTTTACATGACTTAATTCTGTGTAACACAGTCTCATAAATGCAGTAATTAATTAATTAATATAACCAATCACACCATAATCATGATTAGTATAAATTTTCCATAAGTACAGATACTATTAGTGCTTCCTTACCCCTTCGAGTATTGATAGGCCCCCCTCTCATTGCTAGGACCAGTTTCAATGTTGCACCATCGTGAATACTGTAGTCATGAAGGCAGTAATCATCCTCTAGCTCCACAGATTGCCAAATCAAGTGCTGCTGGGATATCGGGATGCCTGTAATACAATACAAATCATATTATGCGTTACATATGAATCATTATCTTCATCATCTTTTCCTGCAAATTGTAATTCAACTCTCATCATTCTGATAAATTCAATTATTTTTCCATTTATGTTTTGTGTTGAGTGTTAGATAAAGTTACACGTTAAAATGTAACTTATACAATAAAGGTGCAAGACCCTATTTTCTCACCAGATCATTTTATCCAGCAGGAATGTGAATAATATTAGTTAATAAATAAGATATCCACTTATATCAATTATCAATTTTTATCAATTATAAATCATGCTTACATATTTTGGTTGTACAGTTTGATAAAAAAACTTTTTAAAAATTGGGCGGGGGGTTAAAGTAAAGATGTAAGTTAAAAAAATACTAGTAATCAGATAATGCCATTCCCATGCCAGATATAGCGTTTGGAATGTTTGTTTGTTTGTATACTGCATGAAAATGCCATAAAAGCCTGTGTTGCCAGGTCCATTGTGTATGAAGGAATTAATCTAATGAAAATGAACTTGGGCCACCAGAAACATTCCACACACAAACTCAAACAAATGAAATAAAACATTTTAAGGCACTCATCTGAGCAAATAGTAAGCAACACCTTAGAACTGAATGAAAACAATAGTTAAATTGATTCCTATCCCTGTGCGCAGTCAAGCTACACAAGGTGTTAACTAACAAGTGACTTCACCAAGCAGGGGGTAGTACGGTTAAGCATACCTGACACATCAAGTAACAGGAGATATTGATCGCTGCTATTGTCAACCTACTGAATAGTACACAAACCAATGCTGATCGCAGCACGGAAATCTCAATTCACATTTTGAAATCTAAGTATATAATTACTTCAGATTAGTTTATTTTTTAACTGAAGGATTTTCCAGCACACAAAAAAATGCATCTCAATGTGCACTGTGGGTCTCTAATGCAACTTGAGCGTGGCAACTGTGAACACAAACCTAGCAAACAATGGAACAAAACCATGGTCGCGCGGGTGATTTACAAGACCTCTTGTGGTTCATATAATACGCAATACAGCACTATGGTTCATCAACAATCCATTCATGCTTTGTTGTTGGCAAATTGTTGACCTTTAAAGTAAGTCTATTGGTTGTGCAGCCATATCAAACAGTGGGATTTAAAATCTTTTTTATCCATTCATCTAAAACTGGAATGTAATTTCCGAAAAAAAATATAAAGCTCAGATGGTAAATTTTAAAATTTAATTTGAGAGCTCAATGAATTATTCTGATCCACTTGTGTGCTTATGCCAATGTACTCAATGCAACAGTACACTGAAGATTTTACCATGTCCCAAAATTTCTGTAGACCACTGTATTTGAATTGGCTCTGTCATCCATGAAAAGTCTAAATCCTAAGTGGTAGTGCTCAAGTTACAAATGTGACACCAGCAAGAACATTATCCTTAGCATGGGGTTCTCACAACTGTGGTTAGAAGTACCTAGTTGCCACCAAAGATTGTTGTATTTGCTAAGAGTGCAAATATCTTACTTCAAAAAACTGTGATTCAGCTTCCAACAAGAGAAAGTCGTATCCAGAATAAAAGGCTTTGTACTTTGTTTATATTTTGATTTCTGCATTAGCACATATATACTTAGCATATATGGACAATGATCCTTGATACCTATCAGAAAGAAAGATTTTTTAAAGAATTTAAGCAGAGTGCTTTTGACTTTCTTCCCTGCCCCATGATGTATATGCAAACTATGATTTATATCATAACCTTTTATTCTTTAAGTTTCAATTTCATTAAATTCATCTCCATATTAGTATTTTCTTTTATTTTGGCACTTCTGGTAAGACATGAAAGCATCAGTTATTGTTAAAATCATATTTTGAAAATTACTTTCTGGGATGAACATCATCATGACCATTCTACATCAAATGAGATTATCACCCACACGATAATTCTGTAAATTGAGTCATATGAGAAGCAAAGGAATATGTCAGCGCCTATTGAATGTTTTTGTGAAGAAGTCAAATAAAAAACTATGTAATTATAAATTTAGTTTGTTACTTATTGATGTTTCCAAGAAGAAGATTATCTATGAACAATAATCAATATGTATCAGTCATGAAAAATGACAATTATGGCATTATTTTTTTCCAGAAATCAAATAAACAGGATATTGCATTGAAGAAAGTAAGGTTATGAAATAATCCAGACTGCAAAAACCTCTGTTTTAACCTCCACCACCAAAACAAATCCCAAATGCCACTACAGAGACCAAGGGTCTTTTCACAGCAGTGCATATAACTGGACCTGTCCAGTTTAAGAGAGATGGACAACTTAAAAAAATGTCTATAACATAAGAAAGTCACCATTACTGTGTTCACCACAACCAATCCATAACTAACAAAACAGCAAGAAACGAAAAAGAGTAATACCCCCTGTAGCATAATGACTAGTACATGTTAGGATCTGTTCAAGTAGAGTGTATCACTCAGTGTAAAAGAGGCATAAGATTGCAATAGAACTTGCAGTTATGGCATATGCTGCACATGTAAAGATTTGATGTCATTTTGCAGCCATCTCCTACTGAAACATCTAGTATCAGATGAGGTTTGTATAGAGATGGGCATTGTTGTCAAAATTGAATAAATGAGCAAAATGTATGGCCCAGTATGGGGCAAATCAGGTTGACTCTGTGGGAAATTCAACTTACAGAAAGTCAGGATAACGAGCACAATATATGTGCAAAACAGAAAAATGACCACAGAAAAGAGCTTAGTTTTGGACAGGAAGAACAAAAGCGATTTTTCGACCTTCAACTACACAGAGAAGGCTAGCTTAAATTGCATGGTCATCTTCTTTGGAGGTATGTGAGTTCAAAGGCAAAAATAACATTTGAAGCCTGAATCTTACCATCCTTCAGAACCCTCACATAAAAACACAGTATTTGGAGATGGAGATGAAATGTTCCAGTGAGTGTTTTTATATGAAGGCAGCCAAATCGGTCGCTAAAGTAGAACTAGAATGTACGAAAACTGATAAAACTTTTAAATGTGCTGTCCTTTTCGGTTACCTACCTTCTAGCCTCTGTATCTTTGCCTTTACGGACATAATTGTCTCGAAAGGTGATACTCGGAGCTCAAAGGCAGCCCCCGTCAACGTCTCAATATACAATTCCATCATACGATCAAAGTAATTATAAGTTTCTGTTCCTAGTTTCATTGGTAATGTTAGTCCATCTTTTCTCTACAAAAAGAGGTTATCTTGTTGACATTTTCGTCTATCCCGTTGGTTTAAAGGCCCGGCCATCCCACCAGGCGTATCCCAGAGGACTGGCATGCCTCTCTGCTTTCTTAAATCCACATTTTATCTCGTTGTTAGATCCCAGATTGTAACTTTGGAGAATACAACAATATGACGGTCAGGGCTTCGATCACACACAAAATCTAATATGTTCATGAAGTACCCGTATGTAGGGCGGTAGCCATTAACAACCAAGTCACGTGAAGGGTAAACATAAACAATAGCGCAGGCGCTACTAACACACTTTGACTATGCCGTCACAGCCACCGTCTAGCAGGACATCCAGATGCGTTTTGAAAACTGTCTTGGTAACACGAGTAGTTGTGAAACGCGCCTTACAAGGAATTTCCGGAATTGTTTTGAAAAAAGAGTTTTAACTTAAAAGTAGAAAGATGGTATTTAATGAAAGATTAAGTTGTAACAAAACTTTCATAAATAATCCGAAAAATAATTTGTTAGCTTAGATTTAAAAAGTAATAGTCTACACGTATTTACTATTTGGGCATAAATCATTGGAGTCGGGCTCGTGTTGAGGACACCAAGCAGTTCAACTAGTTTTACAATTAATACGGAATGGCTTAGATTTTCGACCAATATAGCTAGCCTTTTTCAGTTTGAGGAAGGATATTGAACACGCTTTTTATTTAATAAATTTTTGCCTCATATTGTTTTGCAAAGCCCAAGGCTTCGATTTACAGCCCAGTAGGTCTCAGGGCTGGATTATGAAAATCACTTAATGGGATTCAAAATATTCATGATGGCTGACCAAATACATATAAAATAAAGTGAAATTGTAAAAACGAAAATTCATTTTATTTGGGTTTTGTATTTTGTTTTGCACAAATGCATCTCAATTAATGTGGCAGAGAAACTAATCATAAAAATGAAGAATAAAATCAGAATTTAAAATCTAAAAGAATGTTTTATTAAACAAAACTCAGCATGCTGCTACCTAAATATACGTAACAATCCAATAAGCAGACTAAGACATTTTACATTACCCTTTATATTACCAGCAAAAATTCTGACCTATTTCTATCACTTCTCAGAAAATGGTAAAAAGATGTAAAGGCCACAGTTTTATATATATTTATGTTCTGAATTCTACTAAATACCAAAATTTTTATACATTAATACATAATATCTTTCAATTTACCAATGAAAACAGTTTTTGGCACCCCCTCCGTTATTCTGGGTCTTCCATTAAATTTTTTAAAATCTGCATTAGTGTGCAGGATTATGCACATGATGGCGGACCAAAATGATATGTTAACTCAATACAATATACAAGTGACATGTAAAATATTAATGTTGATAAAATCATTCTGAAATATATTTTGAAATAAAAAAATGTATTACCTCCACTCTGCCTTAGATACTGATTGTAATCAATTATGCGTAAAATGTGGATTTTTTTTCTAAAAGCATTTTCCTTTATACTGTAATTGTGTTAAATTTTAATAATAACAAAGCAGTACAATGTCCACATTGGGCTAAGCAAGAAATGGACTTTTAGAAAAAACTGTTTGAAATGGGAAGATGAACCACATTGTTAAATGGTTCAGAAAGTAAAAATAAATCTTCAAAATCCTCCAGACATCTCATGTTGAGAAGCAAGTTAAAGGTGGTAGCACTGGACATAAGACAACTAAGTGACAGATACATGCCCATCTACTTTCCTGGCTGACTGAGTCTCTGAAAGTAGAACAAGGATATTTAAATTTTTCTTTCAAAATTTTGATGTGTTGTCCTATCATCTGTTTGTTTAATAAGAAAATGTCTTAAAGAGGAACATCATTTAGCTCTATCTTGAAAACACTGAATGACAATGATATAAGTTCCTCATGAATTAAATTGTTTGTTCTTTCTCATTCCATAGTGTCACTTTTGGAGCATTATAGTGTCAGAAAACCCTATTTTGGGCTGCCTATTTCAGCTCAGATCTTGTTTCTCTATAGTCTCTACAAATAATGTGTCCACTAGAAATGGTGAATTTTTGTCACATAATATGATATATTTTAAACATAATGAATCCCATTTACAATATGGAAAAAAAACGACTGCAAGAAAAAAATTTTTTTTTTAAGACTGTAATGGAATTTTTTTAGGACACTACAGAAAATTTTCAAACAAAATCACATGTTAGAGTCCTTGCACCTGATGGTTTTGCACAACTGAAAAACAAATAACTACGTAAACATTCAGTACTTAACAATGTCTTACCTTTTATTTCTAAAAGAATCCCTTTCAGTCTTTCCCTTTTTTCACGTTCATCTCTTATTTCTTTTTGTAGTTTCTGCACAAGCTCTGCAAAACATTTTGTATAATTTAACATTGTACATACATTTATAAACCTTAAACTTGATAAAAAAGAGCACTTTATGATCAAAAAAAGAATACAATGCACTTCAGTTTTTCTGGGAGATAAACTTGTAAGGTAATTTAATTTATCACAAAGATAGCCATTAGCTTACCAAGATTCTTTTTCATTTGTCTCTGAAAGGCCTTCAGAGCTTTTGTCTGCAACTGCTGAGTTTGCTCCAGTAATGCCAAAAGATCTAAAAACATAAACCTTGATTACTCCTTCACATAAGAGGTGCATTTTCATCAATGAAAGTTTTGTAAGGACCAATTTTCCACAGAGTTATCTTCAAAGTTGGTTAATGAATGCGACCGACTTCATTTTGAGTAACTAGTATATTATCAATTTATTAATGGAAAAATGCCTTGGTTATTGGTTTGGTAAGATGGAAAATTTTACACCTGACCCAAGAAAACATGTTATTGCCCATGCACATAGTAAACTAGAGGATCAGAGAGGCGATACCGNAAAAAAAAACGACTGCAAGAAAACATTTTTTTTATAAGACTGTAATGGAATTTTTTTAGGACACTACAGAAAATTTTCAAACAAAATCACATGTCAGAGTCCTTGCACCTGATGGTTTTGCACAACTGAAAAACAAATAACTACGTAAACATTCAGCACTTAACAATGTCTTACCTTTTATTTCTAAAAGAATCCCTTTCAGTCTTTCCCTTTTTTCACGTTCATCTCTTATTTCTTTTTGTAGTTTCTGCACAAGCTCTGCAAAACATTTTGTATAATTTAACATTGTACATACATTTATAAACCTTAAACTTGATAAAAAAGAGTACTTTATGATCAAAAAAAGAATACAATGCACTTCAGTTTTTCTGGGAGATAAACTTGTAAGGTAATTTAATTTATCACAAAGATAGCCATTAGCTTACCAAGATTCTTTTTCATTTGTCTCTGAAAGGCCTTCAGAGCTTTTGTCTGCAACTGCTGAGTTTGCTCCAGTAATGCCAAAAGATCTAAAAACATAAACCTTGATTACTCCTTCACATAAGAGGTGCATTTTCATCAATGAAAGTTTTGTAAGGACCAATTTTCCACAGAGTTATCTTCAAAGTTGGTTAATGAATGCGACCGACTTCATTTTGAGTAACTAGTATATTATCAATTTTTTAATGGAAAAATGCCTTGGTTATTGGTTTGGTAAGATGGAAAATTTTACACCTGACCCAAGAAAACATGTTATTGCCCATGCACATAGAANCTATTCTAAATTTGACATTTCTGCCATAGATTTTATGCATCATCATGTCTTTCAAAAATAAAAATAAATTTTCTCTATCAACCCTGTTTACAGAGTTACCACTAGTTATCCAACTAAACAATTAAATTTTTCAAATAAAGGAAAGTACCTTTTTTTAAGGAAACCTGCATGTTTTAAATGCATGTATTAATGTTTTAGACTTTTAAAAATATGTGAATATATTCTCTGTAATAACTCATTGAGCATCTTCAATTTCCAACATCAAGTGTTGTACTCACCCTCATCCTTTGATTGAGTATCTGACCAGCTATTTTCAAATGGACAGGCACTTTCTGGAATTATAAATCAATGAAACAAATGTTATTTCTTTGTCATTAAGCTCCAGAAATGTACTATTATGATATATAATTGTATCTCCTAGAATGTGATGCATATTACTGTTTAAGTTTTAAACATGCATGTTGCTGTTTATGTAACACCACCAATTAAGTACTTATTTGTTCTTGTGCCTCTGAGTTATTATATATGGGCCACAAAATTACTTACCAGTTTTACGTTCTGATGTCAGATCAGTGAAGTTGATAACTGGAGTCTTAACAGGCTCTTTATTGGACCTATCCAGCAGACACAGTTTGGAAGATGACTTTTCCTCCAGGGGTGTTACCACAGTAGCATCCTCACTTGATTCTGTCAGCTTCTCTTCAGATTTTTCATTTTCAGGAAATTTCATTAAATCTATACATTCTGAGTTTATGATGCTAGAGTCTGTTGAAACTGCTGGTTTTCTTTTTGAGATTGTTGAATCAGAGTCTGAACATGTGGCAAGCTTTCTTTTGGGACCTTTCTTTTCAAAGTCTGAAGAATATGCTTTCCTCCTTTTTGAATTAATGGAGTCATCTTTGGCAGAAGTTTTATGTCTTCTTTTAATACTTTCAGGTCCAGAGTTTGAGGTTATGGCATGATTTTCCTCTGAACCTTTAGCATCAATATCTACCAGTAAAGGCGTTTTCTTGGAATTTTCATAGGGCTTCCTTGCCTGTTTTGTGACCTCAGTTTTGTTTGATCTTTTACCAACCATTCCTGATGAAACTGTCTTCTTATTAACTCTGCTGCTGTCCTTATTTGCTGGTGAAACAGCCATTTCCTTTTGCTTTCCAATCATTTTAAAACTTTTTGCTGGTGAAACTATTTTATCTTTACTGCCTCCCAAAGCTTGACATTTTTTTGCTGCTGAAGCAAGCCTGTTATCATGCTGTCTTTTCAATTTTAAACTTGCTGGTGAAGCATGTTTATTGTTTATATTTTTATTCATTTTCATATTTACTGGTGAATCAAAATGAATGTTATAGTTTCCATCCTTTTTCTTAATAACGGGTGAGGTACCAATTTTATTATGATTTCTGTCCATCTTCTTGCTTGCTGGTGAAGTGGTACTGTTGCAAAGATTTATTCCCACTTCCTTACTTGCTGATGAAGCAGAATTGAAGTTTCTTTCAACCTTCTCGCTCACTGGTGAGGCGGAACTATAGCTATGGTTTCGCCCCACTTTCTTACTTGCTGGTGAGGCCATGCTATTGCCATAGTTTCTTTTCATTTTCCCGCTTGCTGGTGAAGCAGCACTGTTGCTATGGTTTCTTCCCACTTTCATGTTTACTGACAGAGCTGAACTATTGCTACGGTTTCTTCCAACTTTCTTATTTGCTGGAGAACAAGCACTATCGCCATAGTTTTTTACCATTTTTCTAGCTGCTGGAGAGGCAGCACTGTCACTATGGCTTCTTACAACTCCATTACTAGTACTTGTTGGCAAGGCGTCACTATTGCAATGGTTTCTGCTTACCTTTATTTTAGCAGGAGTAGCAACACTGGTGCTTTTATTTCTTTCAATTTTCACCTTTGCTGGAGAAGCAGCGCTGTCACTGCAGACCTTATTCAGTTTGACAATGCACTTATCAAGGGGCGCAGCAGTCCTTATATCTTTTCCTAAACCCAACTGTACATCACTTCCTGGTTGAGCAACCATTTCATTTTTGTCTTGGCCTTTACTGGATAATGATGCAGGTCTTTTAGTGCTGGGTGTCCTCTGAATAGCACAAACTTTGTCCAATGGTGAAGAAGTCATGATATCACTAATGATATCACTAACACTTGGTCTTAAGCCTGAAGCCCTGTTCTGCAATACTGGAGTTGACAAAACAGAAGAGTTTGTGTTAACTGATGGAGAACTGAGGTCTGTTTGTGGCCTTTCTTCAGTATTTTCAAAATGACTGCCATCTCTTTGATTTTTTGTAGGGCAAACTATTTCCTTGCTAGGTCTAAACATGGTCTCACAGGTTTTATTGACACTAGTTTCATCTGTCTCCATGGCATCACTATCGTTGGAAACATCATTATCAATGAGAAAAACTTCAAGTTCAATATTGTCTGGAGTAATCTGCACAGGATTATCAAGTTCTTCAACATCAGAGAAGATAACCTCTACTCCTTCCACGTCTGATACAGAATATTTCTCATCATCATCATCATTGCTGCAAACTACTTTCGTGTCAGTTTTAACAAAAGTTGTCTTATCAACAGGTGGAATAACATCACCTTTCATCTCACAACTGATGGAAGTGTTTTTGTCTGTCTTAACTGTTGCCATTTTGTCCACAGGTTTTAAAGAGAGGACTTTTGCATTCTTGACTTTATACACTGACCCTTTGATGTTTTTAGTGGCAAAACTGTCATTGGATTCAGCTTTCACCAACAGTTTGCCACATACCACTTTTCTCTTAGTTGCTGACATAACTGATCCAGCTGTAATCTCACCTGACTGTGTTTTTTCATTCTGACTTGTTTTTGTATTGCTGTTAGTATGCACTACTGCCATCTTGTTTGCCGACTCATCCCTGACTCTTTCAGGATCTGTGCTTACCACAATCCCAGTCTTGCAAGCAGCACTCACCATCATTTTACTTTGTACCTTACAGCGCGAAGACATTGACTTGCGAGCAGTGTGTTTTTTAAGCATCCTCGACTTTCCAGAAGTTGTTGACAGACCAGCTTTGGCTTCATTTTCTTTGGTACTAGACATCTGCAAGTGTGAAGTTTAATCATATATTTGTGTAAAATCTCACTGTTCAAGATGCAAATATACATGAAGAGTATTAATGTTATTCTTAATTTAATAGGGACCAAGCAATTTTTAAAAAGAAATTGTTAAATTAAATGTTACTTAATGCTTAAACATAGACATGCATTAATTCTTACAGTATAGAATATCAAATGAGCAGCATTTGTTATGAGAAAATGAAAAACATCTTATTTTAAAATTAAGGTGTCAAAAATTTGAGGAATCAAATCAATTTAAAATACTTTCATGGTTAAAACACTCAACATTTCACTGAACATTTCTTCACATTTGTTGAGGTCAAATGTTCAGAGCATTTTATCACCTGTTGAGCAGTGTTCAGCGATGGTGAGTGGAGTTTGAACACAGTCAAAAATGTTCAATGGATTGCTTCAACATTTGCCCTGACAATGTTTCTTTTACAAAGCAATATAGGAAGAAGCTTAGACTGTAGCAAACAAATATCTAACAGCAAAGAAAAAATAAGAGAGGACCTGTTCCATATTTACCAACTATCCTAATGACAAACTTGTTTGTGAACAATGAAATCCCTAAGTGAATGTAAAACACGGCACTTACAAAACAGTAATTTTGAAGTGAAAAATACTCACACAAAACAGGCCGTTTTTTACCGTGATAAGCCATACTTCACTACCTATGATGATAGACCTATGACTGACTCAGAAACAGTTGTTTACATAAGCATCACCTAGACTTGATAAGCAGGATCTCAGTTTCACAGAGGGCAGTGCATTCTTGACAGAATGTCTTACAGGCCAGGAAGGTATGGAAGCGTGTAAGGGTCACAACACCAACACCAAAAACAAATTACAGTTCAATACCAAAGAACTGCAGTGAATGCTCAAAACTTTAAAGAATTTCACACCAGTGTCAATTACTTGGGAAGGGGGGGGGGGGGCATTCACCATACTTAGATCGATCTACCAGGATTGATCCATTTCCAAGGGGTTTCTCGCTATATTGCTTTCAGCTTAAGCAGCTTAAATGAAGCTGCTAGATGATAATTAATTACCCCCTTGCATCTTCAGTAGGCGTGACAGACATCTAATTAAGCTGCTAATTGTTGATTGCAATTTAGCAAGAATCCCCTTGGGGATAGATCGATCCACAGTTAGTACCATAGGGTCTGAGAATGGTCCCATATGCTTTCATTTCACACAATAAAACTGTCCCTTCCTGTAATTACATATAATGGGCACAGCAGAAATAGATGTTCTTAAAAGGAACCTGAGGAGAAAGGATTGTGCTGGAAGTGCGCAACATATGACATTGAGAGTTGTAAGACATGAAGCTGCTTGGTCATTTTTAGCTGAAAGTACACAACAGTGTGAAGTTGTAGCAGATTTTCTGACGGCATGGTAAGATAATATTTTTGTCTTTCTACATTTTGAGCAGAGAATACAGTACTTGTAGAAATACGGGGAATATGATATGAAAGTGAATCATGAAGCTTGAAGTTGCAAAATTGTGCTTCCATGCTGTCAGAAAATCTGCTTCAACTTCACACTCACGGCTCTATTCTCATGTACTTCCAGCTAAAAATGACCAGGCAGCTTCATGTCTTACACCACTCGACGTCATATGACGCACACTTCCGGTACAATCCTTTTTCCTCCGGTTCCCTTTATTGACCATGCTGTGCATGTTAAATTTGTCTGAATCAATTAAGTTTTTCTACTATAAGTTTAAAAGCATACTCGCTTTTTTTCGTAATGTAATAGTTGATAAAAACGCAATTAATGAAACATTATGCAGCTATAACCCACCTTGCTTGTTTAATATCAGACAGTCCCCCTCGCTTCATCCAGTGCGCCACAAACAGCACCACAAAATGCTTTGGTTGAGACATGGACTATCTTGAATAGTTTTGACAGACTAATGAGAGGTGCTGCCACCTTCTGTAAACAAACGGCACTCTTCAGCATATGGAGAGTCATATTCAACATCATGTGATAGAACTCTGATATTGAAAACGATGTATATAGTCATAGTGAACTGTCAGGAAGTCGCGGTTTGAAATTAATGTAAATCGAAAACGGTATTATTCGGAAGGACAATGCATGACGCATATGAACCTGCTCCGATCCTTGAAAAACTGCCACTGAGCATCGAATCCATCGCTTCTTATGGTAAGCTTGTCACAGTGTCACCCTCGCCTTCTATTCTAACACACAATCACAGTCAAGCCTGTGACTGTGTTTATCACCCCCCCCCCTCTGCTCTTCTTGATATCCTGGATACGACAGTGGTATAATAGCTAAATCACCTAAGTGCTTGTGAGGTTAATTTCTCGACTAATTGTACTATCCAGTAATGGGCATGATTGAATTAGAAATACTGGTACAAAGGTAGCACTGGTACAACAATACTACTCTCTACCAGGGTTGCATATTTTATTAGGTTGAGAATGTTCCCTGACCTGACCCAGTAACTTGATAATGTAATCAAACTTGAGATTTCTTCACAGGGTCACAGTGCAAAGAATTACTGTCAATTTAACCAGAGACATATCTGTAAATATCAAGTGAAAAATCAGTCTTTGGCCCTGGTAGAGGGCACTAACAATACTGTTTGGCAATATCAGATATAATTGTATCTGTATAGTACTCAGGTATGTTTACAAACCAATGACATTTGCTAAAAGTATAATTTACTATGGTTAGTTTAATTTTCAATAGAGCATTGTTGTTTATTTTCACATTTATTGGTGTTATTGTTTATTTATTAATTTTTTTGTTTTATCATTTTCATTTTGCAGAGGATGTTCTGTTGGTTGGGACAAAACAGGGACATTTGCTAGTATATTCTGTGAAATCCACAGGCTCAGGTATTGCTTTTTGTAATCGAGTGAGAGTCATAATCAGACATGCTGAACACTTTTCAGAATGGCCGGACATTCGGACCTGCAGTAGTGAAAAATTTGCCAGACCAAATGGATTTTTGTTGGACCAAAAATCACCCTATTCGTTTGATACAGAAATTACCAGTAATATTAGAGTAGCTCACTTTGTCTGTGAATGTGATAGGTTTGAAATGGAGAGGAAAAACGCTTTTGGTCTTATATAATTTTATTAGTGAAGTATGTCGAATGATGGCTGTGAATTCAAAATTGCGGCTCTTAAACTCTTGTCGGTCCTGTGGACCGACTATGTCTAATTTTTTACTGGTCCAGACAAATTTTGCTGGTCATGACTGATCGGACTGACAGTTTCAGCATGTCTGCATTATATAGATGGACAAGGACCCAAACCTGTCTTCTTTTTTTTTTTTTTCGCTTTAACATCAACTTAATGACCAATGCTCAGTGTTAAGTGAATGTAGAGCCTTTGAAACATATGCAAAAAGTTCCTTTCACAATTAATAAGAATCAATCATTATTGTGCATGAAGGATAATAATAATAATAATAATAATACAGATATGGTATTTAAAAATAGTCTGAAATTCATCTTATCATTTAGAGACAAGATTTGATGTCTCCCTGGAAAGGTCCAACAAGTCCTTCTCAAGGAAACCTATACAGCAGGTGAGTAGCTACAATTTTCCTTTATAAGCCTTAAAAAATATAGATATCATTCTTATACAGGCATTTACCTGTGCCAATTTTTTAAACCATATAACAGAAAATCAGCAAGGCTTAGGTTAGTCTTGTTCACACCTTGGTGTTACTACCTTTTTGATGTGCCTAAGTACCTTTTAAATTTGTGTGTCCTGGACATAAAACTTGGTATTCTCTCACCCAGGGTTGATTGCTGCAGTAAATTAGTCACATTCATTTGTACAGTAGCTTAAAGCCAAATCTACTTGCTAAAATAATATAAATGATATCATGTGCATACATGTACGTGACTTGTAACTGACAGGAAATTAGGTTTCGATAAGATCTAATTGAGGCTGTCACATTTTTCATTTTACTTCAACAATCACCCCAAATAAACCAAATGAAATATGGAAATTGAAATATAGCATTAGGATAAAAAAGGGACAGTGTTATTGGGACATAACCCTTTTGGCTTTATGAAGTTTGTCAGTATCTGATATCTGTCCTACGAAAAAGCCAAAAAGCAGAGAATTATGCCCAGAATTAAAGTGCTTGATGTGAACATCCTAACTTGGTTATCACCAGTCATTATTGTCCCAAAACTAATTCCAAATATTAACGAAAGCTTTTTTCCAGGCAACATTAATTAATAACTATTGTAAAATGTAATACAATACAGGAAGGAAAATTTGCCTGTATTTCAGGGGCGGATCTAGAGGTATTTTCTGACAGTCTTCCAAATTATACTTGTTGATCCATCCTCCATTTTTGACCGTCTTCCAACAGACAAAATTAGATATCCGTAAATGTAAACTTGAAAATCTGACCATCTTCCGGAAGACCCAGAAGACAGCCTCAATCCGCCCCTGTATTTGAAGTGCAATACTGTCTAGTAAAAATTCTTCAAAATATACTTTTATTACATTTAATCAAATCCAGACTATCTCCCACTGCCCTGAGGTATGGCTAAAGGCTTTCAGTTGTCATCAGACTTTGTAATTTGGGAGAAAAAAGTGAAACAGTAACTTCTGGTGATGAATAATAGGTAATAGTGCTGCAAGGAGTTGTTTTTTATCCCTGATGTACGAGTAGCTTTTTCTACAGTTTCTATAATTCTCTTAACGTATGAAAATATGCAGGTTTTCTGATATAATAAGACTTTGATAAAATCAAAACCAATAATACTTTTAAAGTCGAGAGTCGGGATGAATATCGGCAAGGTGGAGATATGTCCCGCCGGCGCTTCCGCAACAGCAAGACTGAAGGACGCAAGTTACAAAGCAAAACATGTTTAGTCAAGTTAAAGACTTAATTACTGGTTTAACTTCGGCGGCAGTGCCTACTGCTGTGAGCAACATGCGCTGTCCATCGTAATCCCCCTATCATTAACACTGTCGGGGACGTGCGCATTAGCGCGTCTGATGTAGACAGCGTGTGCTATTAAAGTGACCGGGGACTTATTAGCTATAGTGTACATTTTATTTTTTCAGCTGTCTGCTGTTCCAGAATGCAGTGTTTTAATTAGCCTGTCTGATACCGTTGTTAGTGTCCATGATCTGACTGTGTTTAATCAGATTACATGTGTTAAAAAAACAGCAGGTGCCTCTTTATTTGCCATAGACTTACAGGTAAGGAGAGCAGGGGACATGTGATATCTGAATTTGAAAGTAAAATGCTCTACAAATTAAATTTTTAAGTGTTTCTTGTTGTCTAAAAATTAGTGGTACACAGTTTATTCTTTTTTAGAACCATGTCTCATCAAAAAAATTGAAAAGGAAAAAAAGGTAATAATCTGGTTGATATAAGCAACAAAATACTGGAAGCAAAATGTTAGAGACTAAAAAGAGGTGCATCTCTTATCGAATAATCATTTTAGTTTAAAACCACCATGAGTAGTAATTATAAATAAATTATAAATAAATTATACACTCAGTTTCCTTCATGGTTTGCTTATTATAATAATAAATACTTTTCTGTGTGCAGAAATTAGTTGCTGAATGAATAAACAAGAAATAAAATACCGAGTAAATAAAATTTTTCAAAAAAAAAAATTAGAAAAATTCTAAATCCAAAAAATACTGGAAACATGAATGTTTTCTTTTAGAATGCCCAGTTAAATATATTTGTGACGATTGTTGATTAGCATTGGTATTTTGATTGTAATAAGATAGCCAGTTATTTCGTCTGGTTAGTGAAAAAAAAGAAGGGAAAGAAGAAAACAACGGGCTCGTCCGGGATTTGAACCCGGGACCTCTCGCACCCAAAGCGAGAATCATACCCCTAGACCAACGAGCCATGTTGAAGGAGGTGGGGAAACAATAGGTTGTATATAGCAGGAGATGCCTTTATTATTCACGGAAGGTTTAAGTGATGTTTTCTTTTTTGTTACAATGAATTTTTCATACAAATATAATATAATAAAAAATAACCCCATTTGAATCTGTGAATTATGCTGCCAAATCCAAATGTAAAATTTTGTCCTTGCAGCAGGTGCGCTATTTACGGAAACGAGGCTCGTGTTTAGAGGATGCTTGTCTTGTTTTGTTTTGAACTTTCGACCACCTGAAATACCTTGTGTCTACACGAGGTTTGAAACAAAGACATTTTCTTATAGATGATATTTACATGAAACCTACATGTTATTCTTATTATAATTTTCATTGTTTTGCAATTTTGAGTGACCTGTGTGAATAATCTCCAAACATGACGTCATCGCACGTGCTGACATCTTTCGTTAAGGAAGCGAATCGGATAAATTTTTAACAAAATTTTGTGGAAATAATGCTCATTAGATAATATTACGCGTTTTCAAGGATGATATTCTGTCAAATATTATTCTTATGTGTTAAAACTATACTAGATGGTGATCAGTTTTATACCAATATGAACTGATGCGAAGTTGCTGTTCTTATTCTACTAATTCATGTCGAAGAATATATGTGGCTCGTTGGTCTAGGGGTATGATTCTCGCTTAGGGTGCGAGAGGTCCCGGGTTCAATTCCCGGACGAGCCCTTGCTCTTTTTTCTGCTTTCAAATGTGTTTATGTGTGGTCTTGGAAGCAGTGAAAATGTAAGGAACCGGACAACGTGCCAGTATTTTGCAGAAAAAAAATGAAAGAAGGGAAATACAAAATGTTCTTGGAAATGTATACATCTTCCAAAACTAATGCAATCCAGTTAATATAAATACCTTTTTAGTGGTATGCACTCAAAAAGCACACTTATTTCCATATATTGGACATATTATTGGTATTGAATAAAATTGAAGTTTACTGATATTTTTGCCCTAATAGGTTATGGCCATACATGCATGTTGGTTTTAATGCCCAGACACATTTTTATAATGTGATTTGGAAAATGAAGTTAAAGAAATTAATTTGGTATTTCAGAAGGAAACTTCACTTACAGGAGATGTAAAACATACACTCAGAATGTGTGTAGCAGTAAGGAGAAAATTGCAGTTGTTTTATTGGAAGAACCGAGATTTCTATGAGTTACAGGTAAACTGCTCTGTTCTCTCTCTCTCTATATATATATTATAATTTGATATACATGATATTTTTTTATACATTTAAAAGATATTAGAAGGGTTATTAGAAAAATATGTGCATATTAAATCATTATCATTTGAATTCATAAAGTTTGCATGTATCTTACTTGTTCAAGTTCAAGTTCATTTTTGTCATATTTGCAGATTGACCTGAGTGTTCCTGACATTCCTAAAGCCATGGCTTGGTGCAAGGATTCCATTTGTGTGGGTTTCAAAAGAGACTATTTCCTTATTAAGGTACAACAGGGTTCTTTTTTTTTTTTTCATTCCCATTCTTAATGATTAGGGGCAGATTAAGATTCAGACAACAAACAGAATGTCCAAATTAATGACTCTAACCACAAATTAAGTATCTGAGCATGAATCAGTAGCCACAAGCACAGCATTTTGGCACAAGAGCAGTTATGACTCTGTGTTAGGTCTACAAATTATACTTAATTTGTGGCTCGAGTCAATAAGTTGGGCATTCATGCTCCCAAATCTAAGGCTCATGCTAATGACAACAATGTTTGTTTATGAGGCCTAAGAGGAGATATCTCATAAATTATTTGATCTACATGCAGATAGCAATGTTGGGACATAACTGTACATGTCTTATTGAAATACATATAATAACAAAAAAGCATCAGTTTTTAAAAGTATAAGATCCTGCACAGGCAGTAGATAAAACATTTCACTTTTTTTTTTTTTTTCAGGTTGAGTCTGGTGATTTGAAGGAGCTCTTCCCCACAGGTGCTCGTATGGAGCCTCTAGTCACCAAGCTGTCTGAAGACAGGCTAGCCCTGCAGAGAGATGACATGTCAGTTTTCATTAACTCAGAGGGAAATCCCGTTTTGAAATATGGTCTTAACTGGTCTGATATTCCAGCCATTATGGGTATGTTCAAATATGATGGGAACAGTTAATATAATTTTTGTAGGGGTTGAACTCCCAGGATGTAGATACGTTGAGTATCATATTTAAAAACATTATGAATGCCTTAGTTGAAGCTTCAAACTGTATTTTTGAGGATATATCACTTATATACCACCATTTAGATATGCATAATTTTTTTATTTATTTTTTATTTATTAATTTCAATATTTTATTTTTTTTAATTAGAATATAACGATGATTTTATCTTTCATCTAGAGCATCATCCTCCATACATCTTGGCAGTTCTTCCAAAATACATAGAGATCCGGACAATCAGTCCAAGGACACTCATCCAGCAGATTGAACTTAACAAGCCCAAATTCATTTGCAAAGGAAGGTAGGAACCAAAAATGGACTAAAGTTAAATAAATGTAGGCCATTCAGTTTATTTATATCAATGAAAAGGTTTAAGTTTGAATTAAGCTTTACTAGTCCACTTATATTCATGAAGTACAAGAATAAAGTCAAAAGTTTTTAATATGTCAATTGATATTGCTATGTTTTTCATAACCAATTGCTAGAAATACTATTTCAAATATACTTTCATTTAACACATAATGAAGAAATATTTATTAACTATAAAAATTGTATTTAGTTTTTAGCTAGTTTTCAAAATTATTTATTTATTTATTTATTTTCCATGATAAACTGGCTAAAAAGTGCTTGAAAGTAGATACCTTGTACATGTTTATACAATATACCTGTATAAATATAAATATATTTGAATGAAATTTGTAACATGTCATACCTCTATGAATATAAAAATATTTGAATTGAATTCATAACATATCAAGGTAGAATTTGTTGGGTCTTTCCTTCAGCCATGTGTATGTGGCATCTAGTAACTATGTGTGGAGATTGGCCCCCATTCCAATCACCAGGCAGATAGGGCAGCTGCTGGCACAGAAGGAGTTTGAATTGGCATTGGTGCTTGCTGTAAGTTTAGCTATCTATTGTTAGTATTATTTCTTTACTTTTACTACTATATATGATGGTAGCAGAGAAATAGAATGGGTGATTCAACACCCATAAATATGTTTGGCATAGAATATGATGTTCAAAAATTGTCTATTATAAAAGGCACATTGGACAAAAATTGGCGAAAAATGCCTCATGCATGCATGCATGAAATAAATGTGCTTTCTATACACTAACCTTAGTTTCCAGTGTCAGTTTTATACCCATTTGTTATTTTGTTGTAATAACACTGGCCCTTAGAATATTACCTCCTGTCACTGATGTGAGCCAAATACATGTACATGATCATGAATCTTGTCTATNTAACGCGAAAACACGCATATGAAATTTATCTCCAAGCTGAGGAGAGCGACGCAGACGAAACCTTGAGACCGGAGGCCCCCCGTAGCTAGCTCCGCCCACCGTAACAGACATCGGACAATAGAAAGGCTTGCGTGTAATCTCCTTCTGTTATAACTCCTTGTTTAACAACAAGTGAAATATGAATGCTTTCAACATGTGATATTTCAGGCAGATAAAAATTATCAATACTAATTCTCTTTATTATAATGTGAGAAAACTTTTTTGAAATTTAATTTTTTTTTTCAGAATATGACAAATGAAGAAGAAGCAGAAAAACAAGTCAGGATACAAAAGATTCAAAACCTTTATGCCTTCAATTTATTTTCCCAACACCGTTTTGAAGAGTCCTTAAAAATATTTGCTGAACTGGGCACTGGTATGTGAGAATATTTACAGGAAATAATTAAGTGATGTGGTAAACTTTAATCAACCATTTTATTGCACTGGAGGTAACATCAAAACATCTTTGGCTTCATTCACATGCAATGTCTATTTTCTAAATTCTATTTTCTGTTCGCGGTATGTCTTATGATCACGGTCTGTGCCCTGAATATCCCGCGGCGTAATTACTGGCAGCGCGAGCCAGTTACTATATGTTACTATAAGTAACTGGCTCGCGCTGCCAGTAATTACGCGGCGGGATATTCAGGGCACAGACCGTGATCATAAGATAGCGCAAATAGAAAATAGATTTTTAGAAAATAGACATTCCATGTGAACGAAGCCTTTGTCATTTGATTGAAATGATTTGTGATAAATAGACTTTTTTCAAAGTGATTTAACCTTTTAGAAAGAGTAATATGATGTTTCAAAAGAAGTGTCCTATGTTTATTCCACAAATAGTCTAGCTTAAATCAGCAGATTTTATAACACGGGGTTTGCACTTCTGAGGTGTGGAAGAAGGCCAGTATAGATCCCAGTATGATCTGCTCCAATATGCAGAAAGTAATTAGACTATTTAGTTTCAAGTTAGCCAGTAAAAAAATTGTCCTTTAGCCTTGTGCTTAATACACAACTAAGCTATGTCATTAGTTCTCAGTACATGTTTGTTTTAATTTTTATTCCTATATTTCCAGATCCTGCTAATGTAATTGGGTTATATCCCAATTTGTTGCCATCAGAGTTCAGGAACAAATTGTCCTACCCTGACAAAACTCCGGATTTATCTGGGGGAGAATTGGAGAAAGGGATACTGGCCTTGATTGAATATCTCACACAGGTAAAGATCTTAATGCAATCAATATTAAAGTAGTGTAGTAGTGATTTAAAGGAGCATAATACGTTATACTTTTTTCTTTGCAATATCATGTGACTTAAATTGTACAGGTGACTTTGAAAACCACTATTTTCAGGCATTCAGACAAACTGATTATAGTTCTAAGGCATATATTTCTGAAAAGTATGTCTCTTTACATAGAATAGTACCATGATACAATGGATTTTTTTTCTTTCAGAGAAGGAATGAACTACAGAAAGATTTATCTGTGTCAAAGGAGAAAGAATTGGTATCATCTGCTATAGTAGAAGGCAGCACAACTATAAAGTCCAGAAAACAGCTTGGACAGATCATTGACACCACTTTGCTCAAATGTTATTTACTGGTGAGTACATATAGGCCTTTAAAATGGATAAGGCCTTTTCTATCTCGAACCTAAGGTTTGTGAGCACAAATGGCCAAATTAATGACTCAAACCACAAATTAACTACTCCAAGGTAAAATTACTTGCCACAAGCACAGCGTTTCATTACACAAACTGTTTATTTGCTTATCTACCCTTCGGTTTGTTCTGTATGAGCCAGAGATTGTTGAGAATGCATTACTGCCATATAAAACTAACCCATAGGGGGCGTTTGTATACAGCCAGAGACCTGGATGGAAGCTGGTGGAAGTTGTTTGTGTAATGAAACACTAAGCTTGTAGCAAGTAATTTTATGTTGGGCTAGTTATTTGTGGCTGGAGTCATTTATTTGTGCATTTGTGCTTCTAAATATAAGGCTCGTGTTAGAAAACAGCAATTATGGTTTATGAGGCCTGACTTAGTAGTTGGCATGAACTTTATTTATACCAATGTTTGCATCAATACTAATTGGCTAGAAAGCACTAGACTAGGTTACTTGACATAGCATTTTTAAGTTTTTCCTAAAGCATCAGATTTACATGAATTTGCAATCATGCACTGAATAGTTTTCCAAAAGACATGATAGATAATCCCCTAAAAGATAAAATATGGCAAGACCTTAAGTTAGCCTTTGTTGTTTCAGACCAATGATGCTCTTGTTGCTCCTCTCTTGAGACTGAAAGACAACAACTGTCACCTGGAGGAGAGCGAACGTGTTCTGAAAAAACAACAGAAATGGAGCGAGCTAATCATCCTTTATGAAAGAAAAGGCTATCATAAAAAAGGTAAATGTCATCTTTGACACATTTCAGTTGGATTAGGCATTTTCATTTGAAAATACATATTTCTTCTAGAATTCAAAAGACAGACAATATAAGTTCAAGATAACTTTAATGAATAAATAATTAATAGATCAATACATTGAGCAAATTAAATTTGAGAAAGTATGAGCTTCAAGAAGTGCCGTGAAAAGTATATTCCAAGCATTATTATTATTTATTATTTTTTTTTTGGGGGGGGGGAGCAGGGGAGTTCTTGTTCTTTGCATCTTTATAAAATACTTCTGGTTTCTTTCAAGCTCTTGACTTGCTGTTGAAGTTATCTGAGAAAGACTCTGGGTCACGCTCCTCACAGTGGGCAGGGCACGAGAGGACCAAAGACTACCTCATGAGACTGGGTATGTGTTGATGTGGGAGGTGGTACATTGTATTACATGTATAAATACTACTTATGTGAATCTGTTTGAACACAGTAAAATTCTGCTGAATGAGAGAACCTCATATTTAAGTGTACCAGTCAGTAAAATTTTGAAATTACAGGAACATTTATGACATGCAACTTTGTGCAGGTATTATTAATTTTTTTTCACAAAATAAAACTTTAAAATAAAATTTTACATGTACTTCAGAACAAGAATTTTTTTATTAGATTATAATATTTTCATTTTTTATTTTTGGCAAATGTTTTTGCACCACTTTAGGTACATGTGCATGTTGATATTAATTAACTTGAACAGTTGAAAAAAAATAACCTTTTTATAGCTGGTTTAGGTGTTGACTTTGTCTTTAAGTAGTGCCATGCTACATAAGTCTTTTTATTGCCTTTATTATGAAGTCGTGTCGTTTTTCTCTATTTGTTTTTCTTTATTTGTCACAATTTAGGTGGAGAACACATAGACATTATTTTTACATATGCAAAGTGGGTTCTGCAAGCATCTCCAGAGGATGGCTTAGAGGTACAGATTATTTGCAGTTTTTATTTGTATAGCCATGTGTATAGTATGACTTTTTTCAAAAAGTAGTATTTTTGGATTATGGTTGTCATAATTGTGGGGCATAACAATTGGTGGTTATCAAGTGGTTATCTAGATTTCATTGAACTTTACATTGTCAAAGCAGCCTATGTAGCCCAAGCTTCCTGCTGTTTGGCCTACTTTTGTCATTAGATCTTTTTTTTTTTCTAGATATTTACAGCTGATACAACAGAAGCAGAAGGGTTGCCGCGTAAAAAAGTACTAGAATACCTGGAACACATCTCAAAGGATTTAGCTATGCCATATTTAGTAAGTTGATATGAAAATTTGTTGTTGATAAAAATAGGAAAATAGAACTGGTTTAACATATGATTATAAAGAAGCTAATTTTTAATATTTTAATGAAATTGTGTGTTGTTAAGCCTTATTAATTTCTAAGGATAAATATATTCAATTTATTTAACAGGAACATATCATAGTCACTTGTCATGACCAGACACCAGAGTTTCACAATAAGCTTGTGAATTTGTACAGAGAAAAGGTGCAGGCACTTATGACAGAATATTTGCAGCAGTTACCAGAAGGTTAGAAATAATTTTTTTCAATATTTGACCTTTTTTTATTTTTTAAAACAGACTTAGTGAGAAATGTATCACTCATCATTTGGGAGGTTAAGTATATTTTGGTTTGCCGTAGGTGTTGATAACTTGCCCATCAAAGATTAATAATGTTAGATTAATATTGTTTTGTGGCTTTAAACACAAATAAAACTGAAATGGGACAGAACCTTATCAAATATTTTACAAGAGGAAGTTCTTTTAACTAAAATTTCTATGCTACTGCAATGTACATCAAGATTGTTTTCTCCCAGGCACATCAGCAGGGTGGTTTGGTGGGGGTCAGAAAGACTGGTTGGAAAAGGCTCAGTCTGAATCAAAATTTGAACTAGATACTTTGTCATTTTTCAAATTGGGTTAACTAAGGGGTAAAATGGTCCATTCTTTTTTTTTTTTTTTTTTTTTTTTTTCTTTTAGAAAAATAACTCATATTATGAAATTGCTGGCTACAAGCCTCCCTCTGTATCTTACACTTTAATCTAGTATCTGTTTTCTAAGGAGTTGTACCCCATGGACTGTGGAGTCACAAGCATCATTTTAAACTGTACTGCAATAAACCAATTTGATTACTCAGTTATGAAAGTGATAATCGGTTCACTTTTTTATTGCTTTTATTTTCAAGGTCAGCTCCCAGCTCAAGCAGGAAAGGAGCCAGGAGAATTAGGAGAACTAAGGGAAAAGTTCATCACTTTTCTAGAAATGTCTGACAAATATCAGCCAGAGAGACTACTCACTCATTTTCCTTTAGATGGTAGGCATAGATCATTATAGAATTTTTGCAGTATTTGAAGTTGGGATGCGTTATGATTTTGTGTAAGGGTACAGTTAAGGCCAGTCTAATTTATTACTAATTTAGATGGTTATATTGCAAAAAAAGTGATTTTCCTTAAAACTTTATCCATTCATCCATTCATCCATACCAAGGCATAACTTCCACAAATCACTTTTTATTTCATCTCAGTTTCTCACCATTTCTTTGCTACAAAGGTATTCATCCTGCACACTCTAATTAGTGCTAAAATGGTGCACACTTCATCTTTTTTATCTCTAGTAGGAGAGGTTTGTAATCAGTACTTGTTTTTGCTTTAGATCATGTTCTCCTTTCATAAAAATGGATTCCTTATGTGTTTTGTTTCTACACATTTCATTAGACATAATTTAAGCATATTCAAAATATTAAACTGTTCAACGATATCTAAAACATGCACTAAAACACCACTGTGCCATTCTTCAATTTTAGGATTCTATGAAGAAAGAGCCATTTTATTAGGTCAGTTAGGGAGGCATGAACAGGCACTTTATATCTATGTGCATCTTTTGCAAAACACAAGGAAGGCAGAATTGTAAGTATGCTTTGATAGCATCCCCAAAATACTGCCAAGTTTCATTTCATTTATTAGTAAGCTTTCTCTTTTGAATATATATATACTAGTATGCTTTATTAATACTTTCTACACCAGACTGAGCTGGTGAAAATGTACAGAAATAAAGAAATAGCAACAAAAGTAATGATAATATATGGTTTAAGCTTGATTGTACCAATATACCATGAGCATAACATGGTTATCATCTTTTTGAAAATATCCTTTATAGAATATAATAATAATTAAGTCATCCTACATTGTAATGTAAAAAGCTCTACTATGATGAATCTGATATGTTGTTTTTCATAAATAGGTACTGCAAGAAGCACTTTGACAAAAACAAAGAGGGTAATAAGGAGGTAGGGTGTAAGGTCTGCCATACATGTACATCTACAGAGAGAGAGAGAGAGAGAGAGAGAGAGAGAGAGAGAGCTGTGTTCAGATTAAAAGTTATCAGTCCAGCAGGATTGATCTGTCTCTGTGGGGATTTTTGCTTAAGTGCACTCAATGTTATCAGCTCAATTGTCTGCCCCCCCCCCCCCCCCCCTCCAGCAGCTGGGGGGGGGGGGGGTAATTATATATCTTTAGTAGATTCTAGAGGAGGCTGGCCAGACAACTAAGCTGATTACATTGAGTTCACTTAAACAAGAATCCCTGCAGAGATAGACTGATCCTACTGGACCGATAACTTTTAATCTGAACACAGCCAGAGAGAGACAGACATTAAGGGCATGGGTACAATCAATATAATGATTTATTATCCTGTTTTATCAGAAGCTTATCGGACCAGCTGAAGAACTATCTATGGTAACATGCTTATGCAACCCCTGTTTCATGTTGTGATAATTTCCTTTATGGTAAAGTTAATTATAGTTAAGAATAATGATGTTAATTTTACATCTAATAGGACATGATTTATGGAAAAATCACGAATTGGTGTTAAATTAATAATAAATACCTTATTAAGCACTAAAACATCTACAAATTACATTTTACAGGCTATCCACTGTATAATTTTTTTTACATATATGTTCATACAAAATACATAGCTAACAAAATAGGCATGAGTACTGAGAAATTGCAGAGGATAATACATGTATGACTATAATGATGGGTTTTTTCATTTCTTAATGCTTTCAGTTATATATACACATGTATATGTATTGATGTGTGTCCTCAAAGTTATCTACCCACACACTGCCTGTTTATACCAAAATTCGTATGTAAGATTGAAGTTGACAGCAGATTACAAACAGGTTCATTTGCAGCAAAAGCAGATAGGAAAACCACCGTTTATTATATTAGTATTATTATTATTTTTAGGTAGATTTCTCTGTATCTGTAACAATAAAATGCTGAAAATATTGAAATAATTGATATCTTATGAAACCAAGTATTTCTTCAAACTATTTGAAATCCATTTTGATATCACTTAAGCAGGCATTATTGAGAATTCTCCAGATACCCCCTGATCCAATTCCATACATGAAAGGAACAGTTTGCAAAAATCAATATATGTATTTCAAGCAGCTGGTCAGCATCAAATTATCGTAATTTTTAGATTAGAAATTAATTAATGATGAAATAGGATTTGCTCACAAGTTGGTACGTCACATGTAAGTTTGGTGGCAATATGAAATGTACATTATTCAGACTAACAAGTATTATGAATTTTCCTGCATTATCTTACATTTTCTGCTATATTGTTAAATTCAAAGTACAAATATGAGTCCAAAACTATCTAAATAGAAAAAAAGGAAGATATAGAACAGTTGAAACTAAATGGTAGAAAGGGTAAGGCAGTGCAAAGCAAGTGCCATATTCTGTGATGTTTGTACAGTTCGTGTCAAGGCAACCTACATGTAGGCCATTCTCCATTCTAAAAGTCATCATTATTAAAAAAACTTGGACAAATTCTAGGTAATTGAGGTTTCTAGTGCAGATTGAAACTTATAAACAACCCTTAATGATAAATGTGCAGTTTGACTTTCTATTCTATCACTGATATTGCTAAAGCCTGTCAGTGTTATTGATACTACTATCGGGACTCAGGATATATTGTGTGATGGGATTTAATCAATAAGGAACGAAGGCAATAAGCTGTAATTGGCAGAAGATGGATGTCTTGTTAAAATAGTCATTTCGGTTTTAGCAATCTGACGTGAAATTTTCCAATACTACCATTAGTGGAGACTGTTAGGCGAATAACTCGGGTCATGTCATACAAAAAGCTTGCTTAGAAATAAATTGCATGCATCAGAGTATGCTTTACTTGTCATGAAATGTTCGTTCCAGTCTGATGTTATTTGAACTCTATCCAACTGAGCACTAATTACGGTTGCTGAAGATATGCAGTATCTGTATGTATTTTATGGTATTGTTACAGACGCTCAAGAATTGAAAGATAATACACACACATTCCTGCACATTCTGCAAAGTCTGTTTCGCTGACTCTCTTACATAATAGCCAGGCTGTTAAGTTGAACTTGTCAATCTTTTAAAAATTAGCCAGTACAGGTTGAATTATTCAATGCTGGGCAGAAGGGCCTAATATTGAGGATGGAAATGATGGCAATTGAAAGAATTATTCTGATGGCATAATGACAATAATGATGAAAATTAAATGGTTTGACTGAAAGCCTGAAATGTATGTTGCTTATCTGACAGCAAAGAACTAATTTTTTTCTTCTCATGAAGTTGTTGGACAGCACAGTCTTTTTTTAGAAAATCTTTCACTAGTGATGGTGTTTTTTTTCTATTCATAATTTTATTACTTTATCAGTGTTAGTTCAGTTTGAAAAATCTGTACATGTAGGACATCATCTCCAAAATTGAAGTATTATCAAGGGTTGGTGAGCTTAATAGAAGACAAGAAATATAATCACCAGTCACTGTTTTAGTTTAAATTTTTCAATTACTCAAAAATGATGGATATGCTTCCTTTATAATATATTGTGACTATTTGAAGTGAATATTGAAAAACTAATGGAACCGGATACAGACTGCCATTGCACTAATGATTTGTCTGCTGACAGTAGTATAAATGTTCTGCCCTCTTGAGATTAAATTTTGCAAATTGGTTTTGATTTTGTGTGTACAACTGATTTGACTGAATGAGCTGTAAATATCCTTGCAACAGTTATTACCTTGGGATCTTCATGATTTCTCCTACAACGTAAATCTGGCATTGAGAACAGATAATAGTAATTCAAAGAGTTTGTTAATTTTAAAACAATGTGGCTTCTTATTTTTGAATCAAGAAATCTTCATTAGACATTATGAAAGCCTATTTATGGGGATATTTCACCATTTGTTCTGTATCGTGAAATTTAAGTAACTCTTATCATTTTCAATTGTTACTCTGGCTTAGTAACCGCAGGCATTAGATACGAATAAAGACAAGATATATTTAAGTTTCTTTTAGTGCCAAAACTACAGAGAGGTACATATATGATATGGCATGTAGATAATGATATTTCTCTTTTAGGTGTACCTCATCCTCTTGAAGATGTACCTCAGTCCCCCTGACCCTGCCATGATGCGTGTCATGAGTCAAGTCAATGTTAACATGGAGCCCAACACACATCAGGCTATGAAACTGCTGGAGGAACATGCTAGTCAGATAGACACAGTCAAGGTAGGCTGGGTTGGTTTAAAACATACAGGTTGGCACAGAGGCAGTCTTTAAATGGAACATTGTGTTAGCTGTGACAGTGTGTTAGAAGTGACAGTGCTAGCTGAGGTATACCTACCATAGTTTGCACTGTGCTAACTGCACCAGTGTTAGTTATGACAGTGTGTCAGTTGTGATAGTGTGTTAGGTGTGACAGTGCTAGCTGAGGTATACCTACCATAGTTTGCACTGTGCTAACTGCACCAGTGTTAGTTATGACAGTGTGTCAGTTGTGATAGTGTGTTAGGTGTGACAGTGCTAGCTGAGGTATACCTACCATAGTTTGCACTGTGCTAACTGCACCAGTGTTAGTTATGACAGTGTGTCAGTTGTGATAGTGTGTTAGGTGTGACAGTGCTAGCTGAGGTATACCTACCATAGTTTGCACTGTGCTAACTGCACCAGTGTTAGTTATGACAGTGTGTCAGTTGTGATAGTGTGTTAGGTGTGACAGTGCTAGCTGAGGTATACCTACCATAGTTTGCACTGTGCTAACTGCACCAGTGTTAGTTATGACAGTGTGTCAGTTGTGATAGTGTGTTAGGTGTGACAGTGCTAGCTGAGGTATACCTACCATAGTTTGCACTGTGTTCACTGCACCAGTGTTAGTTATGACAATGTGTCAGTTGCGATAGTGTGTTTGGTGTGACATTGCTAGCTGTTACAGTGTGTTAAATACAACTGTTCTGGTAGTGTGCTAGATGACAGAGTGTTAGCTATTGTATTATTTAGATGTGGCATTGTTTTCTAAGTATTATATTGAATTTGGAATGCTAGTATATAAATGAATAAGGAAACCTTTTGTGGATATTTTGTGGAAGAGAAAGAAAAATAGGAACAACATATCTTTATGTAGCAGTAGAAAAACCTCCCATTACAATAGGAAAGATCAGTGTCAGAAATTTATGGGAGAAAATAGGATGGCTATTTGTAAGGAAAAGCATATCAATTTAGAGTTAGAGGCAGTTAGAAAGGCAATTTGTCTTTTCAAGGCATACTTTAATCTTTCGTCCATGGCAGCCTTCATTGAAATAATGAATCTGCCAATACTTTAATCATTGGAAGTTATGATAGCTTGGGAAACTTAAGATAGCTACAGTTTATTTTATGGCAAATGCAGGTTAGGTGGGTCATTTACATATATCAGTATCAATATTAGCCATTAAGTAAAAATGTGTAAAAAGCTGCTGCCCTAGCATTATTGGACACTTATATCCAACTGCTGAAGACTGTGATGGGGGGAAAGAGGGGATGCTGAATACTCTCATTTGAAAATTTTATATGCAGTGTGTGTGTGTGTGTGTGTGTGTGTGTTTGTGTACTTATTCACGATATACCAGTTCTGGTGTAGAGGTGAAATTTTACCTTTTTTACATGTAACATGTTCTGTTACACCAACTCCCTAAAATCTATTCCTTAACTTTGGTTTATTGTCAGTTAATGTGATTTACAAATATTGATAAATGGAAAAACTTTGTCAGATACCTTTTAAATCACAGAAGCCTACAGGGTGAAATGTGCACGTTAAGAGCTTTCATGGCAATTGCTCCTCATGGTGCCTGTCAGTTGTCTCTCTATGTGACCTGTTAGCGGATAATGATATTAATTGCCTCAACTAAGTGTTATATTGGTCTCAAAGTCATCTCAAGTTCAGTGTAAATTTTTCAAAGCATCAAACAAATTGGTCCAAAAGTGGCAAGAGTTGGTTGTCACAGGATGTATCCATTTTTCTGCCAACCATCATCAAGACCTTAATAAAGCTGCAAAGTGTTTATGATATTTAAAATGTTTACTAGTTTTATTCACAATACTGATACTATAAATGAATGACATTTTATTTATTTATTTATTTATTTATTTATTTATTTATTTATTTATTTTTGAACTTAAGAAAAAAGCTACCTTTTTTTATTATAGTATATCTTAAAAGATTTGTGTTAAATTCTTTTGATATCACGAACAATAGGATAATTGCACTTGTATTTCGCATACAGCCTTTTGTGTATTTTCATACGCTTCAGGTGCGTTCATTCTATTGTTCAAAGCTCCACAGCCGTGGTATAAGTCAGTTACAACTACTCGTCATCCACTGTATGTGACATATAAGAACAAATTGTATCTTGGCTGCACCGCAATATAATTACGCTCTTATATGACACATACAGTGGACAAATAGTATTGTAACTAGTACTAAAAATAAAACCACTTTCTAATTGCAGGTTCCATTTTCTTGGAACCTTTTTGGAACTTTCTTGTTCTCGAATTATGCATATTACAAACATCATTGAAAGTGTCAATTATCCACATTTTTTTGAAAGAAAGAAAAAGGAAGTCTTAAAATATATGATATAAAGTAAATTATGTTACTATGGTTACTTGCCACCTACGATTGTGAGTGCTTCATTGAAAAGATGTGAGATGCACATCCTATTCAAAACTTTATATCTCTACTTATACAGCTTATTTGGTTGTTTTATAGTCCTTTGAAAAGAGATCTTGCATCGATCTTTTAATAAATTAATAAATTAATACATTTTGATGTGGAAAAAAAGACCCAAGTTCTTTTACCTAGAATTTGCTCTCTCGCACATCATTGCTTTCCTTCTATTTCCAAATATTGGTAACCTAACCATGAATGTTATATCCTCACAGGCCCTGCTCAAGTGGAGATGTGACCCTTTGAAAATAACATACATTGTAGCTAAAAATTGAATTTGGGGGCAGGAATAAAAAAGGAAGCCTGTATGCATTAGATGCTTATTAAATATTTTATTTAGGTGTTTTGAACTGAAGAATGGACTGATTGTTATAGAGTACCAGATAGGTAGATTTCAAAAATATGGTTCATTAGGTAAAAGATTAACATTTATACGAGTTTCAAGATATAATGAAAATCACTCTAAATTAAAAAAGTAATACAAAAAGGCTATTAATCCTTTGAAATACAATTTTGGAAGAAAGTCTTTAGCTGAAGGTAAAAGGGCAAACAGATGAAATACATCAGCCAAATTGTATCCAGTTTATCAGCCAAATTATATCCAATTCTATGAACCTTCACCTAACCACTTTGTTTTTGGTGCATAAAAAAAACTTTTTTCTGCTATTTTAGTGTGTACATCATAAATGATGATAAATTGCTCATTTTTATTATGATGTATGAAATGCACAAGTCTATATCTACACATACATGTGTGACATTTTACATTCAAGACCTCTGTCCTTGTCACACCCCATGCATAGATCTGTCATTTTTTGCACGACTTTTGTTCAGGTCAAGTCCTATTACCCTACTGATACTTGGGCTGACACTCTTACACAAATGTTAAAGTCATTAGTGGATTGCAATTATCACTCGAAGACAGGAAATCGCGGTTAGGACAAGGTGATAATTGATTCCTGTCACATTAGTGTCTATAAAAATATGTAATTGCCTGCATTTACCATAACAGTTTTGGGCATGTTTGAACCAGGTACACACTTTGTGTAAAACTTGCAACTATTTCTGTAGTGTTTACATGTAAAACTTAAGTTTTGCATTATCTACGTTTTTTTCTGTATATTTTTATTATTATCTTTTTTTTATTTAAATAGTTTTATGCCATTTTGGGGCTTATGTGCTTAATGAGCAAGTAAAACTTTAGCTGGGATACAGGCAAAACAGGCAACTCTACTTGCTATTAGATCCCATATCCAATACAGATGTATGTATGTAATAGTTAACCATGTTTAAACAACCTAATAACTCACAAAATATTTACACAAATTCACATAAGTGGGATGGACCAAAAAAGATAATATTAAGGAAAATATTTCAGGATCTGCCCCTACATGATATTGTTCATGTTGCTTTGTGAGGGGGGGGTGTGCCAGACAATTAAGCTGATTAGGTTGACTGCACCCTAGCGAGAATCCCCTCTGAAATAGTTTGATCCTGCTGGACCAATAACTTTAAATGAGAACACAGCTTTGGATTCACAGGATGCTAAGGTCCCCCTGGATTCCTCATGCTAACAGGTTGTGAGACTGCCAGTGATATTGGCAACAAAAGAACATGGAATATGTTGTTCAGAACATAGGTAAAGTTAGCGAGATACTCCCTACTTGCCCAATGCAAAACAAGCAGTCTCTGTATAAACCATGATATGTACATCCTTGTTAATTTACTTAGAGAATTGCTTTACCATAGTCCATTCCTCATTATTATGTGCTACATTTTTATCAATATTTCTAGTATTAAGATCTTCAACATCTTAATGGAGACACAAATTTTGCAGTTATCAGTGCTACATTAAGTGTTATGGAACTTTATTCACTGTCACAGGTTTTTTTTTTTTTTACTCCAACCTTGGGTATTTTTCCAACATTGGGCGGCATTTCCACTCAAGGCAAAGGTGTTGCAATTCAAACTGGAGGTTCAATGCATATGGGCCATTACTGCAAGTCCACAATATAGTCTTGAAGCTTTTGTGATTTGTCAAGCCTTCAAATGTTGCTTTTAACCCAGAAAATGAATGTTTCAGCTATTTTTATGTATTTTGGGAATTGATTATAGATACTAGTATACATGTATGTGTATATTTATGTAGAATTTTTGGACTGGTATGTTAAAGTGTGACTAACCCTGACCAATTTTCAATCCAAATATTTGGTATTGTTGTTCCTTGAATTTAATAAACCAGAGAAGTACGAGATACCAGGTGTCTTTCTTTACAAAATCAATTATACGCATAATTTAATCTAATTGAGATCAATTATATTTTATCTTAGGCACTGGAGTTGCTACCCACCACATCTAAGGTGAAAGAAATTCTTGTATTCCTTGAAAATGTCTTGGAGGATCGAGCAGCAGAGAAGAGAAATGCTCAAGTTCTCAAAGGACTCATATTCCAAGAACATTTAATGGTAAGACAATTACTTCTCAAGATTTCTATGCTGGGTCCTTTTTGAGGAAAGATCGATATGTAATGCAATGTATTATAGGGATTATATAAAATGAGCAATCTTTACATTTATCAGCCTAAGAATATATGTTGCATTTTAAGAACAGACTTTGAGGTTTATGACATTTCTTTATTTGATTATTATAGATCTATATATAGAGCAAGAATAAAGGGAATTTTATGAAATGATTTCTTTAAGGATTTTTTTTTTTTTTTGGTGCATTGTCATTATGTGTATAATATTTGGTGTTTACTTTTATTTTATGTTTTTGATTTTCCAGGTTCAGAGTCAGAGAATGTTTTACCAAAAGAAAAAATGCATTATAACTGAAGAAAAGAACTGCAGAGTTTGCAGGAAAAGAATAGGCAACAGGTGATAAAGATTACATCCTTTATACTTATGTATTATTAGGGCACTAATGTATTATTAGAGCATTTTGACTTTTTGAAAACATGTTAACAACTAACAATGAAGTTGATTGAGGGTTTACATATAACTGTTACAATACATGTAGTCTCTAATAGCTTGCTGTATTTTCAGTCTAGTAATATTGGCTGTGAGCACTGCTGTCGATGCCAGATACATGTAACTGATTTCCTTTTTTATTGCTTTTGGGATGTACATATATTTTATTAGTAAGCAGGGATTTTTTGCCAAGTTGGAAAAAAGACATACCGATTACATCTTTTTGAGTTTCGTATTATTTTGATGAGTGTTTCCCACCTCCTCCAACAAGTTTGAATGTTTGTTACATTCAAACAGATAAAAATTATAATTACTTTTGGTTTGTCCCAAATGAAAGAAAAATTGTTATAGACATTTTGTAGTGTTAAGTGCTCCTATCCTGATATTTTTGTCTGATAGCATTGTCTCAGTTCAACATGCTAGGACCTTAATGTATATGTATACCCAAAGGATATGAAAAAATGTATAGTGGATTTTCTTTTAACCATGCTGCACTTTCATGGTGCCACTTCTCAAACACTTCAGTTTGCTGGTTGACTGGTTTGTTAAGGTGGTTTATTGACTTAACTTGGAAATTTAATATTGCTATTCAGTGTGGTATTTGAAGTTCCTGCGTGAAGATTGATCAACCGAGAATTGAAGCTGTGATAGACAGCTTGGTGTTTTGCAAGGCAATTTTCTTAGAATTTTCAATTCTTTGTTCAAAGATCAGTGCAGATTTGAGGTTCATGTTATTGTTCATGCGATATTATGTTTGATTTGAAGTTTATTGCTTCCTTTGTTTATGCACAGACACAGGACTTTCATGGTTAATGCAATAAACTATGTGCCTTATAATCCTTCAACTAACAGAGTGATAGTCATAGCACTGATCCCCAAAGGGACTGTCACCACATATATGTGGTCATTACTCACATTTCTCACTGACCCAGAACCACATTAATGCATATCTTGGAAATAATTTTTTTTTTTTTTTTTTGATTAATGATTCATGAAAAAATACCATGCTGTGCATGCAGGTATGTTTCACGCCTTTTATTTAGCTATCTTGGAGGATTTTTTAATTTAAGGGGGAGTGAAAAAAACATGATTTTGTAGGCACTTGTTTCAAAAACTAGAGAGAAAATTGTGGCATTTCACCACCTCAGATATTTAGATAAATTTTCAATTACTTAATTAATTGAGCTTAGATAAAGTTTCTAGATCAACACTAAGTGGCCTCAGTGGGGTAAAATGTAGGCCAAGTTTAAATAGCAGCCCCACCTTGAAAATGTTAATGTGCATAACTTAAACACCCCATTCTCATAGATTAGATCGACCTACATTGGATCGACCTAACTCCCTGGGGGTTCACGCTAAACAGCTGTCAGCCGGGCGGACACGAAAGTTAATTACCCCTTAAAGCTTGTAGTAGGCGGGGACGGACACTTAAGGGGGATTATCTGACAGTAATCTAGTGAGACTCCCCGCGGTGATAGATCGATCTAAAAGTTGTGAGAACAGAGCCAAAGATAAACCCCTTTGATATATACATTTTCTGAATGTCCACATTGAAAGTTGCACATATTTAGAAATCAGTAGTGAATTACATGTATGTTGTTAACCATTATGTTCTGTTGCATCTTAATTTGCAGAAAGCATTTTGTAATCTGCCACTGATTACACTATGAAGGGAAAATGAGTTACTTCTTATTTTCAAACTTATAAGAGTGTTTCTTTGGCTAAAATACACAGATGGTTTGAAAACCAGTCTGATCGGATTTTATTTGTTAAAATTATGCAGTGTTTTTTTTCCCCACTTTGGCAATTTTAAGATGTGACTTTAAACTCCCGTTGCCCTGAAGCCTTTTGCCAGTAAAGTTTTCAAAATGATCACAGTAACAGTAGAATATAATTAAAATTGATGGTAATTGTGCTGTGAAGAGATATGTAATATTTGGCTTAACTTGGCAAAGACCCAGTTTTTTGTGCTGCCATTGTTATTTCCTAATTTATGTCTGCACATATGATATCTTTGCTGCCTTGCTTATAATGCTTTGTTTCATTTCAGTGCCTTTGCTCGATACCCCAATGAGGTGGTGGTCCACTACTATTGTTGTAAGGATCCAAATGTTTGCCCTAACATAGACTGATGGGACAACAGACTTCAGCAACATCTTGTAGACTCTGGAAGGCCCTCATTAAGATGAAAAAAAACATGTCATTAAATACTTTTGGCAACCAATTGTTACCAAAAGACTTGAAAAGTCTGCAGCCTACAAGTACATGTACATTTGTATAAACCGATGGACAATGGATGTTATATCTGATGCAGGGATTGGTAAATATTTGTGTTGTTTAAAACACATAATTGTCTGTGCTGCCATAATGGGCGTGTGAGCTCATAGTGCAATATCCAAAAATGTTGGCAAGTAGCAAACATTTTGGTATCAAGATCACAGTATATATTCATACAGGCTGAACTGTCACATAGACCTTTCTCACATTAAGTGGAACAGTTTCTTGTACATGTTTATATACATAAGCTATGGGAGGTTTCTTTTAAAAGCCACACTGTTCTGATCATAATAGTTCTGGTTAGCTAACATAGGGGCTCTGTTTAAGTTCCTTTGCTATGTAATAGCCAGGCTATTATATTGTCAGTCTCTCAAACCGAAATGTACAGGAAAGTATACCATTCAATGTGAAAAGGGCCTTAGGATGACAGTTCAACTTGGAACTCTTTCTTGTGCGTATCTGTTGGATTACAAGTGAACACCATGCTAACAGTCTGTCCTGCCAAAGACAGAAAGGGTTACATGTATCTTCAGTATTCACAATGTAAATTGTTTATCATCTATGACTACAAGTCAGTTAATATCTCCCTAGGGAGCAACAATCTCTTTGTTGTGGTAGCAAGCAGATGCTCCCACAGAATGGACTCTCCATGCTCACATCTGATTATATATAGTCACGGTATGATGACATTTTAAAAGCTGGATTTCAGTAATATATCTGTCCTTTGAATAACACCACAGTGGGTTAAGACCCCATTCCCATACCTAGATTGATCTAGCAGGATCGACCCATCTCTTAGGGGTTTCTTGCTAAATTACATTCGCTCTGTCTGGCATGCCTACTGAAGCTGTTAAGGGGTAATTAACTATCATTTAGCAGCTTCAGTAGGTGTGCCAGACATCTAAGCTGCTTAATCTGAATGCAATTTAGAGAGAATCCCCTCGGAGATGGGTTGATCCTGCTAGATTGATCTAGGAATGGGGTCTGAAAGTCAAAGGCAAATAACTTAAATTGCAGTATTGGTTAGCATACAATAGCCATTTTCATTAGGATTATTCCACCATTCTGTTGGTGACAAAAAGCCTTTTGAGCACTTTTATATATAATTTGTGATTGATTATAAACGTGCAGCAACTGAGTGGTTTTGTTATTGATCTAGGAATTATAATATCTGAATAAGTCATACTGTATTAGAATATCTAAGAAAAAGAAGTTCCATTGATTTTGTGCACATACTTTGAATTATAAGGAATAAAATATAAACTAAGTCTGAAAAACTGAATTTGACTAAACTTGATTTATTTATCAATTTTATGTATCAACAAAGAGTCGGTACACATCTGTATAGCCATCACCTGTGTCTGTTGTCATCGTGCACTTTCAGTGATAGCACAATAAGCGGAAAACAGTTTGACTTCCTGTCTTCAATCTTACAAGAATGAAGAATGTTACTACATGTAAAATGCAAGTGGAGTTTGAAAGATTGATTGGTATTCTTGGCAGTTGTGTATTTTTTGGGGTAGTTTTTCAATTTTGAAGTATTGGCATTTTCAAGGTGTGGTTTTGAACTTCCATGGGCCTGAAACTCAATGCTGGTTATATTTTCTAAATATCCATGTTGCCTGTAGGCTGTAGAACATTATTAAAATTTGGTGGTGTTTATGCTTATACAAATTGTATAATATTGCATCAAAATTAACAAGATAACTATTTTGTGCACATCCAACATTAACACCATAAAAGGAAAATGTGTTGCTTATCATGGATTTGGAACAGTATCCAAGAAAAAATTGATCAGAAACAGTTTGGCAGCATAAAGGGTAGTTGCACTACTTTTGCTTTGATTGAAGCCATTGATATCATTGCCAAGTCAGTATGCTAGAATGCTACTGGTAGACTGTGCTAAAGTGTTTGACACAAAATTGCTCACTAACTACTTACACAAAAACTTCATCCTTTGGGACTCCACAAGGTCATTATTTGGTGGGTCACTGAATTTCTCACAGAGAGAAAGCAATTTGTGAAAATCCAGAATAATTTACTGGAGTACACAAGGTAAAAACTTGGCCCTGTGCTCTTTGTGCAATGATCAATGACCTCAAAACCTCCACAGACACCTTTAAATATGTTGACAACACAACTCTAATTAATTTCGCCACCAATAACTCTAGACCAAATACAAACTGTTGCAACAGAAACCTTCTGTTGGTCACAAAAAAATTAACATGCCCATAAATTCCAAGGCTTTACCAAAAATGAAAGAACATTTGCATTCTCTGAGGCACTCTCAGAACTTATATATCCCAAAGTTTAAAACTGTCAGATCTGCAGACTTTAATCAAATGCCCTCAGAAATTTTAATATACAAACTCTTGACTATTTTAAAGAAACTGATTGATATAATATTTTAATAATTGAATTCTTTTATGTTACTATTTTTAATGAAATGATTGATTTAATATTTTTATATTAATTTAATTCTTTTATGGTATTGAACTACTTAAAAGAAGCCATTTAGATGTAGTATTTTAATCAGGGAATTCTTTTATGTTGTATTGTCATTATGTGTATTAATTGTTTTTAAAATTNAGTTTAGATGTGGCATTGTTTTCTAAGTATTATATTGAATTTGGAATGCCAGTATATAAATGAAAAAGGAAACCTTTTGTGGATATTTTGTGGAAGAGTTATTTTAATTTTTTTGTAAAAGCCAACTTTTAGTTACAAGAACAATCATTATCATTATTCTTTAATTGTTGATAAAAGAAAAACAAGATGTTCAAAATATCAATTTACTTTTTTGTAGATTACATAATGTGGTAATGTAACAAATAACAAGCACTTCATATCCTCAAGGTTTTGAGGTGATCAAACAGCACCAATATCTTCAAAATATAAAAAAATTAAAGATGTAGCATGATTTCTTTACACACATACACAAAACCAATCCATATCTTTATATACATTTTTACCAAAGGATCAATCTTTTAAATGCACACAATTCTCACTGCCGCCCTTTTTTTTTTTTTTTTTTTTTTTTTTTTTTGTATGTGCAGGTGCCCAGGTTGGTACACACATGTAGGTAAATAGGTAAATAAATACACTGTGGGTTGATAGGTGGTGTTATAACTCATCAAGGTAAGCTATAGCAAAACAGGCACAGACATTGTACAAATGCCAATGTATTTTTGCTACAAGGTGTTTTTTTTTTCTTGCCTGCTCACATTCAATCTGTCTGCTTCATATCTTTGGGGGGCAAACTGCATAAATACCAGAAATTATTTACAGCAATTACACATCACAAAACGTCACTACGAGTTTGGAATCATTTGTACTATAATGACTCGTACTCAGCAAGGTTTGTGTGTCCTTTGTTGTGAGCAAAGCAATAAGTTTCTCATTGTCACTTACGGGAATAGTTTTCATTTACATGTAATTTTCTATTAGTGCAAACAAGTCATGCTTCCTTGTTATATATCTAATACAGTGGTACATGAAGTGTATCTCATCTTCTTTCACCTAACAAAAAGAACACAAACGGTTTTCAGGTAGTATTTTCGGGTACACAAAGGCTGTCTTTCAAGATCTGATGGGTATTTGTGGACGGTCGTCAGCAACTCGATCAACCAGTATTCTCACCACACACTGTGTCATGTATTTCTATTCATCTTCACCACTCAAATCTTGCGTGCCATTTTCCTTTATGATTTCTTTGAGTTCGCATTGCTTTCTTTCTTCGACTGGTAATGAACTTCTGCTTTTGTCGCTTCTTCTTTGATCCTCACCTTCTTCAATGCACTTTCTGGTAAGCATTCTTGGCAAGTATTTTACAAAGTGGGTCCTAAAATGGGCGTTACCCCCAACGTAGATGATGGGGTCCCATACACATGAGAGCTTAGCAAGTAGAGCTGGGACGACGCGCGCCAAACTGGGTATGGACGTGACATCACCAAACGCCGCCCACATTGAGAACACCGCATATGGGGTCCAGGAGGCCAAAAAACAACCTGGGAAATATAAGTTTCCACAAGGTATATGACGTGGTCTACTTGATTATTCAGTGTCAGTTATGATTCCGCTTTCACTGAAAGGTCTTTCTTATAACTACCTTAATTTGGTGGCTTCATAGAACAATTATAATGAAAGTTAATGCAAACCAAACTCACCAATCATCAAACATATCACTTTGGCCAGTCTTCTCTCTACACGTTTTCTGCGGCGATATGCGGTACTTTTCTCATTATGTACCTTAGTTCCAATAAACTTAAACTGAAAACACAGAAAAGCTTTTTTTAGTCAAGATACATTCACAAAAAATTCTGAATAGTTAAACATCTGGCTTACATGTTTAAGGGGTATGATACGTTGAAATTTAAGGAAATCAGAATTGATGCTTTCAGGAAAGTTTCCCGACACCGGATTGTAGTACTTATACGTTTAAAAGGTATTGATTGCTGTTCAGGTGAGGAAGATTTATTTTTGATGTCACAGCATTATCTCATAACATGACAATGTTTATTTCGCTTTATGTAGGCGGATATGAAAAAATACTAACGTGCCGAACTTTTCAACTTTTTAACATCGCCATACAAATCTGTTAAAACCTTTACAATGGAAAGGCAAAACTAGAGAGAAAGTTGTCTTATAGCTAACTGAGATAATAGAAAAATACAGAACGTACATATAACGACTGTGGAAGAAAATGATGACCATTCTCCTTCTAATTATATCTTATTATATCAACTAAGTATATCAAATTTTGTAGTGTCACGTAGGTATCGAGGTGTTACTCAACGCGTTTCCATTTTCTTTATTAGACTTTTGCGTGACTAAAGGCCGCATTCTCCTTTTTGTCAGAGTGTTATTACTTTGACTTGGTTGTTTTTGTCTCAATTGTATTACAAAATGATTATAGAATCGTTTGGAATTAGAAATTTGGAATGCTTTTAATAACGTATTGTGAAAAAGACCAGAAATGGGTAATATACTGAAATCCACAAAACTGAACAAAATAAGAGGCTGGATATAAATTGACTACAAGCGTTAAGAAAAGTAAAGGCAGGCACACTCATAATAAGGGAATGGCTTGATCATACATATTTTGGTAATAGGCTGGATGGTTTCTGACAAAATGTAAGTGAATTATAAAATGATAAGCGGGTGGCTTAATAGCCTACGTGTACATGTACACTAATTAATAAGTGACTAGGTTGACCACCAATATTGTAGACTATCAATATTCAAACGAAAAAAAAACTACGTTCTATTATGGTTGCTTTTACAAATGCTGTCCTAGCTGACAATAACTTCTTGACGACGTTCACCAAGTTGATATTTCTAGGTTTCAACTAGAAACTTACTCTACATCAGGACCACAGAGAGAATTTTGTTCACTGGATATTCACAGGTATTTCTCTGGTTATTCACTTAAGCTGTGTACGTTTCTGTTCTGTGGTCAAGGGATTTTGCACCAACATGACATGATCACCCCATTGGCTTCTGTAGTCGAGAGCAGGCCTACTAGAACCCTACCAAGGGTGGATAATTTTTCTGGAATACTATAATGAGCAAAAGTCTCACAACAAAATATCAAAACGGCTTCTGGTATTTGAAACTTCCTTTAGTCAATTTTCTCTCCTCTATTGCTTCGTCTGCATAAAGGATATGTGGATATGTAGATGTCAATATCATTGGACTTGTGAAGTTTCTTTTGTCTGTAGCTACTTATATTTGTCTGATCTTACCATCCAATATTTCATCTGCTTTTAGTCAATATTATTATTATTATTATTATTATTATTATTATTATTATTATCAACAGAAATTTAATAAATAAACCAATATCTGTTTTCTCTGCTGTACCATTGATTGTTTTTTTTTGTTTTTTTTTTGCTATTATTTATACGGCCCACTTGGAGTTATTTTCTTACTTCGATATATCTTATTGAATTGCAAGTGTCTGCCCGATATTCCCATAGAATAAATGTTTGTATCATGAAGTACATCTAACTGCATTCGAAATATAAAATGTGTTAAGTAGGAGTTCTTACATGATTTGAGATTCTTTGTGTTCACGGCCCACACAATATATTCTATGTGATTTACTAGCCACGATTTCACTTTTGCACCCTGGTATTGATTAAAACGAAGTATGGCGAAGCCCTACTTTCTGGTACCTTACTAACTGATGCTATTGCAAACAGATACCAATTTAATCAAAGTCTCCCGTAATACAGAGTGCCTACGGGTGTGACCCATTCCAATCGTTAGATGTAACTTTTGCAACATGTATAACTGGCGTAAACAGTTAGCACTAGTTACAACACGAGTCGTCCACTGTATGCGACATACAGGAAAGTAATTATCGAGGCGTTCATTCTATCTCAAAGCATGGATGTACTTTCATACTCAAAGTAGGAGCTTGGAGACAACTGCCAGAGAGGCTATGTTATTAAAAGGCAATATGTTAAGGGCCATTTCAAGAAGCATATGGAAACACTTAAAGACATGCTCGACAATTGGTTTGAATGTATCGCCTATATTTAGATTAACTTCGAATGAAAAATGCATATTATGTTGGTTCGAGGTTCGGTATACATGTAATCTATAATTAAAAGTCTAGAAGCTAGACGTACATTTGTATGTGAGTCAACAATAGGTCAGTAGACAAAACGACAGTAGACAACATGTCAGTAGACAATAGGTCAGTAAGAATGCCCCAAATAATAGAGGGCCATAGAGTTAAGCTAGATGTAAAAAGTGGCCTGATTTGGATTTGGTCAAAATACCCATTCCACCGTTTCCTTTTTGTAAAATACTTATCTAGTTATTACTGTGAAATAATTAAACGCTTTAAGAGCAAAAATCCTTTTTTTTTTTGTTGTTGTTTTAATTATTCACCACCTTAAGCGTTTCTGCTTTTAAACTCTACCCCCGTTTATTGTCAATTAAACTACTTTGTAAATTGGTGTAAGACAGTGATTGGTTCGCGTCGTAACCCGATAACGCAGTCTGAAAATTGGCATGGCTGGCGACCAGGGTGTGAATTGCGATCGGTGCCAGACTTTTTTTTTTAATCTTACTTGTTTATTAGATGTAAGCCCACAAGATGTTTCACTTGCACCAGATTGTGGTGCTTATGTGTGTGATTAAAAAGGGATTAATGTTTGAAATCGAAAACACAATTTTCACCACACTCGAATTGGAAAATTCACCACGAGATATTTTTGATGTGACAGCATAACTCACAACGTGACACTGTTTATTTCTTTCTTCATTATCAAAGCGGATAAGGTAACAGACCCTACGTATTGATCTTCCTTAAGCTACTCATCTCGGTCGGGAGCACTTATAAGATTAGCCCCGGAATCATGCAAGTGACTAACAACCCGGCAAACACATAACGTTTTATAACGTTGCCATAACGCGGGTTATATAAACGTTATGGTAACGTCATAATATTAACGTTATGTGCTTGCTGGGTTAACCCCATTTTTATATAATCATCTTTTGGTATACATGTATTTACAATTTTCTTTTACAAGATGACATAATTTTATTTTATTTATAATTACACTGCCTTCGTTCATCAAGTATGTGTATGTGGATAAGTTTGTCCATTTGTATATGATAAAAATCCCAGTTGACCGTCTGTCTGTTCTCAAAAGTGCGTATATATACACGGTCCCCTGTTACTCTCTTCCAGAGCCAGAGTGACAGATGCCGTCAATTATGTGCCAAACTAACTGGTGGGCAGTACAGTGCAGAAAAGTGTAGCCTACGTAATAAGTAGGCAGAGAAGTATCTGTGAAAATCTAGTGAAAGAAATCTATTTTCATAACTTTTTTTTTTTTTTTTTTTGGGGGGGGGGGGTACCTGTTAAGAGGTTTGCTGGGTGAGATGTATATGTTTTTGTACATGTAGTCCCTGTTACGCTGGGCTGTGACTGCTCCATTCTCACCCCAAATCGAAGTTTGGACTATGACAATATTTTATAATCAACATCAAATTCATACATCAGTGTTAATGGATTATGTATATTGCAGTCTTTTCGTAAAGCCCGTCGTAACAGGGTTTAAAACAGGGTTTTCCATTTTGACCACAAATCTGATGTCCTGTAATTGTTATCTAAATGTTTCTTCTTGTGGAAAGCAACTGACTGGTCGTCAAACACAGCCTTTCTCTTGTCGAATTGATATGGGGAATATGTACCACTGCATACCAAACTCTACATACTTTTCATTAGGGATCATTAGACTCCTGTGATCTCAGGTTATAATAATCATATTTCTGGACGTAAATGTCTTAAATGTCTTTTTTTAATTATTTCGTTTATGAATTTCCCTGTCCAGCTCTCTTAACGTTGTGTGTGTGTGTGTGTGTATGTATGTGTGTGTGTGTCAATTACCATATTATACAATTGTCTTACCCAATGAAATTAATAATACATGTAATGGGATATTGAACGTTAAAGGCGACAGAAATATACTTTGACGTGATAACTTGTTAGTCGAGTTGCTGAAATGCTAAACCTTTTCCTTCAAAAAAACGATTTTCCTTCAAAAAAGATCAATGTCTTGCTCAAAAGTAGAAACAAAGCTAAGGCTGTTTTTAATATCCATAAGAAAAACATTTCTGTAAATAAAACATTACAGGGAAGAACATTGGGTCATGGACTATTGAGTAGGTGTGAGTAACAACTCGACTATGCACTTAAATGCAATATTGGTCGTCAATAACAGTTAACATCTGGAAGACGCAAAAATGTGCACAAATAGTGTTTCATTGAAGAGCATCGTAATATAAAATTATCTGGGAATCCAGGACGTCAAATATTAAGGGATGTTCTTGAGGACAATAAGGTTTGCACGGTGAAATGAGCGTTCACTAAAGAAATCACCAGTGAGAGACTTAGCTTCACATCTGGAAACATGAACTTGTCTTTTAGCACAGGTATTTGGCTTTTGCTTACAGAATAAATAAAATGAAAATAGGCGGTTATGCCAAACCAAAAAAAAAAAAAAAAAAAACGTAAAATTGAACTTTTTTTTAGGCTCAAGCAGAATGAAAAACATAAACATTGGATTTTGGGGTGCACAGATTAATGACAGCGTATGAAAGCATGATTCAAGACTTAATCGAACACATGAATGAGAAGGAGCGTGGATTTGTAAAATCAATTAACAAATATCAATTTGTCATTATTGTCATGTTTAAAATGTCATATCGAGTCAGAAACCATATGAAACACCATTCGTCTCTATTATTCTACTTCTTGATAACCCATATCCCATTAAACAGTGCAGTATAAAACAATTTCTTACCTTGTGGAAGATGTTACCATAGCAAAAACATATGATAACTATAGGCAAGAAAAACTCAAGAACAAACAATGATATGATGTAGCTTCTTGCGTTTTCATCCTCTGTTTCCCAGTGGATGCTGCAATGGGTGCCATCTGCCTCCGGCTGATAAGAGCTCCATCCCACAAGGGGCATTACAGCCCAAATTCCCGCCGCTAGCCAGCATATGACAATCGTTGTGACTGCTGCTGGTTTCTCAACCAGTACTGAGTGGGGTCGTGTGACCACAACGTACCTATCAGCGGCCACTGCGCTCATTTGGTTTATAGCGGCGAGACCCAAAAAGGTCATGGAAAACGCGTAAAACGTGCACCCTGCATCCCCGTAAAGCCATTCTTCGGCAAAGTTATTTACGGCCACCAAAACTGCTAAAAACGACATCAAAGCATCTCCAACCGACAATGACGCTATGAACATATTGACAGAATTCTGTAACTCCTTGTTCAGAATATATGTAAGAATCACACCGACGTTCATCACCATTCCCAAAAAGGAAAGGTTGAGCATAATTACAGCTATAACAATGTGTTCTGTAGTTGTAAGATGCACCGAATTAGCAAGAGTTCCATTGAAACTATCGCCACTAAGGTTATTCAAAGTCATGTTGGCATTCTACCTGGACTAGACCGTGTGTTCAGATCAATTTGCCACAACGTTTTATACCCCGAGTCTTTCAATTGGTTCAACACGACTAAGTACTGAAAGTAGTGGTTGCACTGAAAAGCAAAGCATGCACCCACGCTTAAGGCTGACGTTTCCCAATATGCACAGCAAACCTTCAACCTGCAGAATAAGACAAAAATACTAGTTGGATATTTTTATTATTGGCTCATAATATGTGATGCAATGTAAACCAATGCCATCTTTTTACATAAATGATAACCTTAATAACCAAATTATCAATAATTTAGTCGCATGCGAGTAAACATAATTGGAGATCGCTATTCTATTGGATATAAACATTGAATTACTCTCTTTTCTTGTGATAAAATGGGTAATGGCTTTCTTCATCTTAATTATTTTACTTTAAAATTTTTATGTCATTATGTTTATTTATTTATTTGTTTGTTAATTGCTTGATGTATTATTACCATCATTATTATTATTCATTCATTCATTCATTCATTCATTCAGTCATTCATGCATTCATTCATTCAATTATTCATTGAGATGGAACAACAGCAATTTGTAACAGTCTGGATTTAACATATCTATCTACATGTACTCCCGTGGTGGATCTATGAAATGCAAACATTATGATTCAGGCAAAGTTACAAGGGCCGGGTGTTTTGGTATACACTGTAACACATAACACTATAATAAATGAATGAATGACCTTCGTTTCATAAGTGTCCACAGTCAATTAAGGCCTGCGACACTAAACTAGACGTTCTTCTGATACAATTTTTATCCTTCCTGTATTAAAAGGTCAGTTTCGAATGTATTTTGATCCGCTTATTGTTTTGGCTTCATACATCCTCACACCCTTCTACACCTATGGTGGAATTCATTTAGCACCTTACGTCAAGGGGATTTCTGGTCATCAATTCGAGGACCGCCATCGATTTCTTTTCCATCGACTTACAGAAAGCAATTATTTTTTGATATTTTCGGAATCCATCAGGAAATTTTCACTTTGATTTTACTTGCTATCAGAATGCATCGTCGTATACTTTCTTTTATGAACAGACACGAGTCTGGACAAAGCTGCGGGGATGTGAGCTTCTCGCACATCTATGGCCTAATTTTTCATTTGTGCCAAGTTTGCACTCATATTAATTTATTAATTTTATTTATGGCAGTTATATGTGTGTGTGTGTGTGTGTGTGTGTGTGTGTGTGTGTCTTAGCCGCTGTGTATCTAGGCACACACATATTTAATTGTTTTGATCAATTTTGGCATTTATTTCTATCGAGCTGCATCAGTGAAAAGTCATTCAGCTTTTTGGCTGTCGTGATATTTACCCGCATTGTTCCCTAGTGCAGTTTTAGCAGCTACACTAGAAGATGACTTAGATTTTGTTTCATTTTTATTTGGACGCCCTCCACCATCCCATATCACCTGCCTTCGTCCTTGGGTTTTTCTCTAGTATTCCTTTTTGCACTATTCTGAGCCTTTATTTTACATTTGAACCTACTTTTTGCTCCAATAGCTTTTGTTGTTACACATATTTTTCGTGATGTCGTCAATTTTCTGAACGTTGGTTGCACTCATTCACCCATACTTGAGTAATTATATATTATGGTAGTTCTTTAGTATGGGGATCTATGATTATCCCCCACATCTGTTTTTCATTTGCGTCAACTTTTTGCTTCAATAGCTGCTGTTGTGTCACATATTTTTCTTGGTTGCACTAATTATCCTACTTCATTAATTTAACATTATGGCAGTTATATAGTATTTGGGATATAAGATTATCCCCCCATTTTTGTAACTTTGTATCTTATCATTTTTTGTCATTAATATATGACAATTTTCAGTCTATGAACTTTATCTTGTTTACCTTTAAACAAAGACAGAGCTTCGTTGTGCTCGTGAATATTTGGCTACATAAATGGTTTTCAAGACAAAAATGCACTTCGAATTCGAAATTCAGCAGAAAAAATGTTGTGTGTGTGTGTGTGTGTGTGTGTGTGTTTTTTCTTCTTTTTTTTCACAAATTATCAGTTTGCAGGTTATACTCCCGCGTGTCTAAAGCCCTGTGCCACAAACATCTGAATGTCTGCAGTAAAAGTGGTGCATATTTGAAAATTGAAAGTGATTATTTTAAGCATTATGTAATATTGTATCAATATTTGCAAGATTTTGTGCATTGTCATCGTAATCACAATTACAGAAATAAATATTATACTTAAAATCACAGGAATGGTCTATAGGACTAAAATATAGCTAGAGCACGAAAACAAGTCTAATTGGATTGTTTTGAAGCAATACATCTTTTTAATGATTTATAAGCTTTACAAATTTGCAATTTGTAGGTGTTACTTTTAATTATCTATTTAGTGCACTTCCATCGATGAATTGACTGTTCATCATTATAAGACTGTTTTAATGTTACTGCTTTTATCAGTTATGGCTCTAATATACCCATTCATTTGAAAGCTTTTAATGCCTTGTTTTCCTTAGGTAATCCATGCCTGTTCGACTACGATGACCTTTGGAACCACCGTATATGGGTTTAGGTGCTGATGTTGTTTTCCAGGAGCTTTGTTGTTTTCCAGGATTCTGACTAGTAGGGCCTATAAATATTCTTTTGATAGGGGAGATGTAGATTTAGAGATTAGGTGTAAATGAAAGTTGCTTTGATCTCAGGACGCGTCTTGGGTGCCAAGAGGTGTTTCTTACAGCGGCAATAACCTCTCCTCTGCTTTTTTTCATTTCACTATACTTTTACGATGTAACGCACGTGTTTAGGTCAGTTTGGAAGGTTATACTTTCTTCGGTTGTGATGTTTACACTCATTTGTGTTATTTTTTATTTTCCCCTACAACCCTAGTGCAAGAGGTGGAGGATAAATATCAACTTCCTGCTTCAGATTTGCTATAAATCTAACACTCGCCAACCTTCTTAACCAAACAGCACTTGGTCATATGGAAATGTAAAAAAATACATTTTCATCAAAATTCTTAATTTTTCCTTAAATATACAGTTTTCACCATGTGATTAGAGAGAATTTCTTGTCGCCTGACATTCGTGTAAAACTGTAAGTTTTGGCGATTTCATAAATCACTTTTGAATCTGCTGGCTGGGAGTAAACTCCTTTAAATTGTAGGATGTTCTCGGTACTGCGATTCTAGTGCCAAATCAATATGTGCCCTAGAGAAGGATTATTTAACGTAAATTAAAGACAGTCACAGCAAAAACGTTGTTTAGGACTACCTTACCGGATCAGTAAACACACATGAACATACGCATAGGTGTTTTACCTAAACTTGAAATTGGTCTAGAGCCAAAGGAAAACCACGCAATGCAGCAGTCTCTGGTTTTTTGGGTGTGAAATACCGTTTCTCTCCTGTCGCATTCAGCTCTTTCAGTACACTGCTTGTGATGTCTACTTTCAAAACCAAGTTCAAGGTCTACATTCCCTTTTTTACCGTTTATATGAGTGAAGTAAGCCAACTGTTAATAATCTCTTATTTATATATATAATAACCTCTGGCTCACTGTGTGACTATTATCCTTTTGCTATATTTAATTATAATCTGCCACTCTCTGTATTGGTAAGCGGTTTATTTTGATACCACATTGTTATCTTCTTGCTGTCTGTCTGTAAACATTAAACTGAAAGACATGCTAAGAATCAGGGTGCATTATGAGTGTTACTATATTAATAAAACAATGTATATGAATTCAGTTCAAGTAGTGTGTTCTCGAATAATGGTTTTGTAATCGTTTTCTGTTCGTGCGTCTTCCATGTCTTTCGAGCCTTCGACTGTACTCTTTTTCTATTTCAGAAATTGATGCAAGCATTTTTGTTTTGAGATTTACATATGGTACATAGGGGAGACCGGGGCTAGAAGAATTGATCAAATCATTTTGTAAAGTGACCGTATCCAATAGTGCTATGAAAGCGTCGGCAGTGAGTCCAAATGAAATAATTTAGCATCTTGAAGTAACTTTATTACAGAGACTTGATGGGGGCCAACTTACCCCGGGGTCCAACTAGCCCCTCTCCCTAATGGCAGTGTTTTATACATGCACGTGGAGCCATTCGTGCCTTTTTCAATGTTTTGAATGTTTTGAGAATTATGAAACATTTTACGTCATCTTTTAATGTCACACGAAATAGGCTTATTTTCTTTCATTGCTCTTCTTTGCCTTTTAAAGCTATTTAATTGTTGTTTTCCAGTAAGATAAGAATATCATAATTCGAATTCCGCTTCGTTTGATAATTTTGATAGACAAATTGCAGCTGGTCTGAAGGGTTTGGAAAGAAATACTAAAGGAAAATGCATCATTTGATTTTATTTCTAATATTAATTTGTTCAAATATCTTTACCCCTAAATTTGATTTTATTGCAGATAATCCATAACATGTATATATTTTAGCCCAGATGAACAGGTTTCTCTGTGAACTCAGTACTTAATTACTTCACTTTGTAAGACTTGATAACTTCGATTATTGCGCATATGTGATTTTAAAGATATGTATCCCAGTCGTTGCATTACTTACGGTACATGAAGTTAAATATACTTCTTATTTATTCAGCTTTTGTCTCCTTGCCTGTATGTGCGGTTAGTATTTGTATATTCGCTTGTGTGAGAAATATTTCTGTCAGTGGTATGTTAGTACATGAAATCCCTTTTTAGGTGTTTTAAATCGCAAAACAGGTTTCTATTCTTTATTTTATAATAAGTGCCCAAGTTACAAAATTGTAAATCCAGCAGCGTGATAATCTGCGTGATAATCGGTATTGCAATTCCAAGTTGTTGCAGTGACTACAACAAACAGTATCCAGTAAGCAGTAATAAACAGTTATGACGGAAAGAGCCCTAAAATGTATTATATAACCTCAGTTGTTTAGTTCTAGAAATTTCTAGCATATAGAAGCTTCTAGAAGTTATTACAGTGCCATAGTCTACCAAATTCTACATTGTTGTTCCGAATTCTAGAATGTTCATAAATGTTCTTTTGAATATAAACCCCACTTAGATCCTGCGTGAATTTTGTGACGTTGCACTTAAGAAAATGGGATAAACACATGCTATACATCTAAGGCCAACTTTCCTTTTATGTGTGTACTAAACTGTTGAAAATAATTATTATATATACATAAACCCGTTTGCGGTATCTTTGTAATAGAGTGACCAATCTTTACAGGTCAAGAGTGAAAGTCGTCAGTCTTTTCCTCCATTACGGGTGTATGGATCATATTTCTGTGAACGGTTTTAATAGTATATATCTTTTTGATTGTTGGCAAAGTTATGAAATTTCCATTTTTTAAAATATGAAAGTCTAGTGCGTATTATTTCCACCTACGTAACTTTCCAATATACCATCTAACTTACTCGGGTAATATTTCTTACACTTTGTTCTTTTGTCTGCTTGATTAAGCAACACAACTGATAAATCAATAAATCTCAGGATAAAGATGAAGCATGCCTGCTTAAGGAGATAATCCTTAAAACACGATGTCGAGTAGAATCACAGCAAAGTAATACAAATGCACTTCGCACAAAACCCGTGCGTCAAGATATAATCATAGCTCCAATATAAGATATTTAGAGCAATATGGCGGTGTAGGCTACATCCTTATTTTTCAGTTTCTATGACATTTTTACCTACATTGTCATATATTTGTAAAACGGGTGTGTACAAACCAGTATTCATCTTTAATCAAGTCAATTATTTTACATTGTGAGTATATATTATGTAGATTTTTTCCAACATGCGTAACAGGGCAAGTTTACAGTACTGACAATTAGTGCTGAAAGCATCTTTATTGCTGTGCTATTGTCTCGATACATTTTTCTTCATAGACTCAGATGGAACGCTTGATCTCATTACAACAGTATGTCATGTAGCATAAAAATTTATCATATCCGTATGGTCGTGTGATATGTTATGGTACCTGAAATGTTATACTTGGTATGAGCTTTGACATATGAAATTAACAACAAAACAAATTTAATATTCCCGTTGTTTGGACCTGCAGTACAACATTGTCAACGATGCATTGTATTCTAGTCTTGCAGTCACCCTACAGTGTTTGAACAAAAATGTCTGTTCAAGATTACCTAGAATAACATAGAGTCTGTTTAGGCCTAATCATATTGATTGGTTCTTCCTCAAACCGTGTAAATTGTTGTGCGATGGTTATCACATACTGTGTATTGCCGGCACCTCAGGTTGTCACAAGTTAACAGGTTGCGACAGAACAATTCTGTATGCTCTGGCAGTGGCACTGATCTGGGAGCACATGGTCAAGGTTTAAGGTGAGTAAATCTTCATGACAGGTAAATGCAATACTGTACTTCAGCCTTTTTGTGAAAGTAGATCGTAATCCATATATTTGATTTATCGTGTTATAATGGACAAGTGGACAAGGAGCGATAAAGATCTCTTTCTGGAGATGCGTACATGTTTAGAACGACAGGAAGGTGTCCATTGTTCTGTACACTGAGTCTTCACGGTATAGACGTGGCTGTATAGAAAAGACAAACGGGTACACCTGTTCATAGACAAATAGTATGATAAAAAAACGCGTTTGGTTCACAAATGCTAGTGATAAAACATGTTTTGAACATATTGTGAATACATTCTAAAATATGAAGAAATGAATGAATATAAGAAGGAAATATCGATGCCAATGCATGTCTTTACGATTAGTTTTTCGTTATATTACGTCTTCGGGCAGAAACTGAGGTGCAGAGAAACAATATTCATAGCGATATACACATCCTGATTCTTCGTTTCGTTTAACAATTTCATTTTCTATTTAGGCCTATTCATCTACATTTGTGTTAATTCATTTGTAGATTTTGGAAGGACTTCTAATGTGACTTATTTTAGCGATAATAGTGTGATTAAAAGAACACTTATTTCATGTTGTTGTACATGCCCATGATGGCAGTTGCATACTACATATGTAAGGAATTTGTTGTGATAAACGAGTGTTACAATGCTTTTTCCTATCATGCAATATACGTGTACGTAATAGTATTCTTTAGCCACACGTTGAAGTACTATAGTAAGGGCAAAAGGTATTGTACTATGGTCATATAGCTGAATCAGAATATACATATTTTTGTGCAAAATATTTTTTGCCATTCTTGTTAGCAAACCTTAAATTACCAGTAAGTAGGTTTTGTGTTTCTTGTTGAATGATAGTGCCTGTTACAATAAATGAAATTATTGTTATCAATTATACTTTTGGGACTATAAAACAATCAAAATATAAAATATCTTTATCTTAACTAACTAACCACCGAGAATTGTTTAATACTACTTGTTTTAATTACTTCTATATGCCAGGTATGGGTGCCTCTGCCAGTTCAGCTAGAAGTATTATTGTGGAAGACATGCTTACAGGAGAGACACAAATATATGACCAATTTCACGCTAGAAACACGGCGGCAGAAGGTTGGTATTGATACCCCCAAGAAATGAAAACTTATGTCTCTGGTGACAAAACCATTTGGCTTTGGGGAGAGTTCTTGCTGTCACAATGGTTTACTTATGTGTAAGAATTCTGCTGAGGATAAAATACGGTACTCATTCTTCTAAACCGTTGTTATTTTATTCTTACTACATTTGTTTTTTAGCACAAAGGTGTGCTGGGAGATGTCAACTCATACGATCTGCTGGAAGAGTGGCCCCAATTATTATCAGAAACTGCCAAGAAGAGTTTCAGCACTTCCTCACCTTCAAAGAGCCAATCGTATATGGTCGTATAGCAAACTCGCTGCCAGAACACCCCCTAGTTCGGGTATGAAAGAATCGACAGAGCATATCATAAGAAAAAATGAAAATCTACATTTGTCAGTATTTGAGCCTCGTCCCTTTTTGTGTAATAAAATCTGGGATATCGATTCGTTTTCGTCTCTAGTTCTACAAAAAGTTGATTTCATCTTAATTCTACTGTGTCAGTGAAACCAAAAGTTTGAAATAATGATTATTTTCAGTTAATTTCTATAGTACCCTTCATTACTGACAATGTAAACCATTAATAACAAAACTCCCGATTCCCTTGAATCCGGTCTTTGCTTTTATATTTTAGAATAAATATATTTTGGTGAAAGATGTTTCTGACCATTTTGACAAGTTGAACTCAATGGCAACATATGACACTCCGAATGTGCGCAGCAACGCGGCTGGTTACAGTGTATATGCCATGGGCCAGCCCTCCCTGCAGGGGATTAACAATATCCTGTGCAAATTAACACAGGATAATATGGAGGTAATGAAGTGTGTGTATATATATATATATATATATATTTCACATTTTGAAAAAAATCTACTATATCATATTATTCATTACCGTTTCAGATGTGTTAAGAAACATACAAGAAGGTTCATAATGTGACTTTTTCAACTTTTATATAAAGCTTTTGGTTCTTCGTCGTCTGGATATTTCCCAGTAACATTTGTCGTTAGTTTCCTGTTAATGAAGCTTAATCCAACAACGACATGCAATAAGATATACAATATGTTGGTGTTAACTTAATTCTGGTATTGCATAAGGGGCTCTGAAACCAATATGTAACAATGATTATGGTTTTGTGTAATGGAAAACTAGCGTCGATGTTAATCGTCTTAGTTCCAGGGAAAAGGTGGGAGCACCTGCCAATTTACAACATTACTGTCACCTGGCACAAATGACTTAACTCATTTGACAGACTACGGAGATAAAATGCTATAAATATTGTTTTCTTCGGGTTACATAATAGACTCGTATTGGGGTAGAAATGCCATTTTTGGTCACCACAGCACCTACCTGTATAAATTCAATCTTAATTTATTGTGTTTGTGACAGTTATTGAAAGGGGATTCTAAGGAATGTCTCGAGATTTTTTAAAGTTGCATTTCATATTTCATCAACAAAAATAGGAAATTAGCCCTCTCTTTGATGATTTTTTTCTGTCTTCTCGGTCATGTATCTGGATCGCAAGGCTTAATCAAAAGTCGTAGACGTTGTTTTGTTTGATATAACGAGATGGCACAAATTTTGTTATTTTAATAATTTTAACATCTACAAATGTACAAATAAATATGGTCCAATTAAAAAAAGAACCTAAACGACGTTTTCTAAAAGCAATTTGTCTAACCATGGTAGTGACATTAATTACTCGGAGCAATATGAAAATGGTAAAGGTAACATTTTCCTTTAAATCTGCACGAATCGTGCACCTCACTATTACATAAAAACCGCTTAGTGTAAAAAGAATAGAGAACCATATGTTTTCTTTTGAAATTTAACTTGATACATCTAATTGTACTTTTATGATAAAAATGTAATTTCTATCGAGAGTAACTTGTAGTAATTTTATTTATCCATTCCCAGGTCCTTTTCTTTTGTTTGCGGGAAGACCCAGTCTTTTTTGTGCAAGATAATGTTAAAAAGAACAGTATACCGTTTTCGCTTCGACATATTGACAATCCACACGAGGACATTGAGCATGAATGTCACACTCCTGAGACAATGGCGGACTTAGAAGCAGATATAAGAAAAGAGGTTGATTATCAGGAAAAGTTGTACTGCTGTTCATGTTTGATAAACGATTTTTAGAACATATTTGTTTTAGGTATACATTGAAATTACACAATTTGTATTTTAAACATAATAACATTTTTCCTAACCGTTAATTTTTAAAGTATATTTATTATTATTATTATAACCGAGATGTAAATTTATCATATTTTCCTCTTTCAGATCATAGAATTGGGAAGTTTGAGAGACGATGGATGCTTCTTTTTCTACACTGATTTGAAGAACTTAACGTGTAAACCCCAGATGCTCTGCGTGTCCCACGAGGACTTCATTACATCCAGCGAGGAGGTCTACTCAAGACTTACCTTTTACAACCCGCTGATCAGGTGTGTCTGTTCGTGCATGTTTGAGTGTTTGTAGACCCACTGGTATGTGCGCATGAATGCAAGGCCTTGTTTTAACGGGTGCGAGTGCAGCCCATATGAAAGTAGTGTCGTGGGTGTGTTTGTTTCTGTTGGCGTGCCTGTTTACCTAGTGTGCGCGCGCGCGCGCGCAGCGTGTGTATGCTTCCGTACGTGTAAGAATTGATGCGTGATATATGGCTTTTGTGTTTTGTTTGCTTGAATATTGTTTTCTGTTTAACTTGAGCCATTATGGACGCAACGTTTGTCATCATTGCACTCAAATGTTGGATAATAACAGTATGAGAAGACCTATATACTTTGTAATAAGCAGTGGGCTTAACACGATTACTAAATGTGCACATTCAAATCAGATGACCCGTGGACTAACTGATCTGTCGATTAAATATGACCGAGCCCAATTAAAAGCAAGTGATTAAACCCCCTGATGGACTCCCCGCCGCCAAACGCGCCACTAAACGGGTTAAATCTCCGAGGTTTAATTGCAAGACCCCTGCAGCGTCGGCGCGAATGGAGGCGGGGAGGCCATCAGGAGATAAGCCGGCGCTGCTTTTAAGTGGGTCGGCTATATTTAGTCCGCGGATCTGTTAGTCCGTGGATCAAGTTGTTCTGAATGCGCTGTTGGCATATGGCCTGCATAATCTGTGGGATAAATAGCTTTATTTTAATATACTGAAAATATATGTGATTTTCCTCTTTTTAAGACATTATTGTCTGTATGGTACAGAAGCAAACAGTATTTTGTAATACAAAGGAATACATCAGTTAGTTGATAGCAGATATTTGTTTTTTAGATATGGACGACTTTGTTTTCCCCCCGAGGGTGCCCCGTCTGAAGCGGATTTTGACTCAATACTCAAACTGTATAAGGTAAGACCTGTGATATGGTAGTTATTTCCTTTTTGCTGTCTTTAAAGAACGCAGGATAATGGGTTGACCAGCGATTGTATTTTGTGTACACGTTCAGGGATGCTACTTAATTATTTTGCAATAACGCTCGAACTTAGCAAACAGCACACACAAAACATCAGGACATCTTACTGGTGACACTCATCATGACAGCATATAAGATTACTTGATTTATGGAAAATACAAATCTCTGCTTAGTCCTAATAAAATTAGGTTGTGACAGTCACCGCGCTATGTAACTGGTGTAAGGCGAATACACGCATTTTACACAAGAACGTTTTATGTATATGAAGCGGTTTACAAGGAATATCTGGACTATCCACTTCGATTAGTGTGTGTGTGTGTGTGTGTGTGTGTGTGTAACACTTTGAATATAATCCAACCCATTCTTGTATGGTGCCACTAAGGACGCGATACATGGACAAGGGGCCAAGCGTCCAAGGGCGTTGGTGTTTGCGGATCACACGGGAGTTTCGCGGTCGACATTGGGATCCGTGATAGGCTGCCTTCTTCTGGCGCATGAACATGGCTTTCGGACAATATTGTGAGTTTTATTTATTCATTTATTTATTTATTTATTTTGAGTGTTTCATCTCCCCATACAGTTGTTGGAGTTTTAAAGGTTTTAAAGAATTTGTAGTAGTTTCACAAGTTTCAAAGAATAATAGAAAAGAAAAGAAGGATTTCAGTGACAGTTCCGGGAGTAAGAGCACTTCGTTCGATAATCGTCATTCTCTGCTTTTAAAAATACCCTGTTTTAAAAATACTAATCAATGAGAATAAGAAAGTACTTCCTTTCCAACTCCAACTTCTTTTGGAACCGTTAACGTTTTTTCAGAGTTTCGCATTCGGTGCCCGAGCCCTCCAAACGCTCGCGTTGGCATTATGCGGTCATTGAGGAGTTGGTGCATTACTTTCCAAATGGAAGAAACTATAAAATAGAGGCGAGTATAATCATTCTTTTATTTTACAGGTGTATTCCTGTTTTGGGTCGTTCTGTGGAACTCTAAATGATGAATAATCGACTTTAAGAGACTTTTTTGCACAAAAATTAATCTTAGCTCTCCAAAACCATAAAAAACCGGGTATAGGCCCTAACTTTGTACTTTTTACTGATACTATGCTGTCAACTATCGCTCCATTTTAGCAGGTTACAGTTTTAGTTGAAAAAAAATCATTAACAATATGGTGTTTATTCACCTGTCCCCAAACATTTTATATTTGCAACACTTACGTATTTTAATTGAAAGCTTTGATTGTGAACACGACCTAAAAATCCTCTAAATCCCTTGGCCTGTGAAGATACGTCACCCAGTCGTATTTTACACAGGTAAAAGCTTTTTTAAAGCTATTACTGGACTTATTAATTTAGTCTAACTAATGACGTTCCGCCTCCCACTCGGAAACTTCATCCGAGCTACTGAGAATAAACAGGTGGGATGGAGGTTCCACCTGTAAAATATGGGTCAGGGTGGTCACACATTTGCCGCGAAGATAACATAACAAGACTAGCAGTTGTTCCACCAATATTATCAGTAGACCGGGATACTCAGCGTCGTCAATTCGACTTTAAGTCCCGAAATAGCTTTTAAAAGCTTTACTTGCGTGTACCGATGTGTATCATAAGGTGTTTTTTTCTGAGTAGGTCGATACCATGATCAACATGTGTGGGAGACTGCATCACCTTATCGACAAGCTGAACGACGCCAGAGAAACTCTAGAAAATGTAACCGAAGATTACACGGTCGATGTAAGATATCTGTGAGGAATTCAGTCACACACACACACACACACACACACGCACGCATGCACATGCATTTTCCTACGAGTGTTTTTCTTATTCATGATATAAAAAAGTAAAATAAACTGACAAATCTGTTAATAAGCTTAGAATTTTACGGATATAATGGATATAATTCAACATTTATTGTTTGTGGCGTTTTACGCCAACTTTTCACCGACTTTCATTGACTCACAGAAACTAAATTCCTCGTATGTTTCATTTTTTGCTTTCTATCAGGGTGAAAGCGCAAGACTGCGATTCCACAATCGCTGTAAGAGATATCTGGAGCGGTACTTCTACCTGATATGCTTCAACGCATATCTTCATGACCAGGTAAAAAAAAAAAAAAAAACGCCGGAGGGCGATAGACTAGAATGAATGATTACATCTGTTCACTGTTAAAGTAAACTGGATCTGAGTAATAAAGATAAAAAAAGAAACAAAAAAGTGACGATGAACGGAAAAGAGCTAATGGTTGGATTGGAATACCAGACACTATCGCACATGGTGCACAATCATAATTATTATTATGCCATAATCTTACAAAGAAAAATGTCTCTGAAAAATATGCTTTTAAATATCGAACATTATTTACCTCCTTTACGTTTGGCTTTTTCCTTTTATTCAAAATTTGAAAATTGCTTTCTTATCATATATATATAATTTGTAAAGTATTCTTTATGTAATCAATGGACATACCTTGATGATATATGTATAGTTAAAACTGGTTATGGTTGTGCTAAGCTGTTCTTGAAAATGTTATTTAGTATTCTTTACTTGCACTGCGTCTTCGTCCACGTTTTCATTTTGACATATTTTTCCAGGGACTATATGACATTTTATCTTCAAAGGTCTTTAATGGTCATACCACACTCAAATCTATGTCTTATGGTTTTGTTTTAGTATGGTTTCAGGTTCCACACCAGTTTCAGCCAATGGATGCGTGACAACCCCATGTTATACAGGCTTCTTGGACAACTAGATATATCTGAGAGAACGACAAAGCCCAGTTTGCTCTTAGATAATACGCGCTACTTGGTTAGTGTTTAGGCTTGTCTAGTAATTGTCACTGGGAATTGATTTCTTCTTACGGTTAAGGTGCACTGGGAATTGCGAGATAATGACTCATATTGTATATGTAGAGCATTGGTCGTGTGAGATAATGATTCATGTTGTCGATGGTCTACTTAGACGATACAAGAGAGAGTGAGATTAATATCAATGTGAAGAATTTACACAAAACCGTGAGCATTTATACTGTATATATATGGAATGAGGAATACACATTCAAGGTACTTTGATATGAACGTTCTCGATTCTTTTCAAGTCTCATAGCCGCTGTCACAGCAAAACTAAAGCAGCAATTCTTACAAAATGATACATTTACTTACCAGATACAAATTCCTAATGACCATTTCATTTAGAAAAGGGATATATGTCCAAGCTTCTTCCGCTAATCCTTCCAAGCAAAATTATGATTCATGTCAGTGCAGCTCAACAGATTTGCGCTATAATTTATATTTGTAAGTGCAATATCTGTAAGTGCCAATTTATTGGGTTCTGTTTCACTTTATGCAGTGTGACATACTGGTACATATCGGTCACGTAATATTACCATGTTTCACATACAAATCAGTCGCGTGAAATCACTTACACGGCAGTAAGGCAATATCACTAACAAGTCAGCCACGTAATAACATATACAAACATGCAACACCGCGTACCATGCATGTGTATAAATAAATGTGAGTAATCTTCGTGTGCCTACAGGTAGCAGATGACCACGTGGGGTTAGACGTCCTGAGCACTAAACTGGACGTATCTGTGTCAAACTTCAGAGATATCAAGAAGATTCCTGTTTACGGCATGGCTCAACCAAATAAAGAGGTAAAAGCATATCTTTGAGAAAGAGCATTTAAAAACGACAGCTTGACCTGCAACCCATCAATCTTGTATCAAGAAATTAGAGTTGGGTAAGAAAGGAAATTTTGAAACAAAACGACAAAACAAAGAATAATAATGATAATAATAATAATAATAGTAGTAGTAGTAGTAGTAGTAGTAGAAGTTGTTGTAGGAGTAATAGTAGTCAATATACCATCTCTGAGACTTTTAATCCAGGGCCTCAAATTGGTAATACAACGGTTGACAAGCAGTCCAAAAAAGCACCCTGTAGTTCTGGTAGTAAACGTGCGCGACGATCTGGCGATCCAGTGCGGGGAAAATACGTACTGCTGGAGAGAGGAAGCATTTCTGGATGTGCCGATCTCCATGGATGGTGTATCTGACACGGAGATAGAGGTTATTTACTTTTTCATAGCAAACGGCCAGTCTAGATGGCAGTTGGTAAAAAAGTAAACCGTTTCTAAAAAGACTAAACTTGTTTTACCTATGAATCCTGACGTTTTGACCATCCAGCAAATTTCACCCTATAATGACAGTTGTTCTCATCTTCTTCCAATTTCAAGTATTATTCATATATATATATATATATATAACCGTGCTAGGTTCGAGGTGTTGGTGGTAAACGTACCTTATCACACTGGGAAGTTTTACTTTATTACAGCTATCATGAGTAAATCGAAAGTTTCACCTCCTTTTAAAAAATGTTCAATGTCAAATACCAGTAGCTGCATACTTTTTTTTTTTTTTTTTTTTGTTCATCAACTTTGAAAATACGTGTTGCGTAACTCATTTAAGTATTTGTAATAATTCGTTTGTATGTTGTGAGACTGTGTATAGTCTAGTGAATGTCTGATAAGCATTGTGTGGAATTTTCTTAAAATGAAAATGTACTTCAATTGTGTTTGACCAGGAGAAAGAGAGAGCGCTGAAGAAAGAAATTGTAGAGAACAACGGTTTACAGGCGAGTACCATTCATTACAAGATACAAAATGCGGTTACAAGAAGAAACCATAAGCTTAATTTGGTTTCTTTTCTTATTTAATATTTTAATCCCACCACACGTAACGTTATGTATAATACCTTAAACAATAGAAAGCATTATATAGCAATTTCACCTGGGATATGCTACACTTCCTTTAGGTATATGAAGATATTACCCAACCACGGAGGTTACTCCAGTTTGACACTGTGCTTACGCCACGAGAAATGGCCGAAGATATCATGCGTAAGGCGTCTGAAAAGGTCCTCTATCATCGTGTACCCCTCCCTGGCGACAGGGGGTTATCGGAAAAGGTACCCTACTGACTGGTTGTAGCATTCGCAATTTGATTTGTTGGCTTTGCTAAAAAGCAACGAATGGCATCAGTTGAATGGTTTACTTGCCCGGAATTCATACGCACGTGTATGCTGAAAATGTTGATAGAACCAAAAGTTTTCCCTGGAACAGAAAATTTAAAACCATTAATTGTTATAAGTAAAATATGTGTTAAAATAAGGCACTCTCCTCGGGACTTGGATAAGAACAACGGCCATCCGTTGTGCTTTGAAGATTTCCTAAAAAAGAAGACATTTTGCAGTTTGCTTTTTGAATTTCATTTCATTTTTTAATTGACCTACTGCGATTACATTACTTTAAAACTATATTCCAACCGCATTTGCTATGCGACTTTGTCGCGAAGAACCACACGTGATCATTACAGTAAAATAAAATGATTTAATTCCAGGAATTTGACATTCTGCTTTCCATGATATATCAAGTGGAGGAATTTTGTCCAAACGGAGAAGAACCCGCTATCTTGTTTTATTGTAGAACTGGAAAAGCGAGAACGACTACTGCCATGGTGGTCGCAAGTTTAATACATGGACATTTAAAGGTACGGGCTCCACGACTATGACGTTGGTTGGAAAAAAATTACAATAAATACAGAAACCCCTACCTTAAAAGGATAATAACTCTTCGTTTCGGCCAAAAAATGAATTTTCCTGGAGTAAACAACAATTTTCCCATACTTACCAATGGTTAATGAATCCATTTTTACATTCAAATTTAGTCCCTGGTTTTTTTCTAAAAAGTTTAGTTTTTGGTTAAAATCTCTTAAGAGATTTTAACAGAGTATAGCCATCAATGGAGGTAACATGGTCTAAAGACAAGCTCAGATATCAGAATAATAGCTTTAACTCCCGTTTTTGTGGTAAAACAGAATATATTATATTTCTATGAGTTATTCACAATGTTTTTATTGTGAAATATAGATCTCATACAAAGAGTTATTATCCCTTTAAGTTTAAGATATTATATAAACCGTTATATTCTATAGTACTTTGAAAATTCAAAAGAGAACTGTTATAAATGGGTTCTTAGGTTTTGATGAAAAAAATCTACAAGCTTGAATTGCATGTTACATAAATTAATTTAGTGTCTTACTTTAGGGATTTCCAACTGGGACCAACCCAGGTGAACAAGAACGTGTATCTGTGCCTAATGCTGCTTTTACGATGGGGAATTTTAAGGTAAGATCCACTGATGAGGATCAGGATTTCGTGCAGCCATAACTCATACGTATCCGCCCAGCCAGTTTGGTACCGAATTTTTCAAAATTTTGAGCTTTGTATAAACCAGTTTCGAGTAGGCATTATGATAGTTTAAAAAGTGACAGTTACAACACTGTCCAAGTTTAGTTATCATAACTACCTTAAATGCGTATAGACCAATCCAAATTGTACTTACCCTGGTACAATTTTATGTACAGATTGTCTCAAAATAGGCATGTATTCTATCGATAATCTTTTTCAGATCGTCTCAAAATTGATACGTATTTTACCGAACGGTCCACAGATCAAAAGAGAAGTGGATTTCGTGTTAGACCAGTGCTCTGAGACGATGACTCCGATGTACTACCACTTAAGGGAATTGATTTTTTCGACTTATAATAAGGTTATATTAGCTGTTAAATATTAATTTCGACTCCCTCTTATATTTTGCTTTATTTTTAATTTTGAAGGTTCATCATTATCACCGTGTTGATGTTTTTTAGAAATAGAAATAGATAAATTGAGTTAAAACGCATCTTATAAAGATCAACAAAAGACCTCGTTTCCATCGATCTAGCGGGATCGGTCCATCTTCGAGGGGATTCTCTGCCACACATTCAAGCCGCTTAAGCCGAGTGCAATTAAGCGAGAATTCCCTCGGAGCTGGACCAATCCCACTAGATCGATCTAGGTATAGGAATGGGATCTTAAAAATTGCGTTTTTAGCTCAATTGCTTCATTGGTAATAATCACAATGATCACAAGAAGTCTAGTACAAAGAGGCTTTTCTAGCCTTTCTTATAAAACGGAAATAAGCATCTGTGTATGTATAAAGTAATACGAAAATCTGTTTATGAATGCGTTAAAAAAATCTATGTTTATAATACAATGAAATTTGGGTTCATTTCAGTATATACAGTGTATTAAAAGAATCAGATTTGCCAAAATAGTAATAATAATAATAACAATGACTTAGCAGTAGGCCTAATATGTTGTATTAGAATTTCAATTTCCAAGAATATCCACTTCAACTTCTAGACGCGTGCTGCAAAGACTCCTTCGGAAGCTGTGTCTTTGAAAAGGTTAAGCCTGGATTACCTGGAACGCTATGTCTACTTGATCATCTTCAATGCCTATCTGCATGCTGAGAAAGCATCGGAGTGGAAATACACGTTCAGCGCATGGATGCAGGAGGTTGGAAAATACATGATTAGGCAATTGTAAAATATTTTTGATTCTTAGAGCACAAACTATACGGATATCGTTTTGAATTAATGTAAATTGTTGAGGAACCCAATCTTATTTGGAATAGATTAAAGTATATGTACTCTAAAAAGAAAAGTGCCAGGCTAAGATATTTATAAGATTAAAATTAACCCATACTTTTCATCAGAAGAATTGAATTACTTAAACGATATTGGATTTTTTAAAAATTTTGCAAGCGAAGCATCCGTTATGTTATTGTTTGCACTGATCTATGATTTGCGATAAGATAGTAATAATTATTAATTTACATTTACACATACCACACGTACAAACACATAGGCCTACTCACGCACTTTGGTTATGCCAGGAACGTTGAAGTCACATCGCCTTAACCAGGCAGGCACATGCGTTCTTTCCTTGTCACTTGCCATATTTTCAGAAGTGTTCAATTCATGGTTATATATATATATATATATATATATATATATATATCATGGACCCTGTATCTTTCCAGGTCGGACCCCGCACAGGACTGTACAACATCCTGGACTCGCTTGGGTTTCCAGAGTTTGAGCCACCGTCACGTTTTAGCACGATGAGAGGAAGGTGGACATTTCGAGACAATAATCTGCCATTTAGGGGAGAATTCAAATAGTTGTCTCCGGTGGTTAAATATATCAAGTATTAATGCATTAAGACTACAAAATTATATAGGCCAGGGTAGCCTAGGGGAGGATCCACGATTATTTGAAGGATTCGAAGTCGACCCCCCCCCCCCTTGGCGTCCATGGGTTCAAGGCTCGCTGAAGGGCACAAACAATGTTGGTATTTTAGAGGGCGAACGGTGACATTTGGTAGACTACTGTTTAGAACTATGATTCAGCTAGTCAAAATTCTAATTTCAAGAGGGGACCATTGGTGTGACTTTTTTTCAGAAATCGAAGGGGGGTCAGGACCCCCAATCCGCCACTGTAGGCCCTTAACAGCCAGCGTATTTGCTGTCAGATACGAACACATTTTAAAATTTCAAACCTACATATTCATATTTCTTTAATAAAATGATTGACAATTTTACAAATGGCTTAGGTATTTCGTTTTCTAAAAAATCATTTAATAGTGAATGGATTTTTAGAAGCGTGCTTTTAAAAGAAAGTTTGTGGAAGCATTTTCACAACCACTTTGTAAAATAATTAATTAACATCAAATTAGACCCAGGGCTGTAGTTATATTGTCAAGGTAATAGATTCCTTACAATCCTTAGTATGTTAAATCATTATACTGGTATGCACCAGCATTGCCGTTTTCTTACTCCATTTTCTCTCAGTGAATCGTGAACAGTGGCTTTTCTTGATATTGATTGCCATCTGTGGGGTGATAACGGAGTGAAACATAACAACAGGTGGGCGCAGCGAAGTAGCCTTAGAGAGTAAGTTTACTGAAGAAATCACTACTTTCTTTTAAACGCATTCTTCTTATGCATAATATTTATCTGCTTTTAATGGTGTAGATTTGGTACATATTTTATTGGTGTATTTGCTCACTGCTTATTCAAGTTGCTGCAGTGGTTGCCACGATTCATATGCCGATGTGTGCAATCGAAATGAGGGGTTATTAAATGCACACAGAATTCATTCAATAGCTCATCACCAAGACCATATTTTATGGCCACATTTGGGTCGAAGAAAGGCTAGATATGTAGTAACTCCGTGCACATATTATTTTTGTGGAGTTCGCGTCTTTACACACAAAAAAGACCAAAAGTCGAGATTAATCTGCCTACTTAACGCACGACTTGAATGTTACGACTTAGATTATGGCCTTACCCTCTGCTACTTACTGCAGTCGAAGACAATGCCTTATTTCTGGTAGAAGAAATATATACAAGTCAGTGAAAATCCAAGTAGTGGGCAACTTTTTTTTCGTTATGATTTTGGGCACTTCTTCCAGCCACACAAGTTTTGTCTCATCTGCTGCATTTTATGTACCCACTTCCACATCCCTTACACATGTGTATTGGATATGAAGTGACATTAAAGTTTTCAAAGGGTGCTTTCCCAGAGATTTAGATCGATCTAAAGATTAAGATTTAGATCAACCTAACTCCCTGGGGGTTCACGCTAAATTGCAGTCAGCCGAGCGGGCTCCATAGTTAATTACCCCCTTACAGCTTTTAGTAGGCGGGACAGACCCTTAAGCCGGTGTGGCGTGTACCGCTTGGAGCACAAAGCGCAGGCAAATCTGAGAGACTTCCGGCGTGTACAGTCCGTCTCTATAGAGTCATGAATACATTCGTTGCCCTTAATAATCATGCGCTGTTGAGAACATACTGCAAATTCAAACATAATCTTTAGAAGTATTCATATCTTATAGATGTTCACCTCTACTGTGATTTCCCTCAGGTGGCCATATCAACACACTAGCCTAGTAAAATTAATACTAAAATAGTAGCCTGCAGCTGAAAAACGACGGCCCGTCCACGGTAGGTTCATCCATGCATCGAACTGTAATTTGATGCTGATTCTCTATCAAAATTATCAATTAACACATGAATTTTATCCCCATCATAGTAAATGTATAATGTGGTAGGAAATGAACTAGCCGAATATAACAGTACAACAAATCATTCACCGAACGGCTCATACACGCGTCTGCTGCGTGTACAATCGGTCAGGACGGATGGTTCACGCAGAACGGACTGTACACGTGACACCGGCCAAGCTGACAGTAATCTAGTGAGACTCCCCACAGGGATAGATCGATCTAAAAATCTATGGAAATGGGGTGAAAGATACCAAGTCATTTAAAAATTTAGCTAAATTGATAAGCATATATGTATACATTTCAGATATTTGGTTTTCTGAATTTTTCTTTTTTGGATTTTCCAGCTTGTTGATTCAACCCCTTTTTTTGGATGTATATCAAGTACATTGTAGGTTTTAATGGGGATCACATAGACCAAAGACTTACAACTCAGTGGTCTTAAAATGTTTTCAAGTCTCATATATGATATCCATTATACCTACAAAGGACTTTTTACATTAAAATTACAATTAAAGCAAACACATCATATTATATTTTTAAAATAACAAAACGCTGATAAAGCCATTTTGTTTTAAATGTTCTAAATGTAAAAGACTACCTCATGTATTATAAAAAAAGAGCCCCTCATGAGACTGTTTAAATTTCTTAAAGAAATAAATGTTTAGTAATGTTGGAGCTTTGTCATGTTTCGTCAAAGGTTCTCATCGGAAAATTAGTAAGTTATTCACTCCCAGTCATTTAGTTAGGCTACTTTATCTACTTTAAATATATGTAAACATGAAATTTATATTTGGCCATCTTGCTAATTTCCAGATATTTTGGAACTGCTTCAGTTATTTATCTCTTAACAGTGAAAAAAATAGTGCAAAACACCCGCATATTTACTAAGCACGTCACAATGACCCAGTTTGACAGGAAACCTCGTCAATTTAACCCTTCCCATTAAATATGAATATATAAAGGTTTTGGTTAACAATTTCAATAGTGTATTCATAAGCAGCGTTAGAATATGTAAGTGGTATAGTGTTTATGGTTTTTATACTGTGCATGACTTGTAAAAATTAAGATATATTTTCTGTAATTCCATTTGTAACCGTATTTTCATAATTTTTTGGGGAGGGTATAGTTTGGTATGTATTGAATGTCACATCAGAAATGTTTAATGTAGGCTTTATTTGAGATTTGTATGTGTATATATTTTGTGTACATGCTGATTATAGCTATGGGACAGATGGGAATCTTGTGCTGTACTAATAGTCCAAAAGACATTTTCTTATAGTTTATTATTGCCATTGAAGGTAATCATTAACTGTTTGGTGCAATTAAGGCTTCGTTCACATGCAATGTCTATTTTCTAAATTCTATTTTCTATTCGCGGCATGTCTTATGATCACGGTCTGTGCCCTTAATATCCCACGGCGTAATTACTGGCAGCGCGAGCCAGTTACTATAAGTTACTATAAGTAACTGGCTCGCGCTGCCAGTAATAACGCGGCGGGATATTCAGGGCACAGACAGTGATCATAAGATAGCGCGAATAGAAAATAGAATTTAGAAAATAGACATTGCATGTGAACGAAGCCTAAGTGTAAGATGAGATACATATTCACAGTATATGAGATTCATCTTCTTCTGTTGATTTGTCAATATTTTAACAACCAACTTCTACTATAAGAGCTTTGAGTAAACGAAGTGCATGCAGCCTCCATTGAAAGTACACAAACTCAGAAAATGACAAAATTGTTGTAACAGTTTGACATATGTCACAGGTATGTTTGTCAAGAGACAGATTTTTTGCTTCGAGTTTAAAAATGCATATTAGTGAGTATTTATGTCAAATCATTGTCACTCAACCCAAAGAAATGCAGTCATAGTGTTTACTTATTAATAAAGAAATACCACAGAGTTTTGTTAGATTATTTCTCAAAAAAATATTTGCATGGATATTTTCTGTTTATTTTCTTTGCCTTATGGACTTAAGGAAAGGAGAAGCAGATCACATTTAAGGCTGGAAATTTGAAGAAGTTTTAGTCCTTTTTCAGCTGTCTGAGAGATTAATTGGTTTTTTGGCATGTGGATTCTTGTTGTGCTATGTAAAAAACGGGTACTGGTTCTGTGGAACTGGCACTTTGCATGTTGAAGCAGTTACACATATGAGACGTAACTTTGACAAACTGTCTAATAAATTGGTTGTTTATAAACCTATTACAAACTTTTTACATTGTAAATATGACAACATTTATTGACACAAATTAGGACAAGTGCTCAGTGCATGAAGATCTTTAAAATGTGAAACAGTAAATAATATAACCCAGTTACATATAATTGCTGAGTGGGGCTTCATTATTGATGTTTAAATGGCTGAGATAAGCTGTTAATTTACATGTGTGCCAGTTGTACCAGTTTAGTTTATATATGAAACATATATATACAACATGTTTTTTATAGGAACTCTAAAATTCAGATTTAAATGTATTTAATGTGTGTGTGTGTGTGTGTGTGTGTGTGTGTGTGAATGGATGGATGGATGGACAACTTCTTGCACTTGATAACAAAAACAGAAGTGACCAGATTTAGACCAAGATACGGTGGCATGCTAAAAGCAATAAACTTCTGGATTTATTCCTATTTCTAGTCTGATCTGATGCAAGTGATAATCCTCCCTACAGCCCTGTTATTTGTGCACCAGTGGAGAATAATCTTTGTATCTGAGATTTGCTCTATTTTCTTTTTCAGCATTAGAAGGGAACAATAATGTTGCTGCACATATCACTTTTTGGGATGTTTATCCCTGCAGTTTGATTGTTATTAATTGAAAAAAATATAGAACCCTTCATCTTCAGCCGTCAGGTTTGATTAATAAATCCATCAGTTTTCATTAACTATTCACATAAAGCAGAAAGTGTAAAGCACCTTTAGTAAACAACCTGTCTGGATTATGTAATTCATGGTTGAATGACCCTGTGACCCACTGACCCAGTGTGGTGTGGATTTTCTCGGCCATTTCTTTGTGGTTTTGGTCAGGCCACAAAGCAGCCGTACTAACACAAGTAACAGGCTCTGAGTTCAATGCAGAGGTAAGGCAAGTAAACAACTGGATGACTTTGTTATTGGTCATCTCATTTTATGATTTTGGACAGAGAAAATAGTTTATTTCATATCTGTATTTCTAAGCCAGACGTGACGTGACACCATGTTGTGTAATAGTATGGCTTGCATCCTGTAGGCGTCCATAACCACACCAGTTATTTGTGGCAGAGTAACCCAGAAGTGGTTTAAACTCCCTTATTTGCAGTTGCTCACTCTGGTGTGAAAGAAAACTGTTTTTATCATGTTGACATGCACATAAGCCTTTGTTTCTGTCTGCTTAATTGGTTCTAGTTTATCACACACACACACACACACACACGAGCTTTTCTGTTGAAACGCGGAGTTCCACATTTTTAGATTCAGTTCTAAGGTGTTGGGTCCCATCATAATTGTTCAGAGGTGTATTAATTTTTTTGAAACCTGCTAGGTGTGTGTACATATATATATATATATATATATATATATATATATATATATATATATATATATATATATATATATATATTTATACACACACGCAAGCACGCAGGCACACACACACACACAGTATGTCCGCTGTTTAGACTTTAAACGATTGTCTTATCTGTAGGGAACATACTTATGGCACCCATTTGAGTATTGTATTTACTGCCCTTATTTGTGGACATAATTTACAAATCTGGTCATGTAAAACAGCACTTGGTCAGTGTTTTCTACAGATTTATACAGTGTTATAGATCCATTGTTGCCATGAACAAAGGAACATCACAGTTGGGTTTGTTTAAAAGAGAGTGCTTTAAGGTGATCAATTGGACTGTTGTGTGCATGTGCTTGACCAACATCTTGTAATTATGCTTGGCATGTCTGTTCATGTAGTTCCTCCACAAATAACACAATACTAGTACTAGTATGTCCTTCGATTGTGGATTATGGTATAGAGCATAAAGTACTAGTAACAATATCAGAAATTTATTCATGTGTTGGGGCTGTATATAAAATAACCAGGTATGCTCGATAAAACAGTCAGTGCAAGTGTAACTAAATTTGGCTGTTGACCTATCATTGCCCGCAGCCAAGCTCGTGTGCCAAAAATGTAGAAACAAGGAATATGTGACAGGCAGCAAATAGTATTACTTGCATCATTAGAGACAACAGATAATGTGTTTCAGTGAGAGCTCTTTTCAATTTGGTGGTCTGTTGTAAAATAATACAGCAGTCTTGATCATGCATATTGAACAAGTAAAGAGTTGTTATGCAATTACGTGTTCACATATTATGGGTTATATTTTAACCTGCAATGCAGCTAAGGATGTCTGTAAGTCTTAAAGCTTTAGGGATAACAACTGTTCAAATGAGATTCATATTTCACAATTAAAACATTGTAAATAACTCATAGAAATGTTAATTCCATTTTAATTCCCCAAAACAGTGGTTATAGCAATTACTGTGGAATGTGTGCTTGCCAATAGTCCACATGGATCTTCATTGATGGGTATACCTCTGTAATAATCTTTTAAGACATTATTAAAAAGAAACCAAACCTTTTAGAAAATAAAAATTATAATAAAAAAAAAAAAATATATATATATATATATATATATATATATGGACTAACTTCATATGTCAGAACAGTTTCCTTAACCATTGGTAAGTGTGGCAAAATCATTGTTTAACCCAAGAAATTCAGCTTTTTTGGCCAAAACAGTTGTTATCCCTTTAAATCGACCTTTTTTTGACTATTTGCTAATGAGAGATATTGCTGCATGTTCGATTGTGTCAGGATCTTAGGGTGCATTCCCAGAGATTTAGATCGATCCAGAGATTTAGATTTAGATCGACCTAACTCCCTAGGGGTTCACGCTAAATTGCAGTCAGCCGAGCGCGCACCATAGTTATTAGTAGGCAGGACAGACGCTTAAGCCGGTTAAGCTGACAGTAATCTAGTGAGACTCCCCACAGGGATAGATCGATCTAAATTCTATGGGAATGGGATCTTATACTTATGTACAGTTTTATCCTAAATACATGTTTGTCAGTCTTATGAAATTGATTGCTTTGTGTTTAAGTCGTTTGCATGACTGTATTGTGAACTAAAGTGTTGTGAATCATGATTCCAGTGTGGGTCAAACAGGGGTAATGGTAACATGTGTGACTGCTTGTCCTATAATCGTGAGAACACGTGCTGTCTTAGTCAAAACAGGTTGTACAAATATCACATAGATATAGCTGTGTAATTGTGTTAGCTGAGAACACTGTTAAGCCGTGTGCAATGTAGACTCACCCTGTATGGACAGTACTATGTGGATGTATTTAGTAGCATAAGTGCTTTGCAGTGCTGAGATAGGAAGCATATGATATTAAGGGTGTGAAGAGGTTGAGTTTGTTGTAATACATCAGCACACCTATGATCAGTTATCTGATTTGGTCAGGTCTGGGAGAAAGATCTTATTTATCCTCTATTTTAAAACAATCAAAGATGTATATATCCTTAGTTTGCTAGGTTTTTGACATAAGAAATGCTGATGTGTTTTCAGATAACAGAAATTGAAAGAAATATGACGTCATTTGTAAGTGAATTGATAAAGCTAAATATTTGATTCGTAATCATACATCAGCTCATTAATGATTAGATTAAACCAAAGAGTACAATATTCGTGCCTTGAACAATGAATAATTTATGAACTGTAAAGTAATGAATTTCTTTTGGTTCTTCAGTGCTGTAGGTGTTAGAAAGGTAATATGGCGGAGTACGGAGTAGCCTGCTTGTCCCCACTGTCACCGCAGAGGACTAGCTTAAAAACTGTGCTACAGAAGTCACTGGGTAAGTAAGTTGTGCAAGATAGGATTTTTAAAGAGCATACACTTTACAGCACTTGAACTTACTGAGTTTAGTCCATTAGTCCAGTAATAATGATATGTACAGTAGCAGTGGTAATAGTGTGTTAATTTTCACTCTGCAAGGATTTGATCTTACAGGTTTTACTGTACTAAACCCAGTTATAGTTTGAATGGAAATCTCAATGTGTACCTTATTCTATTAATAGTTTTAGCGTTATTATGGACCATGTCAGTTTTTAGGAGACCATAATATTATTATTGGGGTTTAAATATGATTCATTATTATATTTTTTTATTATATTATAACAGTGATTACTTTTGGGAAATATTTTGGGAAATATTCAAAGGAAGTGGAAAAGAACACATACTAATAGTTATCGATTCAATGATTTTCACTGTAGGGTTCAACTTATTGTAAACTTGACCAGACACAGGGGTGGATCCAGAGATAATTTCTGACAGTCTTCCAATTTATCTTTGTGGATCCATCCTCCATTTTTGACCGTCTTCCAACAGAAAAATTTACATGTATCCCCATCAATGTTACTTTCAAAATCTGAGTGTCTTCCTGAAAAACCCAGAAGACAGCCTCAATTTGCCCCATGAACATGGAATTTTAAACCTGTACCTGGGAGGGTCTAATTAAAGCCTTCTAAAGTTAAAGACAAAGACAAAGCAAGCCAAAAACGCAAGCTAAAAATTTGACTACTTATCAATTAAATAGACTTACTGAATGTGTTTGAAGGAACCCATTCCATCACCTGGCATAAGTGCAATTTGATATTGTAATAACGTGACACACATTGATCTTATTTTTTTTTCATTTGATTATAAAAACAACAGAGGGATTGAGTAAATGAATATTTGTTAATCAACAAAATCCATTAATATTTTGTCTGTAGTTGCAATTTTTACACATTTCTTTCTCTCTCTCTCAAAAAAAAAAAAAAAAAAAGAAAGAAAACACTGACAGTAATTAGCTTATATTTTGAAAAGAAATTCTACACCAGGAAGTCTTTTGGTATACTGTCTAGCCTTGTGGTGGTTGAAAGTATGCAGTTTTAAATAACTAAACCCTGTAGTGAGTAGAAGTACAATAATTTATATTGAAAGCCATAACACAGTGCGATAGCATATAAATTGGCATCTAATAAATTCTGAGTTCAGTGCTTGGAAATTGTGAGTCAGACTCCATTGTGGAGTGTGGTCCAGAATAGAGTTAGCCAATTTATGGTATTTATCAACATATGTTATCATTCTAGTTGGCTTTTGTAATTTAAGTCCTCATGGTAGCATTAATCACTATTAATGGTAAAGGAAAGCGCAATTCAAGTAGGTCATGGGAGGTTTCCAAGTAGGACAGGCTGAGTGAGGTTGACTGGAATACTCAGCAGAACACAGCAGGTTGTTTTAAAACTCTAAATGTTTGTTTAAAAAAAGAATTTATCATAACTTGTTTCTTTTCAGCTACACTTCACAATAACTACAGGAAACAAACGGACCTCAAAGAGCTAGACCAGCAGTCCTGGAACCAAAATAAGGCAAACCCAGATTGTTTAAGTGATCTTGTTCTGTCGTCTGCTGCCAGTTTATGTGTTAGTTTTCCCTTCAGCGAGTTGGATGGTTTGGATAGTGATCTGGAGACTGATGAAGACAGCAGTACACCTATTTTGTCCAGTCCCAGTCAGTCTCAGGGAAATTTAGATGCACAGCAATATGATAGCAATAAAACTGAGACTGAGGGCATTGAGCCAGCAGAGGGCAGCACTGGACTAAAGCTAACCTCAAAGGAAGCTTGTGATAACCTGTTGCATTCCGGTCACGGAGTTGGTGCAGTAAACAACAGTGACAAAGATAGGACTTCATGTGAGGGTTCCCTTGCCTCGCCGCGGTCTGTTGATCATAAAAGTCAAAGAAGACCAATGGATTGTGAAGAGGAGTCTTTCAGAACTTTGGGTGATGATGGGGATAAAGAACTAGATGTACGTAGAGATTTAGAAACATGGCCTGATAAGTCTGACTGTGATTTGGACAATAGGAAATTAACCAAAGTCCCAGTTTCATTTGTTCCAACATCTGACCTACTAACTAGGACTGTTGTAAAAGGTACGACTCCAGACATTGTGCAGGAAAGTAAGTCTAAATCTGACTCTGAAAACACTTTTAATTTACATGCACCTAGTATACTGCACGCTGGTATAGATAACCAGTTATTGAATACAGGAAAATACTGTGATCAAAACGGTGATCAACAAGTTAGGTTTTGTGAAGTGATGGAGAACAGGGATATTATGCAAGACATAAGTGTGGTACAGGCAAGGGAACCCCAGACTGATGATACTGCACTGTCCAAACAGGGTTCAACAACAAAAGATCCCTTGGCCATGCCTTGTTACCCTCTAACTACATCTATTGACAACAATGGAGGGCATGACAGCAATACAGAGCTGTTGAAAATGGAGAAGGACAATGTTGATGGCTCAATATCAAAGGAAGAGGGGATCTCAGTTGAGGGCCAGTGCTCTCAGGAGACGGACACTGAAATGAGTACATTAAATCCTAAACGGCCAAGATTAGTAGAACTAGAGACCATACCTGAGACTGAGACTTCAGAGGTTGTGGAAAAGTCAACTGAAATATTTCCCAGTGCTGCCAGACCTTTGGTGATAGCAGATGAAGAGGATAGACAGGGAGTGGCAGCCAGGAGGGGCTTCTTTCAGAGAGGGTTGTCCGCTTCTGACAAGCGACAGCTTATGAAGAAAAGTCGGAGCTGTGCGGTGGATGAAGAAGAAGAAGATGAAATTTCACAGACTCAGCAGCCAAAAACCCCTGATACCCCTGTCACACCTGCAAGTTCTGACACAGGTTAGTGAAATATTTTGTAAATACTTGTACTATCCATCTGAAAAAAAAACAAAAAACATTAGTTTGAATGATTTTGATCTTGAGAATTTTTTTCTTACAATTGTAAATACTTCTATACCAGACAAATCTAACAAGGTATTTTTTGAAAAGTATTTTTTTTAATTTGCAACAAGTTATTAGCCGCTAATTTCTGTGCAGGTTAGTAAAGGTGAGTGGCAGGTGGGTCTAAACATGTGTGTCCATCACATCTGCTCTGGAGATAGCAGGCAATACACTTGACATGCACAGCAAGGTGCATATGGCTGTGACTAGAAAATATGGGTGTACAATGGCAAAAATGACATGATGGACATAAACATGCTTCAATTTCAGTGAAGGTTTTCAAGAAATATACTACGATTATCTAGGCCCAATTTATTATGGTATCATGACCATGAATTTTGATATAGAAATTAATCTTGGCATATCAAAAGGACCCTGTCTCTTAAGTTGCACACACTCAGATAAGGACCATTCCTCATCTAGGGGCCCCCTCTATGGAAATGAAGTTGTCTTTATTTTATGCATGAAAGAAAGTGACATGCTTTCCTGTGTTTTGAGCATAATGGTCTGGTTCAATGAGGCTGGTCTCTGGGATGTCCTGGGCTCTAAATTTGTTTTTAATATCAGATTAAATATACTTTTAATTTTACATGATTTTTTATTTGATAATTACTGATTTTTAAATTTTATTTTCTCTAAGAGCAGCGTTAATATGTTGTGCACGTTTAAGGCAACTTAAAAGTGCCTTACAGGTATATTATATCAGACAATGGTGTTATGTGTTCTTTCCTGTCCTTAAACAAGCCCTAACATTCAGGACATACATGCAAGTTGTCAATTAGCTGCCAACAACCCCATATTTATTTCTGTTCAATTACCTTTAGGTTATCGGCAAAAAGGCTTGATGTATTGTTTTAGTCAGGCACAATTTTTGACTTGGGGACAAATTGAAATGAGATAAAACTGTCAAGATCTTTATCATTTAAGGTGGGAGTCCCAAAGGAAGGTAGTAACTGTGTATTTGCATGCAAAGAATAGTTAGTCAACTAATATCTGCATTATGCAACTGTGTATGTGTAGTGCAGACAATGAGATCACAGGAAAATTTGCAATTTTATATTTAAAAAAATGAGTGCCATTAGATTAGACCGTGGTTCCAGTAACACTTACAGCAAGTGGTTCTGGCACTTTTTTAAGGAGTGGGTAGATCCTGGCAGGTTTAAAGTGCTAAGTTGGCTTATTTCATATAAGGACTTGGACCTGTGATGTTTTTCATGGGTTCAAGGTAAGGATGATGGAAGAAACTAACATGATAAGGTTAAGTGATAAGAGGAAGGGAGGGGGGGGGGGGGCTGGGATCCTGTCTTGCCTCCCACCACCCACATGCATGCACAGTTGCAAACACTGACATATACACGCATGGAAACATGCATGCGCACACACACACACACCATGGTTCACTCCCCAAATGCACAAACTGCCCTTTGCTGAATAAAGAGCAAGTGGACCATTTATTTAATCATTGATAAAAAGTTGACTTGGTTTATGTGTCACCAGCTGGTTGAAGTTCATTAAGGGTCCCTTTACATACATTATCTTATCAGAATACCTCAAGTCCAATGCAAAAATGTAATAAAAGTTATCACATTTTGCAAATAATGTACGTGCCATAGAGCCTGTTTGTAGTGTAGCATCACAATATGAAAAAAATTAAATGTGACATTTTAGCATTTTTTGTATTTTATATTGGTAAGGTTTTGTCATGTTATCATTATGTTAGTGTGCAGAGATGCCCTTTGAATTTGTTCAAAGTCAAAATGGGAGAAACAAACAAAGCCAGGGACTTGATTTGTAAATTTGAAAACTGGCCATTCTGCATGGCTTGATTGGCACCTGTTACCAAATAAGTTATCAGTGTTTTGCAGGCAGCAAAGGGCGGCTGTCTGGCCTGTCTGATATGCATACCGCATAACCTTAGCATAGCGAGGTGCTTCACCACAGATATCATTAAGTATGACACCAGAGAGTGAGACCTGAGCACAGAATTACAATGCTGAAAAATGAGGAAAAATGTATAAATCTTGGTTTAAAATATTTCAAACTTAAAATAAAAGAAAGAAAAAAAAAAAAAGAAAAAGTAAACATATTGAGAGATTAGCTTTTATTACATTTGATGATTATTGCTGTTATTTAGTAATTACAGAAGATGTTTTCTAGTTTTATCTGTTATGATAACCTTGCATAAAATCTTTGCAATTACTGACATAAAACATCATCTTGATGTTCAAGGGCTGTTATTAAACTACTATAGTGAAGCTATAACCATCCCTTTATAGTGATCTAATGAGCATATAAAAATTCAGGAAGTACATTCTGTAATTTCAGTTCATTATATACTATTTTGAACCTAAACATAATGTGTTTCCAATGTATTTTCAATTGGATGTGTGTAGGTTGGTCTGGATACTTACTATACATGTCAGCATGTCAGTAGCCTGGTAAGACCCCATTACCAGCAATAAAAGACTGTCATAGACTCATCTTCATGTTCATTTAGCAACCACACAGATATGTTTTCACCCTTGACATGTTTGTCCAGTGGTGGTAGCAGCTTGTTTAATAATTAAGTCATTCTTTAGCATTAACATTTAATGGGATTCTTTTCTGCAGTTGGTGGGGTATTTATGGCAAAGAAAAAAAATCATGACATTTTCTTTTGTATAAAGCCCAGTGAATTTGTGCATTATATTTTTTAACTTAAAAATATTTTTGAAATATATTACAGGGCTTACAAAGAAAATAGAAATATTCAAGACCTCATGTATTTTTAAGAGAGAAAGATTTCAATGAAGTGTTTTTTGTTGTTGGAATCCCACCCTGCTAGCAAAGCAACCAAGAAACATCCATGTACAAAATGATGATAATAGACATTAGCTAACGAATTGTTTGTGTATCAAGTTGCTCATCTGGGGACCCCATATTATTCTAAAATAACTTCATTTAAAGCTGATAAAAAAGAGCTTATGACTACTGTAGTATTCAACATCTGTTGGATCCTGGCCTAAGATAACTCTTGAGGTAGATGTACAGGTGAAGTGTGGGAGTGGTCATTACTGGACCACCGCTGAGACATGCTGTTATATTATGTTGGGTCACAGGTGAATCAGGTTTAATTTGCAATCTCACAGATTTTGTACTTTAAGTTAAGTGAACAAATTCTGCTGAGCAGAAAGAATCTTTAACACATTTTGCTCACAGATGAGGCCTCTTGTTGATAAATGGCGGAATTTATTTTGGGACAGCATATTAAAGCTAAATAACTTTGATGCATATTATAGCAAAATAACCTTGATACAGTGTTGATTAAGCAGTTAATATCATAGTGCAAAAGTGAAGAAAGGTGTTGCTCATTCAGATGAGGGTTTCTTGATGTAACATTTTTTTAAACTGAAATAGTGATTGCCATGCACAGGTTTCCACTATTACATATTTAGGTTGTGAAGACATTCTGTTGCTAAATTATATGATATTATGATGTTTTTAAAGGATGGTGTATGTTATTAGTTGTTCTCTGAAGTTACTGCAGTATTTGAAAGAGAATGGCTCTCACCAGTGTCAGAATATATTAAAACAGTTAAAATGAATGGTGTCATGCAGCAGTTGTTGTCTCAGATGTGATGCTCAGCAGCATAGCTACTTTTGGGATTATCATGTTTTAAGGCATTTTATAACAGCTACGAATTTTTGAGGAAAATAAAAAGGCAAGGATTTTTTGCTCTGTTTTATGGTTATTTTTCAACTTTTGGGACTTTGGAGTCACTTCCAATTCTGTGTTATTTATGTTATAAATAATCTGGATAATTTGGGTGATTTTTTGAAAGAAATTTTTGGTGTGGGTACTTGCCATGATATGGCAGTAGCTGTTGAGAGGAACAGAGACTTTAATGGTGGGATGGGGATGGGATGGAGGCTGATATCACTAACATTTAAAAGGTCACAGAGCAGTGAAAGATGTGGCGCACCTAACAAGACATAAAATAATAATAATAATAATAATAATAATAATAATAATAACACAGAGTTTCATGTGTGCAGTAATCCCTTAATTAAATTCAGTAAAGTCATTTTTTAATAAAAATGAACAGTACCTACAGATCTGTACTCTCAGACCTATTGAATGAATGAGGGACTTTGCTCTTACTAATAATTACTTTAAAAAGGACAATTCTTATTATGACAATTTAAATGCTTACCGGACATATTTTTAGTATACCTATTTGAATCATTTATAAGTGTTTAATTTATCTTTGTGACAGACATTTGTTGACCATTTCTGTCTTTCTCTGATTATCTCTCTGATTCGTGGATTATTTTTTGAATGTTGTCATCGCTCTAAAGATTACAGCATCAGCCTGTGCAATGATAAGACATTTGACAACAATATTTATATAGCTGAGTAATGGTCTATTCCTTCAACGTCACAGCCATCACGTACATTAGTTCAATTGTTATTCTTCTCTATATCCACCATATTGAGAATGTTTGTGACATGTGTGAAGTTGTTATTATCACATCATGCTTTGTCGTGTTCCTGCGTCATATATGTATCCCCAAGTTGTAATATTTTGCTGTTGGTGCTCTATAAAAGCTCTTGTCGGCACTTCGAGTAACTGTTAGCTTTTAGAAGTCATTGAAATTAGAATTAGTGGGAAAAATCGGGCTTGAAGTGTACTTACATTATGTGTGTAATCTATCAGTATCGCGGTGAAAGAATTGTCAAGTGTTCAACTGGAGGAAAAGGTATGGATACTTCTCTCACATACCCTCTGCAGATGGAAGGCAGCTGTTTGGCATCTGTGTTGTATAAATGTGTGAATGTGCGTGTATGTGTGTGTGTGGGGGGGGGGGGGGAGGGGGTCTTTTTTTCCCTTTTTAAGCCCTTCCCTTTATCTTCCACTTTAAATTTGAATGATTTGTGCTTGTACAGACCTGATGCCAAAGATTATCAAGTCTGAGTGTTTGAGCAAAAGAGGAAATAATTTAGATTCTTTAATTTTAATCAGCAGTTAATTATTTACAACATTTTTTATAGCCGTTTGGTATGAAAATATGGTTTAATTAGTCTTGCATTACATATTGAAGGAGTGCTTTATTCTTTTTCAATATGTGTTCATTTGTGTATATCTTTTGTGTGGTACAGGGTGGGTGGAGGTAGTAGGTGTGTGGTTTCAAATACTTGTGTCACTGAATACCATGTACATACATACTCAGTATGGTAATATCTCACCAGTTTCAAACAACTGCTTTCTATATTTCCTTATTGCAAGATTTTAAATTATACTTACTTAAAAAAAACATCATTTTTACAACAACACAAACTTACTTCTTAAACATTTATATCACCCTATTATGCTTTGATAATAAGATATTGTTTGGGGAATAGAGTCTTTCAGAATTGTTGAATTTGGTGAGGGGTTACCAGAATTATCCATTTTAATGTAACCGCAAACCATAAAAAAAAAGAAAAAGATTAGCACAAATGCACACATTGTTATGTATATAAGTTGATTCATTTTCCCATTCATGTGACTTTTTAATTCAAATTAAAATCTTAGGCACATAACACTGTTCTTGTTGTGCTTGGCTGGTAAATGTTTGAAGAAAAATGACACCTTTTTTTTTCTTTACACACTTTACCTGTCTGTGCGACTTGCAGTTGAGCTGTTACAATAAGTACCCTGGCTGCCTGTTAAATAATATAACACAGGGGAAAATCGCCAGGTAAGTATGTTGAATAAATATGCTCATCTTAGAATGGTCCTTTTGAAGATTCAGTCTCACAAGATGAACAACTAAAGTTGTCCTTGGTTTAAAACCCAAGGCAATTTATTACGTAAAAAGTAGTGACAGCCTGTCATACTCTGGTGAATATTAACAATGTTGTTTGCTAAATGTATAAGCCCAGTGCAGATAAAGGTGTATGGTTGGAGGGGTGGAGTTCTATGACACGGGGAATGTTCTTTTTGATGTCAACCAAGAGCTGTGTTTTCTACCGCTTTTAAGTGGAAGGCAGTGGTTTCTGTTCTGCTTGTGAAGTTTGAAGTGTAAGTTAAGTAGATGGATTGAGGTTGTGAAGTACCTCACACGCAGTGGAACTATTTTCATTTCATCAGTGCTTCAAGGGAAAATTTTGTACTTGTGTGCTGGCGATGTACCATATTTAACACTAGGTTTACACTTCAAACATATTTGTATGGTTTAAGTTTTTTTGAAGACTGAAAGCTCTGTGTTTAGAGCAGTGAGTCACTGAGGTTTGATGCACAGAGGTGGGTGGATCTAAGCAGAATCAGGAGATATATGCTAGACTGATACCAGGGTGTTGATTTCCATTTAATTAAAAGTTTGATTTAATGACACATGATGTGGAAGTTTTGAGGCTTGTGTTTCACAAATGCCCTGTCTGTACTGTCTGATACTTGCTTGGGGAAAACTTTTATCTTGAAATAATGCTGACCTTGTTTGTCAGATACATTCATGCATTTTATTCAATGTTTGAAGTATGAGTTTAAAAGAAAATAGTTTTTGTTTCACTTTGCAGAGTTACATATTTCTTTTAAGACATGCAGTATTTTCCTAAACATAAATGGCATGTAAAGGAGTCTGAGTCTAATTGCACTGAAAAAGATAATGAACCCTTTCAGTGATAATCTTCCATGTAGTGATTAAAATGTAATTTTGACTTCTTTAACTACACATAACTATATGGATAAACAGTATAACATTACATATAATTAGCAAGCATGTATACTTTGCTTAAATTTATCAAGTTCTTTTTCCCTGTTTTGTAGAAAATTATATACATACTGTTACCTATTAGAATATGGTAGAGTGATTTTAGACGAGTCCGCTGAGTTGTGAATCTCATCAACATTCATCATGAAATAAAACAGATTTATTGACAAATGCCTTGAGATGCAATGAAAAGTTGTTTGTAATTTGCCCATCATTGCCTCTTTGATAGGATAGGTAAGATCTTCTGGTAATTTTCCAGGAATAGTTCCAGATGTAACCTTGTGTGTGCAGACGTGGCAGATATATACAATATTCAGATATGTGTTTAAAGAACTTTGCAGCACAGATTCTCCTCTAGTTGTTCATTTTTGTCCAAACTGTTTGATTTGGTGATAAAAGGCAAATGACTTTTGATACTCATTGCTTAAATCCACATAATGAAATTGCTGCTCTTTTTTCCTGTAATTTATTCTTATCTTGCTTTGTTTTTTAATTGTAGGAAAACCATCTGTGCATGCGTGGATAAACAGCATTTCATCAGCAGAATCCTTAGATTCGTGAGTATTACTTTTAAGTACAGTTTTTACGGTGTCTGGAATAATTAAAGGGATAATAACTCTTCGTATGAGATCTATATTTCACAATAAAAACATTGTGAATAACTCACAGAAATATAATATATTCTGTTTTACCACAAAAACGGCAGTTATACCTATTATTCTGATATCTGAGCTTTTCTTTAGACCACGTGACCTCCATTGATGGCTATACTCTGCTAAAATCTCTTAAGAGATTTTAACAAAAAACCAAACTCTTTAGAAAAAAACCAGGGACTAACTTTGAATGTAAAAATGGATTCATTAACCATTGGTAAGTATGGGAAAATTGTTGTTTACTCCAGGAAAATTCATTTTTTGGCCGAAACGAAGAGTTATTATCCCTTTAACTAATGTTACTAGAATAAAAGTAAATTTAAAGATTGTAATGTATGTTAAAATTTCATATGCAGATAGTGTTTTTATAATATATAATTAATTGTTTTACTTTCCTGGGAGCATTCTCTCTAAAATTATAGTGATTACATACAATGTTTATCTAGATAAATGAGAACTTGCTTTATCAGCAGAACTAGTCAAATCTTTTTACCATATTTCAGCAACATGTAGGTCTAATGTGTGAAGTCAAGGCTTAAAACAAACATTACTTAATTTGGAAATCAGTGGGCTCTGTATACTATAGTTTGGTGTCTGGTTGTCTGGAGTCACATTTCAGATCATAATTCTGAGAATAACGTTATAATTTTTGTAATATCATTTTATATAGATTGTTTAATTTTCAGTGGTGGAATAAATCTTCGTTTTATTTGCAGCCCTATAAGCTCAATAGGCCAGGATGAACTGGACTTTGAGTTGTCAGAGGGACGTAAGGGTTCCTGCCCAGGTTCTATAGAAGATGATCTGAGTCTGGGAGCTGAGGCTCAGGTCATGTATGCTGGACAAATGGGGATGCTAAACAGGTAAAATTACTTGAAAGATTTTCATTCTTTCATGTTACTCTTTATAAAGTATCCTATAACTAGTTACATGGATGTATAAGAAATCAGAGGTTCAGTGGAAATAGGTTTGGATTTAATTTTTGAACATCTGTACATATTGTTTTTTTTTTTTTTTTTAAGATTTAATCTGAAAACTGTCATTTATTTTTGTGTTTCCCCTATATAGTGATTACTTCAGAAAATTGTATGCCACATCATTGTGATTTATTAAAATGCAAATCAATTTCAGCATTGGATATGTAATCTCACCTAGGTTTGGTTTTGTACGTGTTAAAATATTCATAGACTGTTCTCTTTATAGGACGTATCTTGATTAGCACTAGCAAAATTTATCGCCAAGTTAATCAGTTACTTGATTGTATTTGTGTAATGAATGCTGATAAAGTGGCTTTACACTTGCAAGATATCAAGTATTTTAATCCAACAGTTGTGAATAATTGGCAATATTTCTGAAAAATGAGTATTTTCCAGATGCCATAATATCTTATTTTACACTGTCAAGTATATACTGTAAACCATCAGTGCCAATGTCTGCATTTGATTATTAGCAGTCAGTCTTAAAGACCTCAAAATTTAAAGTAAATTTGCATTTACACATACATCTTTACTTATGGCCACTTGTTGATTTATAACACGCCTTTAATGGTTTTATAGGCAGACCTCAGACCCATACCAGATACTTGGTCATACTGATGCTAGGCAACGTAGGACAGCCTACCTAAAGAACCAGTACATGTTTGGGAACAGTTTTGAGTCTGTTAGGACCTCGTCTAGTCAAACTGTTTCAAGGTAGGGTCAGTGCATGGTGTTTGTGAGATTTTTAGTGAAATTTGAAATAAATGATGGTCCACAGAAATGCATTTTTGTCAATATCTTGTGTGATGTTTGCTAGCAAATATTTACCAGCAAATATTTCAAGGGCAGGATAGGTTTGTCACATCTCTCGCAGCCACATTTACAGGTGAAGTGTGATGGAAAGCAGATGAAATATTAGCTGGTAAATTATCAGTTTATTTTTCAAGCTATTGACAAAAAAACTTCTCATAGAAATAACATAAGTTAACTAATCATTTTCAAACAAAATAGTAATCTGTTTTTAAAAGTGTTTAATGGTTGAGTGTTGGGAAGGTTTTCATAACATAGGGAATATTAATTTTGAGTTCAACGTAGCAGCTAAATTACTTACTGTGATCAGTACCTTATCAGGTACGTTAATCTTTGCTTGTATAAACTGAAATGGGCTTTAAGCATGAAGTGAGGACATTATGTTTAACATATAGAACAGACAAGGCCTATGTTTATTATCTTCATAATCTTAAATATCATTTCATATCTTGATGCTGTATTTGATTACATCTAAAAAAAAACAAGCTGCAAATGTTGACATCTATAAGCAAAAACACTGATGAACTCTCTCACAGGATCCTGTAAACAACCATTTGATAGAAAGTTGTCCTATAAATTCATTTTTGAAAAAATAACCACTTGACTTTTATCTGTTTCCAGCATTGAGATGCTGCTAGAGCAGAGGAAAGGAGACCCAGAAGAAATTCTTGAAAATCTTGGTTTTGGTGGCAGTGACAATGATCGTCTTTCCACTAAACTACCTCTGCGCTTTCTGCTCCACCCTTCCCAGGCGCACGGAATCAGCGTGGAAGACTTCCTGCAAGAAAATGAAGAACTCCGCGACAAGCTGCACCAGCTCCATGGCGGACCCTCAGGTCAGTTATCCAGGTGTATTTCAATCTGTACTTCCCAACTAACCACACAGCATTCCCGTATTAATGCCTTTCGACAAAGATCACAGAGTTTGCCCATGAGTGCCACAGAGTTTAGTAAGATTAGAAACAGAAAGAATTCAAAACAGGCTTCTAATGAGGAGAAATCCCACCAGATGGTGCCAAGGAAACGAGGTGAGTCCCTCATCCTGGAAGAAGAAGAGGTTCATGCTTTACTGGGAGCCAAGCTGTCTGAGGAGTGAAGTCTCTGGGCTTACCAAGTAAACCAACCATTGGTAAGATGGATCTCCATCTTAACTGGAAGAATGCCATCAGCTTTATGTCAAGAAGCACTGTGTAGATGCCTGAGCAAAAAATAAGCATTTGTGTTGTGGTTCTCAGAGCAGCAGAAGTGCAGCATCACATGACCATTGGAAACACTTTCCAGTAGTGATATTGCAGGACGCTGGGAACAGAAGCATCAACTACGGCACCATTCAATAGCTATGCACCACTCAATCATGTTTACAAAAATATAAGAAACGGTTATTATGTAGCACTATTGATTAACTATTCTAAATGAAGTATATACCAGAAACAACAGCTTCAAGTTTTATTGAGAAGCTGAGCAAAAGCAGTAAAGTTGTAGCTATACAGATTGAGTGAATAAACTTGACTGATGATAAGTAACCCATATGTCCTGATGGTCACATACCATTAAGATGAGAGACCAAGTAAATCAAGTGATTAGCCATTTGCACTGTCCCAATACCTTGCCTAACCTAACTGTGATATTGATATGATACCTCTTGTGATGATGACAAAGCAGCACTGTCCAGTTTGTCATCAGATAATGCAATAATGACACAATTTGTGTGATGGTTTTAAAAAAGAGATTGACTGTATACATGTGGCCAACCCAGGGTAATAGTGATTACCTGGACTGCCTTAGTTTTGTTTTACAGAGAAAAAATATGATTTATTGATTAGAATAGATTTAGATAAAAAGTCAATAGACATCATTGCCATATTTTTAGAACATAGATGGTAGCATGAACATAATGCAATATGATTTGTTATGTATCTGTACTGTTTTAAAATATTTTAAATGTTTTGTTGATTTATTGTCAGTCATGCACAGTGCCTATTTTTTAACAAAACTCCTGAAGCAAAGGGTAATTGAGGTACAAACTATCCAAAAGTTCACTTGTCTCTGAGTATTTGTGCTCTCTAGCAGACTGGAAGTGTTTTCAAGCCTGGTGTTTATTTAGTAGACACTGTATAAAGGAAAACAGTGATAAGATATACATAAGAGGCAGAGCTATGTTGACTTAGGGAGGAAACATGGACCTGTATCAGGGCCCGCGGCTGTGCCAGACCTGGGCACTCTTCACCAGGCACTGTAATTGCTCACATTCTACAGGGTGATACTGGTCACTATGGCTCTGTGGAGACCCTAAAATGTGCTTATAATTGTTGTGAAAACTAAATGATCTCTGATTTAAAAAGCAGGGTGAATGGGTTTTTAATTTCTTTTAAACATATATTTTATTTTTGTTGATAATATTTGAAAATGTAGATTTAATTTTCATAATTTATGAAGACGAAGAAATTGTTCTGATTTTTCACAAAATCAGCTGAGTGATCTGTTTGAAATAGCAGTTATATTCAAAATATGCTTTTTGTAGAAATCTCAACTTGTCTTCCGAATTGTCAATGTTTTCATAAGTTACACACTTTCACTCTTTATTTTAAATGATTTCATTGTTTTGCCTTTTAATATGCTGTAATGGATAGTTTTATAATGCAAGGAGAACTTGTGATGCTTACAGTGGGCATCTGTTGCTTGTTTTTGATATTTGATGTGTTTGACATGACATGTTTGTTTTTGAATTAATTTTTATTAAAGTTATTTTATAAAGAATTGAATTCAGAATAAAGTGATACATTTTTGACATACTGCTGTTATTCTTTCGCCCACAATGACATTAAACAATAAGAGGCAAAATGTGAGCGGTTAAATTATGAAGATTAAACCTTAACAGCCAGTGAATCCTATTTAGAAATTGCCCTAAAATATAGAGAGAGCTTTTGCTTTTCATTTTCTTTTGCTTGCAGCTACAGAAGGGCAGTAGTAGCTACTGTTCATTTACTATAGCATTTTGTAGAAGACAATATTGCATTCTCCGATGATCAAAATTTCTTCAAACCTTCATTATTTTATTTGACTAACTGTTTATGTATTGATCTCTATTGTTTTGTGTGCACCAATTGTGTAACACCTCAAATGCTAAAGTAGTGAGAAAACGACCCAAGTATGCCATGTTTTTTAAATATATAAATATATTAATATGCATCAGAGCTGCTGTCTGTTATAAGCCAGCTGATAAGTACGAATGCCTCGAGCTCGTGAAGACATATTTGTAATATAGATAAATCTTGCCTTAGTGGTTATAGCCTGTCCTATATGATGCTGCTTGGGAAATTTATAAGATTAATAGAAAGCTTTAAAATGACTGTAGTCATCTTAATATTGCTGCTTTTAGAAATTTGTCTCAAAATATAATTGAAGAGCTTGCTCTACATGTGATACAAATTTCATTGAGTTAATTTGAGTTGAAAATTTCCTGCATGGCTCATAACTATAGAAAAGGCTTGTGTAGAGGGCATTGTCCACCTTTATGATGCCTTGTTCCACATCCGATTATATTTGCCTGGAGAATGAGTTGACAACATTGCAGAGGCTTCAGCCATATATTTGGACATGGGGTAAGGAGGCAGCACGTGCTTAGTAACACATAGGACAGAGGAGGCAGATTGTGCTGGCGTTTGGAGTTATCATGCTTACAGTTGGCTTGGATGCAAAAGTTTTACTACTGCTGCAAAGAAAGTTTTTGTTCAATTTGCACATCCATTTTTATTTGAGCCTTGAAGTGGAAAGTGGGTGGGAGAGAGACAATCCACCACTGTGTTTATAAAGGCCACAATTTCAATTCACTGTTATCACTATGCACAATGTCACTGACTGTCTCTGTCCTATGTTTACTTGTCTGTTCTTTATTTTTAAAACCTAGAATACACTTTGTTAAAAGTGTCAGCACCTTAGCCAGCTAACTTGATATCTGTTTTGTTGCTAACTGCTATGCCATCCTCCTAACACACTCATGTTTTCTTCACCTGCTTAATTTAACTTAGAAAAGACTCCAGTTGATTAGGGTTTTGGTTTTAGTTTGGTCATGATTTCAAATATTTACACAGCTCTCCCGTTTGCCTGTGCCTTTATTGCTGATAAGTATGTTTGCACTCAAGTCTGTACCCTATGCTTGGACTCTATCAATTTAGGCTTAACTCTGAGACCCTTAAGAAGGGAAAGTGTTGGATTTAGAGAAATTAACTGATCTCACATTTGTATGGTGCAGGCGTTGTGGACTGATTTAATAAATTTCACTGGTCATGACTCAACACATGTGATATGTTAAGTTAAAGATTGAATTATATATGTTCACAGTGCATCAAATGGCTGCAGCATTTAAAAACGATGATTTTGAAGATAAAACGGTGATAACAGGTCCATGTCCAGCAATTTCAAAAGGGGGGGGGGTCTTTTTCTGAAAAAGTGGACCTTTTACCATGAAACTACCATGTACCTAGATAAAATTTTATTCAGAGCCTGGAGGGGACCTTTTAATGCTTACAATATGAAATATATCAAGGACACTAAGGCCTAATACACCCTGAGTTTCAGAGTCATCTGGAAACTTTCCTTTATTGTCAGCATTTGTGCTGGATAGAGGTAAGCTAATAACTGCACTTTGAACCTGGGAGTGAGTGCTTTCTTCCCCTGACTCTATACCTGTTTTACCAAGAAGCAGATATGGATAGTATTGTAAACTATGACAACAAAACAAAATGTATTTGAAGTATGTTGCCCTATTATGTGGCATGCTACAAGGAAATAACTGATATATCATGACAAATACTTATCTTACATAGTCACTGAACTGTGATAATTGATGTGTGTCACATAAAATGTAAGGTCTTTTGCAAGCATAGTGTCACTCTTGGTATGCATGGAGTTGTTGTCCTCTTTTCTTTCTTCTTCTTTTGTTGTTGATAAGTTACAACTGTGATACCTTTATTAATTAAAAATTCAAATAAGTAAAAAAAAAAGCTTTTTATCCCATTTTTCTTTTGAAATGTTTGTTGATGGTCAGTGTTGTTCTAAATGAAGTAACAGTTATGTTAACATTTGGTTAAATGCCTAAGTATGTGCCATTTCAGTTTTTAAGAAACTATAATTGAAATTTGATTAATGGCATTGCTCTTTATAGTTAACAAAATCTTTGGCATGCAATTAAAGAAAAAAATAGTAACAAATATTTCCATTTACAGGTATACCACTGTGGGTCCTGCAAAGATCTCAGTTCAACCGAGCCATGTCCATGCCAATGGATCAGATCATGACGCCATCTTGGGTCGCATATCTCCATCAGACGGCACCAAGGCATGGGTCACTTCCATGTTTTCGAGATACTTTCCAATTGTCTTCTACACTTGCCAGGAGAGATAGCATTCTCAGTGAGGATAACCGGAAAGCCTTAGAGAAAAGGGGATTTTATCAGTCTCCAAAAGATGACTCATTTTTGCCTTCAAAATCTTCCTTTGGAGAGAAACCTCCCCCCATGAGACAGAGAAGCAATACCTTTTCAGGGATGACTGAACTCAAAAGGAAACAATCTGAAGACCCTAAGTCCAAACCAAGGTCTGCCACTAATCCAGAACAACGAGAATCTCCCCCTACTGATTTTAAGTTGAGTTTACCTAAAGATGATCCTGCTCAAAGAAAATGTGTTCACCCATCTGTGTTTGTGTTTGACGTTGAGGGATATCAGAAAAATGAAACTTGTAATACTGGTGCAGATTTTTCTGCATTGGTCCCAACAAGATTTTTGTCCTCTGGGCAGCCACAGAACAGTAGTCAAAGTGATGACACTGTAGACAAGGCATCGCCAAAACGTAAGAAACTTCCTGTGTCATACAACCTTGAACTTGAACCTGTAAAGGAAGAGCCAGAAAAAAGTCCCTCAGTTCAAAGTGTTATTATGGCTTTTCCTACAGACAGTGTATTTGATAAAGGAAATGAAGAAACTCTTTCAAAAGACCAGCACCTCGTTGACACAACAATTACAGAAGATGAACAAAAAGATCTGCCCATGTGTAAATCTGGAGAGGTAGTGGAAATCAGTATGCTAGATGTTCCTGTTGAAACTGAGACTCTACCTAATTCTACACCCTCAGATAGCACAGAGGCGGAGCTTAAGTCTCCAGACAGCAAGGGGGTGGAGCCAGGGCCCAGTTCCGGTGTGACTGGCAGCAAAATAAGACATCCCAAACTACAAGGTATTCTGCATCAGGAATCTTTGGAAATTGCAGAAGTAAGTACATGCATCAGTACAATTCATTGAATCTTATTTATCTAAGACCCCATTCCCAGAGATTAGATCAATCCAACTAGATCGACCTAACTCCCTGGGGGTTCACGCTAAATAGCTGTCAGCTGAGCGGGCACGAAAGTTAATTACCCCCTTACAGCTTGTAGTAGGCAGGACAGACATTTAAGCCGGATTATCTGACCGTAATCTTGTGAGACTCCCCACAGGGATAGATCGATCTACAATCTATGGGAATGCACCCTAAGATTTGGTTTTATCTTACTTGCTCACAATACTTCCAAGTGATTGAGATTTTTTGTAATCATATATTGATATGTTTTCAATTTATTTGCCCAGAAGTTAGTAATATAATAGACACAAATTAATCAAAATATTTTGTCAGTGGCAATTTTTGGTGTAAATTTTATACAAAAGGTAATGATGTGCTCACATTTAGTTGAATTTTCCTATTTTCAGCACATGTCACATGAGCAGCCTGTATCCAAAGCAACTGAAGGTATGTATGTGTAGACAGCCTATATCTAGCAAGTTGTGTGAGGCACTTTTTGGTGTTATTTAGTTTCCTTACATTGGTTTTACTCTGTCATTTTAATCCGTGATTGTAAGTTTTACCCAAATATTTGTTTAAGAAATTTTTGGTTTGCTTTTGTGACACTTCCCCCAATCTTCTTGTTGAAGGTCTTCGTTGTAGTAGTGGCCAGTCAGATAGTAGTGGTGTGTTCTCTGAGCATATGGATGGGGAACAACAAGATTTACGTTTACTCCAAGAGGTAATGTGTTGGATGTGTTAGATAGAGTACATATTGTGTTAGGTGTGACAGTGAATTGCACCCTCTCTTACTTACAGATAGCAAATGTACAATTAAAATTCAGAGTCATAATATTTCTAAATATATTTGCTTATAAATTTTCTTTGACTGTAAGTGTGTTCTTAATTTTAAAAATTATCTAAACAACTTATTGAGATTTATTTGGTGATTATTCTGCATGCTTTTGCTTACTGAATATCTGCTTGAAGTCTTTTATTTAGTTGTAATTTTTTCATCACAGGCTCCACAGTTGCCAACCAGAGGCAGGTCGACTGCATCAGAAACTGAATCTGAATTGACACCAACCCCTGCCAGTAGTTGTTTGACATTAAGTGAAGATGGCTTAGCCACTGATGGCTATCCTTCAGACATTTCAAGTAGCCCTAGTGGCAGAGTCTATAAAATTACATACTCAATAGTGACTGCAGATGAAGTTCCCCCCAACTCCCCAAAGCCCAAACTCAAGTTCAAACTGAAACAGAAGCACAAAGAACATAGGAGTCGTCACTTGGAAAATACAAATTCAGCTGTAGGTGGTGATGTTATTCAAGAGGAGACACATCAGGCAGTGAAGTCTGAAAAAGAGTCAGCACATGGTGATGAGGTTACCTCAATAGCTGACAATAAACATGATTTCGACTTTCAAGAAGAGAGTCCCATGAAGGAAACATCCTTGCAGAACAATGGTGTTGAAGAATTGGAGGCAATTCCTTTTTCGAAGCGTGATGCAGAAGAGTTGACTGTACTAACATCTTTATTGAAGGAACCATATTTGCGCAAGGTAAATATGGTTTTTAATAGATTTACGTAAAATTTTGTCTTCATGATTACTTTCCAGTCATAAATGTTCTTCTGATTAAAAGAGGTCAATTAAAGGCTCCATGTACTTGAGTGCTTGTTTCATGTAATGGCATGTAATTATCAGGTAACGATGAATTAAGTATCTCATTTACAAACTGAAGTGTTGTGTATCTGTGGTAATAGGTCTATGGAGGGGCATCTACGCGGACTCTCTTTGATCGATGGACCAAGATCCAGTACAAGCATCGACTTTTGGAGGAAGCAAAACTCATACAAAAGGCATTGCAGCAGTACCGTGGAGAGTTACAAATGCTAGAAAAAAGACAAGTCAATAAACCTTTCCAAGATGGAATGGAGTAAGTTTGTAAATTGCGTGAGGTGTGTTTGCTTAGTATAGTATTTAAGCGTGATTGGATATTACAAATTCATCCATGTGCGAAATAAATTTTGGCAGCAATATATTGAAGGCATTCAAGACACACATTGTAGTTATATATTAGTAACAATGGATCATAAGATCATCAGTTATTGGTGTCCAAATTTCTACTATTCAATTTTACCATTGTTGGTAGATGCGTTTTTATATATATAAGCAATGAAGAAGGACTGGAAGCATAGTGCTTCACTTTTATCCTATCCTAAGTAAAGGTGGTTATCCATATACTGTTTAATAATGTTATATATTCAAGAAAGCACAATCAAATGGGTATTTTGAACCAATTTCAAATTGAGCTCTTGGTTGTTTGAACGCCATCTTTGATTTTTGTTTCCAGTCCTCCCCAATTTAGGTTATGAGTCATTGTGTAGACAGTGTATTGGATGTGAAAGTATCATCATGTAAAGGTTTTATTTGTATCATCTGTAGGGAAGATCTGCAGTGTCTGGATGAGTTAAAGAAATTGATCAAGGACGAGGTGTTCCAGTTAGAGCAGTCCTTGTCGCAGAGAATCAAGATGATAATATCTGGTGAACCTCCACAACTGCCATCTATGGGACATCTTCAGGTAGTGCAGCAGGTATGTTGTGTTTGTGAAGACAGTGTGAATAAACCTGTACTACAGCCTCTGTGGCTGTGGCATTTGCTTTAGCTGGACAAGGAAGTTGACTGTAGTGTTGATATATAAAATGTATGTTAAAAGCATTTTGCATGTTGGTTTTTAATTAGTTTAACTTTGCGCTTGTCTGACAACAAAATTGACTTAATTTGTGACAAAAACGTCATTTTTTGCTTAGTAGCTCTACTAAACATTTGCTGCAGGCCCACAGCCAGTAATTTCAAAGGGGGGTTCTTTTTCTGAAAAAGTGGGCCTTTTACCATGATACCTTCATGATCCTAGATCAAATTTAATCCAGAGTGGGCCTTTTTCTGCAAGGGCAATCGTTCGACACCCTCCCTTATCCCCAATCCCTATGACTACTAAGCTGTGCTGGATACTAAAGTAGACTGAAATGCTTACATAAGTGTGCTTGCTAGCTGTATTTGTTACAAGTTGGCTATGTTTGTTGTCATCCAGATGATAGGCCTGTTAAAGGAACAACACTACCATCGCAGCGTAGATGCCCAGTCTTATCCACAGCCCATGGTCAGTCCTATGGTCAGTCAAGTCACCATGACAACTGCCCCCTGGATACCACCGCCTGGAGAAGACTACATACAGGAAATGCTGAAATCTTCTCTGGCAGAGGTAGATGACTTTGTGGAGTCTTGGATTAACAGCATTTTTAGTAATAGACCTTGAACTTAAATTACAAGCATGGTTGTGAGATTTTAATAATAATTTTTTTCTGGAATGTGCTAATTGCTTCAGGTAGTTTGATAAAATAATGGATTTTTAAAAAAATCTAAGCACTAAATGTGCACGTAATTCAGTATCATTCCTTCTTCAGCATAGCTTATTATGATACACATAGCCTATTTTTGGTGCATTTTTTATTTTCTAGATGAAGGTGGATTTGTTCCAAGAACTAACTACACATTTTTCGAGCGTAGTTGATTCTCTTAAAAAAGAGCTGCAGGTAAATTGAGTCATAGAATATCAGTGTGTGTATTCTTTGTACTGACCTATTTGCATATTCAGTGGAGTGGAGAAATGCTGTGCATGAAATATACTGACAAATTCTCAACTAATTTTTGGTTCAAGTAACCACTTGAAAATAGATAACTCTTTGATTTTGTCAAGTGCCTCATTAAGAAATGTTGAAGTTGAAGTAAATGGGTAACCAATATTACGTAGACTATTATGTTTGAGAATTGAATAAATCTTTAGATATTGAAATATTCTCATTCCAGGAAAGTGATGAAGAAATTGTTACCTTGAAAAAAAAGCTAGAGACGCTGATGGAAGCTGAAACTTATGAGACAGAAGTCTGATGAACAGCCGTTTAGGAATCATTTCTTGCATATTTGTACTAATTTGAAAAAAAAACACTTAATCATTATATTGTTCTTGAAGAATGTACCTTGTCCAGTTTTAAACTGAAAAGCTTTAAGAAGGGGTTGTGTTAGATTCATCAGCAGTGCTGTAAAATGATATTTTAGCTATTAGATTTCTCATGAACAAGTTAAAAAAAAATAATGATAATAATAAGCACACAGGTCCTTAACAATATGCTAACAAAACATTGGATTATGCTACTACTTTTGACCAGAGGTAATTGCTTTATTGACTACAGAAACTTTCTTAAATATATGGGAATGGTCTTTGTAACAGACAAATATAAAAATCAATTATGTCAGCAGGTAGATTTGTTAATGCTACAATTGTTTCAGATCTGACATTCCAGTCCTTTCTAAAAAAAATAATAATTGATGAAAACACAAATGAGATTCACATATATTTTATTGATATTTTTATATTGCTTTACACAGAAAATAGTTTCCAGAAAGTAGGATCTAGTAATGCCATTAGTCATTGTAGTATGGGATAATATAGTTCTCTGTACTCTGTGATTACGTATCTCCCTTTGCACTGTGATAAGCTAACCCTTGTGCCATTCTAATTTTAATCCTGTGATCACTTCGAAAAACGTAGTTTATAGATTTAAAAATTGTGATGTTAGTAAAACTAAATTATCACATACACTGTGGTTGACTAGTGACAAAAAATATTTTTGATGTTATGTACTTCTGATACTGGCAAAAGAAATAGCTTAGTTGCATGCTTAACTTTTATCAAATGCCAATAGTTAAACAGGGAATACTGCAAAATTCTTTGCTCCTTGTTTATCAATATTTGTAAAATAAAACTGTGAAGTGCAATTGAATACCTAGTCCTAGTCAAGGATGTAATGTTGTTGAGTCAGGATGTTAGCATTTTACTTCTCTTTTAAGGCCCTTGTCACATTGTGCAGTAAACTTTACTGTTTCACACCATTTTGAGAGACATGGTGACAACTTGATACCCTGGCTATTACAGTATTACATACTAAAGTCATCTAAACAAAGCCCCTGTGCTTGTCAAGGCCAGTTATCCAGACTCATTTTGATTGGTCTAAACAAATACAAGTGCATGAATATGTGATGGGGAGTAATAAAAAAGCCCATAGTGGAATTGCATGTTGGGTCCAGTCAAAATGGTGTGAAACAGAAAAGCACACCGTCTGGGATTACAAGGATGTAAAGTCTTGGGGGGGGGGGGGGGGGTGGTTCTGACAGGACTACGTCTTTTGAGACTTATAAAGTATATGCCATATATTATGCTCATACTATGCAACAGTTTCTGATGCTGAGATCACTTATCTGTGAATTTGATGAATAAATGTATGCACTTAATATTGTTTCTGTTTTGGCAGAAGTTTGAAAGTTGCTTTGACATGAAATGTAAATATACATAACATGATTGCCTGGGAAGACTGTTTGTAACTTACTATAAATTCAAAAGCACATTCAAGTGTTGTAATAATGTGAAAACTACTTTAACATGTCACAAAAAGGACAACTGGAAAATTACTATGTGTGACAGATGATATTAATATATTTAAATCCTGGAAAGACATTTCAAAGTATGTAAGTACTAGTAATTGTATTTACATATCACAGACTGCTAGAAAAATGCAATTAACCCCCCTATACCATGTTAGAGGAGAAATTAAGATAAAAAATGTTTAAAAGTTTCATACTAGTCTCTACAAGCTTACAAATAAATGTAATATGAAAATAAATGTATCAAAACATGGACACATTTGTAAAATAGTGTGCCAATACTAGTTACGTGGTGTGCCAATACTAGTTGGTGAGCTTTATATACTGATGAAAACTACTTGACAAAAATATCACAGATCACTTCTGAATAATAGTCTGAAATTCCTTTTTCATATAATTGAAATCTGATCCTGTTCTCTGTTTCTAGACCCTGTCTCTGTAAATGTAAACAGTTATGATGTCCACTTCCTTATTAAATTGCATGTGTAGGACATAACCTTCATAACATTTGGGCAGCAAGTAGATGCCATAATGCATATCTTCAATATAGATAGATACTTCATTGTTTACCACAATATTTACACACATGTACTGCACAACAACCCTTATTTACAGACTGACTTGCTCCGTTTACCAGTTAGTCTTTTGGCAACAGCTTTCTTTTCTTCATAACAGTCACTAACAAATCATGAAACATCTTCTCAACTCCTTCACCTGTGGAAGCTGATGTCTCGTAATAACTGTAAAAGGTAATATATAGTTATTATTCTGAAAGATAAGAATAAGGCCATAATTTTTTGAGCAAAGAGATGCCACTGCACATCAAAGCATTTTTGAAAGCTAATAAAATCACGAAACTTAAAGAAAATGCACAGGAAATATGTAATGCAAAATATTAGTTTAGAGATTAATAATTCTTTACAAAAACATACATTCATAACAGACTTTCAAGCTATGGATGCCCTTAAAAAATAAATGACACTGAAAATTTTCATAACCAAATTAAATCAGACATTTATCATTCAATTTATCATTTATTTACTTACTTGAATTTGTGTGCATTTGCCCATTTCTTTCCATCTGCCATTGAAACAACTCTTTTCGGTTTCAAATCAGTCTAAAATTTAATGTATTTTACAAAATGAGCAAATATTCACATTTTAAAACTTAACTCCAATAACAATGCTTACATCCAATCATTATAAAAATTGGATCCTGACATGAATAGACAAATATTTTACCAATGAATGAAAAGGATTAATCTTTCATAATAATATCTCATAAAAATCATCTCTTATTCAAAATGAATATCATCAATAATTTAGAGAGAAAATGCACCAATTTTATGAATTTATAAGGTGATCACCTTGTTTCCCACTAACGTTACTTCTGCTGTCTGTGGACCATATTTGTTCCATTCTTTGAGCCAGCCATCTAATGCCTCATAGGATGCCTCATTGGTGACATCATAGGCTAAAAACACTGCATCAGTGTCCCCATACAGTTCATTCCTCACGTCTGTGTATTCCTGGTTACCTGACAGATCCCACAGGTGGACACGTACTGGAGGGAGATAAATACAGCATTAAGAAGTGATTTCATTTCTAACAGAAAATATATAAAAAATACTTGGATATATGCAGGTATCTTATAGTGAAATACACAGATCTCAATGAAAAGCTATTTAAAATAAATATATATATAATGTATAATAGCATGTGTAATATGCCAAATTGTTCCAAGGGAGTCCATGGATTTTTTATCTTTGAAAACTGGTTGAGCTGACATTAAAAATTAACCCATTTTACACAAAAAATTTAATTCAAAGTGTAACAATATACTTACAATCTACACCTTGTATTGACTGGATTTTGAATCCATAATCCACTCCTACAGTTGGCTGATAACCTGAGTTAAACTAAAATTAAGCAAAAACAGTTAAATTTCTGAAAAAAAATGTTTTCCCAAAGACAAAGTCGTAATTACTGGCAGTGTGAGCCAGTTACTATAAGTTACTATAAGTAACTGGCTCGCGCTGCCAATAATTATGCGGCGGGATATTCAGGGCACAGACCGTGATCATAAGATACCGCGAATAGAAAATAGATTTTTAGAAAATAGACATTCCATGTGAACTAAGCCTAAGACATGTTTGAATATGGCATTTTAATGAAAGGGTACATGAGATAGACATTGCCCAGATTTTGCTAGGATGGAATATTACATGGCCACCTATAAACACACTAGATCAAAATGTGTTGTGTTCAGACCAACCTTGCTCTCACAGAAATTCTTAATAATACATGTCTTCCCAATCCCAGCATTACCTATTCCTACAATCTGAAAGACAAAATAAAATAAAAAATGAAAGTGATTTGACTGTTCAAAAGGGTTGTTAATTGTATGGCAGAAGACAAAATAAAGAGTAAAGAGAGGCACGTGAGAGTAAACATGAAACAAATAATACTTTCCTAATATTTTTAACCTATTTATTCATTTATCTATTTTTTTTTTTTTTTTTTTTTTTGGGGGGGGGGGGGGGGGGGGGGGAGGGGGATATAAACTTCCACCACAGCTGCAGTGAGGGTTTTGGAAAAACATGCAATACGAATGACGCACAGATTATTATACCGTATTAGACTACTAGTACACGTTTTATAAATTGTAGTCAAGAAATGGAGAAATTAAAAAAATGTCAATTTTGTTGAACAAAAGGATGTTAGACTATTGAACTGGGAAGTTTACCAGGGACGAAAAGGGTTGTTCTACACAATCAAACTTACCTTGACCCATATTAGGGTTTTGGCAACATCTGGAACCTTTTTAGTTAAATGACCGGGCTTTCTATCCATTTCATGTTTCTGCCAACCACCTGTTTTCAAACTCACAAACAAACAGATGCATTGTGGGAAGGGGATTCCCCAATCCCACTTTCCAAAACATGTAGTACAATTTCGCGTATATTTATATAAAAGATACTCGTTTTATCTTTTCTTTTTATATATAAAAATGATTTGAAAATATCCAACATGCATGCAACATTTCATCAAGTTGCATGCTATTTTTGTCAACAATTTTTACAAGGACACGTAATCTTTCCTTGGTACGCATGCGCACTTTGGATAGGAATTCCCTACATCCGCATCTAAACACGCGAAGCTATCGACCAGCTTGGGTGTTGTGTTGGTAAATGTCCATATTTTCGGTGTTGTCAACCGCCCTTTTTTCGTAGTTAATTTATACAAAGCAAGAGACGATGGCGAAGAGTCTCCTTGTTGCGTACGTGTTATGGTTCATTGGGGGTTGGCAGGGTTTACACCACATTTACCTGCGAAGAGACCGACACGCTTTCGTTTGGATCTGCACTCTTGGTGGCATATTTGGTCTTGGCTGGCTTAGAGACATGTGTCGATTGCCAGATTATGTCTCCGAAGCTAATGAAGATCGGGAGTATTGTGAAGAACTGAAGGAGAAAATGAGGAGACGGTCAACACCTAAGTTTAATAATGTCAGATTCGCTGGAGAACTCTGCATGGGACTGTTGTTGGGTTATCTGACATATTCTGCTGTCCCAGAGGAATTCACAGAAAAAATGGATATTTTCAGTGCGTCTCGCATGTTTGTGCTGGGCTTAAGCGCAGTAGGTGTTGCTGTTGGTAAGTGAAACATTTTGCTGTGGGGTGAATTATAAACTAGATTATGGTATATTTTCAGCTCAATTTATTTCCAGTGGAAATAATGGACGTTCACTCTCTAATTTAAATTTCTTGAAATGAAAACTAATTTACTAATAATTGCAAATGCCATAAAATCTTTCACATTCAGTTGACCACGTGGTGTCCACTATGTGCAGGTAGTGCATATCTCACATAGATGACATGTACATGATTTGCAGATAAATCCCACACCTGCCTAATTCCCATAGGGCAATATCTAATCAATACAATGAGTATACAGAGTATATTGGGTACAAGGGCATCATTTTGATCAACCATATAAAATGTTGCGCAGTCCTGGAGAGATGACAAAATGCAATCCTCTTTTATCTTATTAACTCTATGATTTGTGCTGTTAGATATTCTGTTATGAAATTCTCCTATTCCTTCCATTGTTTGAAAAAAGCTCATAAAGTTCCTGAATTAATTATTTTCTGAACAGGCCATACCTGATCCTACTCCCCAGAGAGAAAAACTTACCTTTCTTGATTATGATTGCCTCACACTAGCTTTATAATAGGACTGTGTCGTGATGTTTAACTGGGATTTGCTATGCACTTCTCACTGTATATACTGGGTACTAAGATTTATAAATAATTTATTAGGGATTTTATGTTTTCATTCATTTTTAAAAGTTGAAAAGGATGTTTTCCATTGTTTCCATTGAAGATCATTTATGAAGATTTCCTGAAAAGCTAGTGGTTACAGATATTTGTAAAGGCCACATAAAAAGTCCTTGTAAGGCATTTGCATTTGTTATCTAAACATGTTTTAATTTTGTGTTTGGATATGTGGGGATGGCTTTAAGGTATAAAACAATCCTGATTTTATGGCTATTGTTAGTGCTTCCTCAAATTGGAAAGGAAGAGGTTTTATCATATGAATTGTTGTACAACATTTAAATGATTGATTCACTGAAAACCAGTGGCCTAGTTTGCATAAATATAATGGAATGCCTGAGGCCAGTGGGAGTGTATGTCGCTAGATCAGTTATATTCACTGTGTGATGTGAATGTATAATTTGTAGTTTGTGGATGCATATTTAAAAGGTATCAGGAATCATTGTTAACGACTGTCCCTGCACTGTCCCTGGATTAGATTTTTTGTACAATTTTTAATAAATTATTTTCATTGTCATGTTTACCTGACATTACAGTGAAAATATAAACAACAGATGCTACTGTTTATTTTTAAAAATCAACCTTAAAAACCTTTTTTTAAAAATGATTATTATTTATTATAATTAATTTCTTTGGGGGGAGGGGGATGCATGATATCAAGAAAAAAACTGTAAATTTTTTATTTTACTTATTTTGAATGGATTAAGAGTATTTTGATATGAAATTAATCATCTTTTTTTTTACCTCTTTTCAGGTGTGTGGATAGTAGCTAACATAGGTCATGAGGAGGGGTCATTCTCCTGGGCAATGCTTGGTTCTGGAATCCTCTATCCCTGGTATCTCACTAACACTGGGGCACTAGCATATTCTGCCATTACTTCAGCCATTGCTGTTAACTGGAAGGGGAAATCTTGGAAACCAAAGAAAAAGAAACGTGGGCTATGCATACGATTATTTTTGCTCTCATTATGCTGTGCTATTTATGTATCTCTTTGGATATCAGCGTTTTATTTCAATGCATACATAACAACCAAAGATGGAGAGAGTGTTAAAATCAGAGTAGCTATTCATAACTTTTTCAAGTCTCCTGCTTGGGCAGAGACTAAGTCAACATTCAAACAGCTGTATGAATTTTACAAACTGCATGGATTTGGAAGATTATGGGAACAACTAGTGGATGCCTTAGATCCTGAGGGAGAGAACAATGCCCAAAAGGTAACTCAGGAGTTTAATTGTCAGTTTTTGAAACGAGGGTCGAATTGAAATGAAGGAAAATCTTAATTAACAAGATGACATATATCTCAGAAGTTGATATGTTATAGTTTAAAAGTATGTTATCTTATATTTTTGATGCTGTTGACGACATTGCATTATTCATGAAGTCATTTCTTCATTGTATTGTTTTTCCAGGTACTTGGTATTAACAGTAGCACTTCCCAGAAGGAGATTAATGCCAAATGTAAGAAACTTTCCAGACAGTGGCATCCTGACAGGTTCAAGCTTCCCAAAGAGAAAAAAGAAGCAGAAGAAAAGTTTATTGAGATACAGAAGGCCTGTGACCTTGTGTCTGAACTGAGAAATAGAAGAGCGAACAGGAATAAGAGAAGGGACAGAGATGAATTTTAAGAACTCTTTTCTGAGTTTTTTAGATATTTTTTTAAAATTTTGATTGTATCCAGTTTTACCTAACACCCTGTATGTTAGTAAGAGGTGGCCTTTTGTGCCCCAAGCGGTATTCGTGAAGAGACAGCTTACTCAGAATTTCACTACTTCCATGAGATATCTCTACATTACCTAAGAAATAAATCATGCAACGCCTTTAATTTGTGGTATCTCAACTTCAGTTTCCCCATGTACAACATTTTACAGATTGTGGGAATGGGAGAAGCATGTCTTTCTACAATTAGAAAATCTCAATTTATTTACCAAAGAAAGCAATATAGAATATGAAACAAATTATACTGGTACATATGATATATTTTTTAGATAAGATGGATTGATTTTTACTAAGAAAAAGTTATTTATGGAGTGGTAAGAGTGGCTTCTAGGTTCATTTTACCAATATAAAATAAAAATAAGAGTAATGCTATGTAGATATGTTATATTGTCCTCAGTAAAATGTGAAAGAAAATACCAAATAAATTGCGTGTAGTTTAGAATTGCTCAATGTAATAAATGGCTGCTTAGTTTAAGATCAGTAGGTTACCCAGCAAGTGTATTCTTAAACAGATTTTAATATGATTTTTTTCTTTTGCCATGTGTTTGAAACCCCCAACTCCACTGTGTGACAGTGTAAGTACAGATTTTAATTTCTGTTTGCGAAAATGCAAAGGGCACTTGAAATAGATGAGATATATTTAGGTAGCCTAATAATGCAATGTCCTCTTGCCAAGTTCCTTATTGAGTGATTTTAGATGGAGTGTATTGCCATCATAGCATCATGCATCTACTAAGCAGTGAAAAAACTTCATATGTATTTTTTTTACTATTTTGATAAAGAGGAAAAATATACTTTTTCTTTTTTGTTTAATTTTTTTTTTTAATTTGAGCTGTCTTGTTTTTTTTTTTTTTTAATGAAGAAATAACAATAACAGTGGTTGAACTGTATGAAAATTTTAATTAATTTATCGTGTTATGATGCTGAATTTGCAGATTTTTCAAGATAGCAAAAGGTTCAATACGCAACAGAGAATTATGTAATAGTTTCTTAAAATACAAAAGAACTATTTAAAATGCATTATCTTATTGGCAAATAATTATTATATATCATTGTGTGGTATTTTCTCAGACAATGTACATTCCAATGATTGCTTACAGTCGTGCATATTTTTATCATTAATTTTCTCAGTCCATCTTTTAGAAAACTCTGAGAGCCATGTGAATATGCTTTCATACCTCCTAGTAATTGCAGCTCACTTTTCTTATTATTTAACATGTCAAAAGATACCATTTGAATATTGTTAGCAGGAGAAAATGAAGAGACGCCCAGGTGTTCTTGCTTATATTGTCACTTTGCAAAGTGAACAATAGTGTCGAAACACTGGCACTCGTTAAATACTCTATTAATGGAGTTCAAATTATCTACGGCACAACCAAGCAGGTCTTTAGGTTGTAGATCCTATCTTGTATTTCTGTTGCAGACTGTTAGGTCTGCTAAATATTTACATTCAATAAGATGAAATATTTTGGCTGTATTATGTATATGCAAAGAATCTGCAGTAATAGTGGAAATGATAAAATTACAAAATAAATTTTCCAAACGGAATAATCTTCTCTTCCTGCAAGCATCAAAACAAAGGGTGGAAAAACAAAAACACTACATGCCCAAACCTAATTTTTTAGAGACTACATATTAATGCAATTTCGTCTTGTGCTACCTACCCATGTTACCTCGTATTTGAAGGTTTTGATTCAACAGCTTTTGTATTGCATCTCAGTACTAGTATTTTTAAGAAAGCTCATGCCTGGAAAGGATAGGGCATTTTGTGAGCTCTCAGATATCCTTCTTTTTTAAGTTTACAGAGGTTTCATGTTTAAAGGTCCACTTTTTCCAAACAATCCTCTCTTTGAAATTGCTGGCTACGGGCAGGCCTGAAGAATGAACAAGTTGAAAAAGTTTCTTTTGACTTGCCTTACAATCTAAAATAAATAAATAAATAAAATTCAAATGGATCCAAAGATCCAACATCCATAGCAGAGACTGTATAAAACACTCAGCTTCACTTATCACAAATCAAAGCCCCACATTTCAGAATGTTTGGCAGATTTATCCATGACAGAAATCAGAAAATGTATTGTGTAATAACAAGAGGCTGACTGAAGTTTGAGAGTGTGGAGGATCAATTAATGGTTTACTCACAGTTCTATAGTATCGATACCCAAAACCATTTGGCCAAGGATTTAAATATATGGGGCAAAATCATAAAAAATTCATTAAAAATAAGTAATTTTTGGAGAAATTGAGATATGAAGTAAGGAAAAGAATTAGAATCTATTTCTCCTCTAAATATGAATAAAGATGACTCTTTCAAATAATGATAGAAGCCTGGTTATTGGTCACTGATAACATTTTACTGCATTCTTTCTGAACTACAGGTGGTATAATGAAAAAATAAACAATTGACATTAAATGTGGTGATTTTTTGTGACACAGCATGCATAAAATACATATTACTAAATAAAATTGCTTATAAAGCATGTAATAAAATCAAATGGGAATACTGCCCACGTAGCATAAATAATTGTAGTAAAAAGCATAGAGACATCAAGTCTTGCTTTAATACCAAACTATATCTCAAACCTCTCCAGAGGTAAACAGCAAGAAATGTCTAAGTAAAAGTTTATAAAAGTTTTCATTTACCAAATACTTAAGGCATACTTTGTGAATAAATAAACAGGACACCTGGTGTGCTTATTAATCATTGTATAAAAATATTACAATAAAGCAAAAATATTTAAAATTTCCAGTTCTAACTTTTATCCATATGGACACTTTTGCATGTAAACATGCATAGTTTCAGTTCTTTTGGTTTCTCACATGCTCTATTGCCTCTATCAACATGAATGTTGTGGTGCTGGTATTTCTTTCATTCATCAGTAAGACACTTCTAAATTAAATATATTAATGTGTATGTATATTAAAAAAATTAATTATACTGTGGTACCACTGATTTTCAATGATTTGCTTATTATTTTGTGGAAGCCAGAAATTCTGAACTGCTCACTTTTCTTGTACTGTTGATCCTTGTACTTCTTAGAACCTTGCATTACAGTTGGTGTTTGTATTGTGACTCTCATTAAATGGTATAGTTTTTTAGAGATCACTTTCATTGTTTTTCAGCCTTGCATTACCATGGACAGTCAGGCATTGACCCTTTATTTTGTCCGCAATGGTGCAAAAGATTCTGCATATTGCTCTGTCACCTGCTTGAAATGCTAACAATACCACACATTTACTGCTCACAGCATTGTCTTTACTGTCTACATGCAACCTAATTATAGCTCTGTGGCATCATTGATACTCACACACGATGAAGAAAAGCTTTCACAACATGAATCACTCAGAGAAAGCGTATCAGCTTCTGTTTCAATGTAAGTGATAGCAGAATATCTGTTGTTTTGCGTAAGCTCTGATTCCACTGCTTGTAGGGAGTCTGGCAGATTCTGTGACACAGTTTGATTGCCTTTCTCAGGGTCCCCAGAATCCTGACACACCTGCTGCCCCCTATCTTCAGGATTGTCCACAGGCTGTGGTATGGGGCACCTCCTACCTTCTGGACTGCCATGAAACATCTGCTGTCCCCTTTCTTCAGGATTGTCCATGGCCTGTGGCAAGGGTCGTCTTCTACCTTCTGGACTGCCAATCTCTTGGAGGAAATTGAACTGTGCCAGTGCAGTCTCCTCCTCTGTGCCACAGCGAACAAAGAAATTCCTGTCTAATGATGGACGCCTCTTGACCAAACTTCTAACAACTTTAGGGTGCCCTGCAAATGTAATTAAGTTTACTTTTAATATAATGTTAAGTGTTTAAAAACTGAAAACTAAAGAACCCTATGTCTTCATTTTTTGAAAATAATGTTATGTTCAACATTTCTTTTATCTATATTTTCACATACATTTAATATGACCTCATTTCTGGAGCAAATCTGTTTGAAAATATGGCCCGGTAAATAAAGTATAGAAATCAATTGTTCTGGTTTTCTTACCATTCTTCTTTTTCATCTTTTTGTCTTTCTTCTGACCAGACTTTTCAACTTCACTGTCACTGGTGGTGACATTCCCCACCAAAGCATCAAGAAGGTTGGCCCGCTCCTAAGAAAACAGAATTTCACCTTAAATTTGGAATATGACAACCAACAAAATTTTTTAATTTGAAAATAACATTTTTAAATATTAAAATATTGGAAACTAAAATGTTGAAGTAGTAGTAACTTTGACTTTTATCTGCTCTTGGAAGAACCTAACACTGTAACAGGATTTAGATATTAACTGGTTTATCATTTACCTATATTAAATAATCGTACCATTCTCTCTGCCTGTCTTTTTAAAGAGAAATATGGCATACCATGCTGAATAAATTTATAATCACAACAAAAGTCACTCCTATCACTGCCACCAACCTCTGGGTTAGTTAAATCCACTGAATGAGCTTTCCCTTGAGGTTCTTGCTTTGTCCATGATCTGTTCCAGCACATCTCAGCCAGCAGTCTAGGGGGGTCTCTCTGGCCAGAGTCTTTCTCTGGAACCATCTTGACACTAGCTGGGGAAGAGACATCTGCATCTGCATCACTGAGACTGGATAAACTCTTCTGAAGGTCATCCACAGTCTTGGATAAATCTTCAATCTGTTTCGAAATCTCACCAAATTCTTCTCCACAGTCCTTGTCTGTGGCGAAAGAGTCATTGAACCCAGCCATACTCTCCCCGCCAGATCGTGGGCTTGGCAAGCTTTGTGACCCACCGCAGTATTTTTTGGAGGTCACCTTGTCTCCATCTGAACTTGCATGACAGAGGCTGTAAAAATCATTGCGAAACTTATTTTCAATGTCCAGGGCCATGTTTTCATTTAAAAAAACATCTTCACTGGTAAAAACTTGTGAGGCAGTGTCTTCAGCCCCGTGCTGCTCATTGCACATGTCCAACCATTCCTCCCCAAACTCTGCCATGGAAGTGTTCAGGTCTGGTTCCTCTGGGCCTTGGTGCAGTGCTTTATCTGGAAGAACCTCTTGTCTGCTAGTAGGGATATTGCACTTGTCTTTCGTTGTCATTTTCATCTTGCCAACAGAGCTAGAGGGGTCATTAACAGGGCCTTTTTGCTTTGGATTATAAACCTGGTGGCTCATGTTGGCATCTGCAGCTTGTATGTGGTAAGCCAAGGAGGATGTGTCTCTTTCGCCAGCACTTGATGGTGGATAGTGTGTCTTACGTGCTGGTTCAGTCCTGATATCTGGACAGTGATTTTTACTTTGTAGGTTGTGCAATTTTTCCCCAGCCAAAGTAGGTGGACTTTCCCTGCTCTGTTGTTTCTTCGATGATTCAAAGAACTTGCGTATGTCTTTAACCTTCCCTAAAGAGGCACTTTCAATGCTAGAGTTAGATGAATGAAGTTCTACATTATTGCACTTTTGGTGTTGGAGTTGATTGGGCAGCACATCACCTCTCTGTGGGTCAAAAGTTGTGTGCATCCCAGCCTCACTGTGGAGGTCATGTTTGGGCTTTGCTGCTTGTGATTGTGACTGAGGCTGTACAAGAGATGCATCTCGTCTGCCATTCTCTACTTGTCTGCTCTCTTTGTTGGCCTGTAACCTTAAGGCAGATTCTTTATCCTGCTGCATTTTCTCTGACAATGCTTCACTGGACATGGATGAATACCCCTCATCCCTGTTCCCAGGCCTAAATGCATTTCCCTCCTTGTTTCCTGGCCTAAACACATTCTCAGCAGAGTGGCTCATCTGACTGCTGGCAGGAGACCCAGGGGCTGAAAGCATTCTCTCCCCATTTCTTTTCTGCTCTGCTGCTGTTGCTGATCCACCTGAAGATTTTTCTGTCACAGAAGTATGCTTCTTTTCTTGTAACTTTCCTACAGAAAACTTGGCTTGAATTTCCTGATTTGGAGACGGTGTTATCTCCGAGAATGTTGCATATCCATTGGACCCAGAGGAGGAAGATGAGGAGGAAGAGTTGGTGTCTTTCATCAAATTGCTTTTGGCTTTTGCAGCTTGAATTTTGGTCAATATGGGTGTTGGTGTGTCTGGTTCTTCAAGGTACTGTTCTAGTGTCTTCATGTTGTTATTTGTCTTGCCTATCTGTAGTGTATTTGGTCTGGAAGGGGAGCCCTCTCTGGACATTGCACTCATCATGTTCTGTAGGATGTTAACATTGGCTCCTGCTCTGGTGGGAAAACTCAGCTTCTCCACTTGTGGTGTACCTGCATAGGTTCTTGGTTTGGCTTCACCAGTACTCTTGACTGTCAGGGCAGAATGGTCCCCATTTAAAATAGCCTTTGAGTAGGCCTCATAATCAGCCAAACCAACAGTCAAAGAATCTCGTTTGCCAGCCTCTAAATTGTTTTTCACTGACACAGTATTGTTATGGCTTCCAGTCTTAGACATGTATGGCTTCAGGGTGTCAGACCTGGGACTGACTGATCTCTCATCAGGATAGTCTCTAGTGGGGACCTCTGAGGCTGAATATGATCTGCTGTGATTTCTGTACAAACCACCAGGTGGCCTAACACTTTCAGAGGAACGATGCATCCACCATTGTATATTGGTATTCTTGTTGTTGGCGCCCAGTCCAACACGTTTCATCTTGGGACTGCCATTATTGGCTGGGAACTCTGTTTCCACACGTGTCTGCATAGCCTCCTGTGGTTTCTCCTCCTGGCCAGCATCTGACTGCAGTCCATTTAGTTTATCCCGCAGCCAGGGTGGGGGGACACTCAACTCTGGCATACCATTCATGTCATACATTCCCTACAATAGAAAAACAAGATGGATTTCCTGTTCATTCTCCGTATATACATGATGTGACTAAAATATCAGTATCAAATCTTGAAAACTTAGACAAAATGATTCTGCAAACAAAGTGCGATATTTTTAATTTTAGCTAAATGATCAAATTAAAAGGGATAATTTCCAACTTTTCCAATATTCCCACACTGGTGACACAAATAATAATTGAAATAGTACTTTGGTCATTAACAAGTCGCGTTAAAGTTGTGTTGTTATCATACCATCTCTGAGGTCCAGTCATTAGCATTGTTTGGGGCAGACTTGACGCTGTCATGAGACCTGCTCATGTTTCCCTTTGGCATCCCAGACTGAAAAGTTTATAACATACATGCACAATTAATCTCTGTTTAAAAGATGTATCTATGTGAAAGCATCCTGAAATATAACAAGGCAGCAAAGCTGTCAAATGTACAGACAAAAAACAGGAAATAACTATGCACAAAATAGGCTACTGTCAATTCTGATGCAAAAGTACATTATGTTAAACTGCAAATTCAACATCAAATTTTAATTATGCTCAACAGGTAATACCAATATAAGTAAAATGTGTAACAAGTTCACACTTTGAAAATGTATAAAATCCAGAAAAAGAAGCCAATTAGACTGCTTTTCCAACTCCAGCTGCATTTTAGTCCTGTATTTCTTTTTTGAAAGTTTGGCAATCATAAGTAACATGGTTTTCCCATAATGGTCATCATGGCAGCAGCACCCAAAATTGTGTTTTCTTCTATTCTGATGCCATATTACATAATGGTTAACAGCATAATGACCCTCAATTTTTAATAATGAAATATTAGTATCATGGATTTTCAGAAAATGTGACTAGCATGGGTCTTCCAAGCCCATGGAACTTCAAAGTCACACCTTTAAAATGCCAATATGTGAAAAATGAAAATTTCACAAAAAAACTGTTTAACTGGCAGATTGCTTTGCCTACTGAAGCTATATTTTAGTCCCATGTTTCTTTCCTGTAAGTTTGAGAACAGTAAGTGACACGGTTTTTCTTAAATGGTCATCATTGAGCAGTGCCCAAAATAGTTTCTTTTTCAAATTTTGATGCAATATTACATAATGTATAACAGCATAATGACCATCAATTTTAATAATAAAATATTAGTATTATGGATATTCAGAAAATGTGACTAGCAAAGGTCTTCAGGCACATGGAACTTCAAAGTCAAAACTTGAAAATGCCAAAATGTTAACAAGACAGCACTGTTCTGAAATGTTTTTTTTTCCATTTTAAACAATTTTTAACATAAAACAAAATAAACAGTTTACTGCCGTTTTTATATGATCAACAAAGAAAATTTATGAGATAGGAAAAATATCAATAGAGCAGTGTTAAATGTCCAATTTCTTCCATTCTGAGATACTGAACATAGTGAATGATTGAATCTGACAAACTGCAATGATATAAGTTTATTTCCATTTTTGAAACTTCATTACACAATACACGATAACAAGTTTACCATCATTTTTACATAATCAACTAATAATGTTGTAAAGATGCAGGAAATGCCAAACAAACACTTTTACGTATCTTATTAATTAAATAATGAAACTGTTAACATGCCTAAGAATTGAATCTGAGGAAATGTGAAAAAACAGCATTTCTTTAAAATAATGGCCCGATCATGCTGATTTTTTAACCCAACCTGCATTTTAGCAGGAATGACCACTCCTGTGAGTTTAATGACAATTGGCCTATCTGTTTTTCTTATATTGTGTTTACAGTGTTGCATATATGCTGAAAAGTGAAAAAANTAATAATAATAATAATAATAATAATAATAATAATAATAATAATAATAATAATAATAATAATAATAATAATAATAATAATAATAATAATAATAATAATAATAATAATAATAATAATAATAATAATAATAATAATAATAATAATAATAATAATAATAATAATAATAATGTTCTCATTGTACCTGAATTGGCAAGCTCTGGTAACTGGCGTTCTTCATAGGTTGTCCAGAGGCATTTTTAAACTTCCACTTCCTGCCACTAGGTACAGACTGAAACACAAGGTATGCTGCCATCAGACCACTGTATCAGAGGGTGTCTTAACATGGTGAACATAAAAACACCTACTCTTCACTGAATGATATTATTTTTAAGACAAACATGTTCAATAATAAGTGACACTAGTGTGTAATGCACTTCTTCAATTCTATGAGATTTTCTGTTGGGTAAGACCTGACAGTCTTCTAGACTAGGATGGGAAACACGTCTGCTGTGTTAATACAGATTTTCCATTCCCTCTCATGTAAAAATGATAACAAGTTAATCATTTCTAAAGGGACCTTTTTTTTTTTTACTTATGAGGTATAACAATTTAACCCTTTGACTGTCAGAGCTATCAGTGAAGAAGGGTTTAACATTTTGCATCATAGTATAACATTTTAGACTCTTTAAAAATGATTTACTTTTTAGCATAATAATAATCTTCAGTAGCATCACCACTTGAACAATAACTGAACTGCGGTGATTGAAGCATTAGTTTGAGTTACAATAATACCAGTATGACAGCTCATAATTGCAGGGTCAAAGTGGCATAAAGGTGTGTATGTTAAATAAGAATAGAATACATCTTGAAAAGAGGTCTTACCTGTAACATGGAGTCTGAAGCAAAGCGCACTTTGTCACTAACCATAGCACTGAGATATCTGTTCTGCTGCTCCAAATCCTGCACTCTGCCCTGCAGGTTCATACACTCTGACCTTAGACTCTGAAATATAGGGAACAACTACTTCAAGTACTTGTAATATTATCTTCTGTGATTTCTACAGTTAACCTTGTGTAAAATCAGTTATACAATACCAATTCTGCACACTCTACTCATTTGTAAGGTTTCAAAAATTTTGCAACCGAAAATGATAAATGATGAAAAGCTGACAGATCAGTTCATACCACAAAGAAAGTGAACCTGACTAAGCCCTTGCCCTATTTCAACAACTATCCTTAACCACATTTTTGTTTTTTTTAACGACTCTCTTCTATTCTCTCTCTTTCAATCTTACTATCAAAAAAATGCATTTCAAAGTTAAAATCATTATAAGGATAAAGTATCCACATGATACACTGCATCATACCTTTTGCATAAGAAGTGCCTGCACCACCTGTCCTGCTATCTCGTCCAGACACTTCTCATACTGCATACGTTGTTGCTCATTCTCCAGGACCAGCTGGGAGTTCTCCACCTCCATCTTCTTCAGCCGCTCCAGCAGTAACCTGGACTTGTCAAAGTCGTCCAGTCTCACTCCAGTCTGGAATATGTGGACACAGGACTTACCATGATTACAGACTCAGAACTCACACAGTTTAAAAAAGTTATAACTATAATAAGTTATCTATTGTGTTTTCAAAGTTAATTACCTGCCCCTGTAAAACTAAATCTACAAGCTTAGGAAATAAAGTAAATTGTAAATGTTTCTACAAAACAACCATCTTTTTTCACGTATTTATAAAATTGTGTATTTTAATACCATGAATAGGCAAAAAACAATGTGAAAGAAATTACCTGTAGTTCATATAGTTGCACTTTGCTCTTCAGTGTTTTATTTTCTTGTTCCAGAAACCTCACACTGTTCTGCAGCTTCTGGGCCTCATTCTATAATACACAAAAGAAATGTGTTAGGTGAACTGAATGTGTAGAATGTGGTGTTGTTGTTGTGACTCTTGTTGTGTGAGCATACTCAACCAAACAAAATTTCAAAAGATAAGTTTTTAGTGAGACAAAAGCTAGAAATACTAAACAATGTAAAATAATATTGACTTCTTATCAATAGAGTATTCTCCATTTACATCAATAACACACTGCCATCCTGTCTAATTGAGTATTCATTGAACATCTATTATACTGGATAATTAATTAAACCAGAGTATTCTGGTCTTTGTGGAAAATGTCCCTGGAGTCAAATTATATCACTGACCCATAGATCACTCTTGTGCCACACTCATTCTTCCTTAACATTACTATTTCTACAGGATCTCCAGGGAGCTGGAGTAAAATGAGTAATCCAACATAACAATGACACTCTCAAGCTTTCTTTTCAATTATTCTTTCCTTAACTACAGAATGATGAACAACATCTGTCACTGCTGCCCTAGATTTCCTGTGTTACTCTGAGCTGAACTTTCTCAATTACTCTTCTAGCTTTTTCTAAGCACTTTACAGGGCCATCAGTCAAAACAATGGAGTTTATGGTTTAAAGAATAAGTAAGGAGGTTGAAGAGGATTTTTACAAATGATGGGGTAAATCTTTGTCAAATTAAGCAAAATTTTCAATCATTGTCAGTCATACAAACAGCAAGTAACTGGTCTGTTAAAAAAAAAACAAATTGTAATTTTGCTCTCAAAAAACAGAAAAATACATTTGTCATACAATACACAGTTAAGTGAGACAAAAGCAGCAGACCATATATCAAAGCTTTTATCATGCAGTACTCTGCTTTTGACTCAATGGTATTTATTTCCTTTCTGTAAAGTGTGCGTTTCAGGTTTCCCCAAGCTTGGTTTCTGCCATTATGCCTCACAGTGTAGTCCTCTCTCAGTAACCGATTCTAGGAATTAAGCAGTCCCCAGCTTCCTCAATCATTGACTGGTTTATTGTTTCCTTTCATACATAAACTCCACAGGGGGCAATAGCATGGCAATGAACCACACAACTACCAGCCTTGTATGCACATCATGACAGGAGATGTACTGTATGAAGCTATATCCAAATACAACCCTTTCATAGAAAAAAAAAAGGTTAAAGGCATATACACACACGTACATGCCCATTACATCTCTCTCTCTCAAATTTCTCTCTTTAACACACACACACACACACACACACACACACACACACACACACACACACACACATGCATACACAGAGACGGCTACACACCTTATAATTGGCTGCAACGCTCTCCTTCTCCTGCTTTATCTGATCCATCTTGTTCTTGTACTCCAGCAGGTTCCTCACCATGTTCTCCATCCTACAAATAATTTGCACAGTCATGAAAAAGCTTCTAGATCACCTTATCTTTATATTCTTCAGAATATATTTTATATCTTCTCATATGATTAAACAAACAATAATTATATAAACAAATAAACAACTTTTTAATCAGATGTGCCTAACTTTCACAATCTCTAAATCACTTGGCAGTAATGTGGGCAATAAAAAAATTACCTATCAAGGTAAATGACTGTCCCTATTGAATAATTAATTGCTGATACGTATACTAGTACAAAATATAAAGGTGTTTCTCCTCAACAGAAAACAAAAAGCCAGTGATAAAATCATTTTTTTCAACAAAACAAATGAATTTTTATGTTTCAGTAATAAAAACTGTCTGGTAACAATAACAATCAAACTCCTATAATATCTTTCAAACAGAATCTATTGGAAAATTATTAGAAATCAATAGTGTTGCTATTTACTGGATGGATCCTTGATCTTTCAAACTGAAATAAACCTTCAGAAATGGTAAATGATAAGGGGTTGCCACAATATTCATTAATTCTACAATGGTCAACAGTCTTGTGGGATTATGACCTCCTGTCCATACAACATTCAAGGCACTAAATATCTAACTGACCTCACAGATGTATACCTACTTTATGGACACTTCCAACCATGTTCTAATTCCCAAGCAATTAATGGACATTTTAATTACATCATGCCTCTGATAGAACATAATCTTTCAGACTACATCCATGGCGAGGATCAACCCAATTCACAGACCACTTATCTGATTTAGATTCATCAAAATCAGTTAACAATTAGGTCTAAGGAGAGAAGAAAGCGATCAATATCTTTGGCAAAGTAGACAGCATGATGGACTGAGCTGCGGGCAGTACTTGTGAGTCTATTTAAAATAGCAGAGGATTGGGAATTACCAACAGATCTGATTATTTAATTGAGCTGGATATAAAGCAATAGACATATCATGCTTTGGGCCTAGATGTATGAAATAGTATTTAACCATAAATTTTCAGATATAGAAACCTCTTCCTTCACCTGAGAGCTATTATGCTGATCTTTTATCAGTAGGGACTGCTACACAGTTCATGCAACTCCCTCCTCTCCTTATTTCAAATCAGTAAAAAAAAATTGTAATTTGGCAAGAAAAAATAATACTAGAAAGACCAAAGACCAAAAAGTTAAGGTGAAACACACACACACTGCATAACTTACTGTTTAAATTCATCCTGTAGTGCTATTAATCTTGCTTTACAAGTATCATTCTCAACCCGCATCACTTCCAGCTTGTCCTCAGCTCGAATCCTATGCATCCTCTCATACTCCAAGTCCTTCAACAGCTCTGTGTTCTGGAAGTAGAGAAAGCACAATATACAGTGTGGTCTACATTTGTAGTGAAATGCCATACAATACAGCAAAACAATTTACAATAAACTGCATATTTTGTGAAATCAACTCCATTTTGTATATGATAAACTGCAGTCTTGTTGATTATGATAATGGAAATTCTAATGAGTTCCACATTTTTACTTTATTCCAATGAAGAGGTACTAAAGGAATGGCATTATTTCGTACTTTGAAGGAAATGACACTTAAGGTTAAAAAAATAACAATAAACAAACCCAATTTATACATCAAACTGCTATGATAATGCCCAAATCAGACAACTTCTGCTATAGGTTACACACTCCAATACTTCTGCTATAACACAGCACCACTTTCTGCTATGATCAATACATTGCAGATGACAAACGATTCAAAAGTCAATAAAAACAGCAGCCAGCTGCCTCAAATTGCTCTAATTTCAATATATCTCCTCAATAAAAGAGCTAAAAATGGCACTCGTGGAAAATTATGGGGCAAATTTATTTCTTAGAGTTCTAAAGGTGTTTGACATTGCTCATAAAATCACACTGAATACATGCCTTAAGAACAATCAACACAGTTACACAACAGCACAATGCACAAGGATGTGCTTTTCCTCCACATCAAGTGCCATCTTATCAAAATTTCTAGAGAAAACAATATTGTTAAAGATGTAATTTCTCTAGGCAATTAATAAAAAAGCTGTTACAGCAAACTAAAAAATATTATGCTGTGCAGCAATTATAAAATGGTCAGTTGGTGATAAACTACTGCTATCTTTTTAAAATTATTTGTTATTTTTAACTATATTTTCAACTAAATTTATTACACGAAAAGTAGAAGTAAGCCATTTCAATTTTTCTTTAATGAAAAATATAGCTGGTCTTTTCCCTGTCACAGAAACTATAACAACACTCAAACAAAATGCCTAAATCAGTATAAAATCACTGTCAGTCTGTCCTTTTGCAGTAAGACTCAGGGTTTTTTACCAATTTGTAATTATTATTAAACATACACACAAACGGATACCAGTAGAAAGGTAAACAATCCAAAGTAGTTGATAAATCTGGTCATTAAAAAATAAGTAGATCTGGCATTTTTCTTCATCTTTTGGTTCAGGTCATTCAAGAACCCAGCATCAGGTAAGATATAATCCTGCTGTGAATTGCCTTTCATCCCAATTCATTATATCAGCTCAGCACCAAAAGCTGGCTGCGACAGAGCACTGATCTCCTTTGTTACTCTGTTCCATGCAATGTGATTGAAAAAGCATAGTATTTAACCCAGAAACCTTAAAGCCACAATATTCATGCTTTAGTGTAATTTTGACTTGCGATCAATAAATAACAATTTTAGCTGCATCTGTTGTTTTCCCAGTAAAGTGAGCATAAAACATACATAAAATACAACTGGCATGAAGCAAATACATATTTAAAGCCACATTTCCCATGTAAAACATAAGCACTAGTCAACCTATGAACAAACAGTCTCTATTAGCTACATCTGCTAAATTCCCAGAATCCAGATAGTAAAAATCACACTAGGCATTACTAGTCTGCATCTTATGGTAAAATGACAAAGTAAACACATTTCATGGTCATTGTGTGATATCTTAATATTGATAAATTGTTTCCATTTCTTTTATTTGAAATGGGTGATAAATTATCCGAATACATGTCTTTTTTCCTTTTTTTTTGTTGGGGGGGGGGGGGGGGGGGGGAAAAAAAAAATTTACTTTTTGGGGGGAAAAAATTTTCCCTTTTTAAAATTTTTTTTTTTTTTTTAAAATCAACCCACCGGAAAAAAAAAATCCCAC